TATTATTGCGATGAAATTGTTGTCATTGGAATCTTATCAGTTTAGCATGTAGTGGTCTTCAACAAGAAAGTAAGTCAATAGTTCGAACAGTTTTACATTCTTTTGGTATGTATCTCTTTATTTCATTATGTCTTGAGTCATTGAAGTAACCAATGGTTAACATTAAATGCTATACCTGTTGCGTCAGAAATTTCTTGTACTTTACTTTGAGGAAAGTCTCTAAAACACGAATGACTTCTCTCATGTGGGTCAATAGTTTTTCATCATTTACTCAGCCTGAATGCAAGCATAAACGAACATTATTTCCTCTGTCATAAGTGCTGCAGTTCTTTTGTTCAGTTCATTGAAGATTGGAAGCGTTTCAGATTTATAGGTAACGTGCAAAGATACTTCCAGAACTGACGCTTTCTCTTCTTATAAAACTTCTTTTCACCATTATCGTATTCCAAAGCTTTTCTATATAGTCTGTATTCCTGTTTGTTTAAGCTGTTCAATAATCTTTTCTGTCTTTCTGTCAGTGTGCTTTCATCTCTATATGGGTTCTCTTCTTGGCTTTCCTTTCTTAACATCTGACATCGTTAAGCCTTCATATTCTGTTAAATCATACATCTTTATTTCGAAAAGATTCTTTATGTTTGTCAAGAAGAAGTCATAGTGCATTTCAAACAATACCTGCGGCATTTGCTTCTATCTCTGATATAAAGTTCTTCCTTCAAGAGCTGATGTAAGTAATGTTCCAATATTATATGAGATTTAACGTAGAACATTCATACTTTCCACCAAGTTTAATAACATACCATCCATCTTTGTTGGAGTTTATTTTAAATCTTCTCTAAGAGTCTCATGAAAACCTTACCGAAATGTTTGTGTAAGTAGTCCTTTTTTGGTTCATCTAAAGGCTTCGATGTTAAAGTCAATAAGTCTATTGCCTGCTTCACATTTCTCTTCCTATTCTTCTTTCATCTTTCTTTAACCATCTCTCACCTTCTTTTGGTTTGTCGTCAATGAATGAATGACATCGTTAGTTTGCGAACTTGTTCTATAGCACTTTTTAAACATCTCTCTTCTCTGTGTTTTCAGTGTGTCGTCTCTCTTTCGTGTTTCCACGCAACGTTTGCATTTTTATGTCAAACATTTCTCTTCTTACTTACATTAGGTACTGAACGTCTAATGAATATAAGTCATAGCAACGTCATTTAACAAGGAAAATGTCTTGCATGATTGTCTGCCGCTTGCGCTTTATGAACTCAAATAATTCTATCATAAGTTATTTCACCATTGTAGTCATTGAGGATGTCAGCGAGTGCTTTTTTGTTTGTTGCGTAATGTTTTGGCAACTATGTTAGCTTCTGAAGAAGTTGTTTTATTTCGAGTGTTCTAACTTAGACAACTTCCGATACATTTTTAGTAGGAAATAAAAAAATATTTTTTGGAAAATTAATGCTTAGATTTTTTTAACTATTTTTTAAATAAATTTCGAATTTTTTTTTTAATGAAACACATGCAAGATTGCAAGTTCTTTTCATAACAATGCTCTCGCTACTGCCATCAAGAATGAGTTCTAATGGTGCTCAAAGTTAATGTTTATCTTTAACAAAGAAGTTGTGAAAGAATCTAAGTTGGTCAGTATGTCAGACCATTAGCTATCTGTCATCTGACCGCAAACGTATATACTTCACAAGAGTTAGCAGTAGTTTTGAAACAAAGAAGTTTTCTCTCGTGAATGTCAAAGATACTCATTTATACTGTTCATAAAGAACTCTAATCATTGACTTCATTCAGTATTGTTTTAAATCTTTCCGAACAGAAGAAATTAAGAAGGGTGAAACATCTGTGAAATATTATCCTTCATCTTGAAGACAATAACGAACAAAGATGTTTATACAGAATTCATTACCAAGGTGAAGAAGCTTCTATTGACATTGACGAAGGAGTGAAATGGTTGAAGAAATAGACCCTGAAGCTATTTAAGCAAAAATTTTATTGGTTGAAGACGGTGAGATCCTCACCCGTTTTTTCACCTCTTTTTTCACCTCATTCTCTCTTCGTTAATGTTGTCGTGACTTTATTCTTCCTCTTTGAAGTTATCGAAATATTCTGTTATTTTTTCCTTCAGTAATGTTAAGTCTTCTTTGAATGTAAGTATTGTGCAACCTTTGATGTCATAGTGTGTTTGAGGAAGAGTATTTTTGACAATTTCCTTTATTTGTTCATTCGGTGTCATTGAAATCGGTAAGTTTTCACGATAGAACCAGTTTCTGTCAGATTTGTAATCTTAGCTAAGTCGTAAAAGCTCTTGTTGTTTCTTCTGACTAAATGCAACATAACCATATCTTTATCTTCTTCTTTCTCCAACTCTTCAGTATATATCATATACTTATAACTCTTTTCCTTTCCTTTTGGTACTGAACGCGTATTCTTTTCTGTATGCTTTTGTCTTTGGATTCAATGACTTCATCTTTTGCTTGAAGTTTCTTTTCCATCTCTCCACGTTCTGCTTTATATAGTTCATCTAACATCATGAAAATATAACAAGCATAACGAGGTGAAGCCCATATTGCTACAGCGTTTACTAAAAGTCTATGAACATAATAACCTTTCAAACCAGGAGCCAAATTCTTGCGATTTTCATACGGAATCTCTTCTCTCGGTTTTCGAGAGAAGCAATCATATGAGGAAATTCTTCTAAAATTCTTTTGTCTGTTGGTTTTCAAACCAATGATATGCTTGCTTTGTAGAACGAAGAGCATTCATTATACTTTGCATTTGGTACATGTCATCTTTGACTGAACGAATGAGACGTAACTGTTTGTTATACTGTATGTACTCGTATTCTTCATTTATAGCTTCATGGACTATAACTGTTGTTGTGTTCTCTGATGTTGTATTACTGTCTTTACATACAAAATAAAAAAATAAATAAAAATAAAACTAACTTTATTTTCTGACTTTCACAAAAGACCAAAAATAAACGCTTTACATGTATTTTTCAGCAACTTCGTCAAATAATTTTATAGCTTTATCTATCTCATCTACTTCAAACGTTTCTTTACCTTTCGTGGGAGCACCATACATTTTCTCAAAAACTTCAAGCAGTTCTGTTTCAGCAGCTCTCATATCATTAACAAACACAACCTTGACTCTATTGACTGTACTGTCATATCTTTGAGTTATATTATATGTCCTTCCTATCTTATATCTTTTTGTGTTGAAGTCCTTCGGTTTCTGAACGATGTAAAGTAAGCCTTCACTGCAACGTTCCGTATCGAATGAACCATATGTTATGAAGTTATATCCAACAACTGGGTCTAACCATAACAAAACTATTGGTATAAGACTTTTGTCTATAAGATATGCTCTTGTTCCATGAAATGCTACTGATATCATAAGCTCAGGATTTCTTGTCAAAATTTTCTGAGTTGAAGCATTTCTACCCAGTCGTTTGTTTTCTTTCCAGATGGAGATATAATGTCTGACAAAGAATATTTGTTGTATTTCTTTGAGTATCTTACGTTTAAATCACCTATTCTAACCACTTTGGTGTCATTGTCTATCTTTCTAACTGTTTCAAACTCAATGTTTGTCATTACTGTCTTTACATACAAAATAAAAAAATAAATAAAATAAAATTAGCGTTATTTTTCTAACTAATGAAATTCATTATTTTTGTGCTGAATTCAATAAAAATAATTTTTAGGTGAAGAGGTGAGATCTCACCTTTTTTTTCACCTAATTTTTCACCTCTTTTTTCACAAGCGTTTTACATGAATTGTACGATGTATATTTGAAATCCTAAACAATTTCGTAGCTTCAATTTCTTCTTTTAGTACATCGAATGTTTTAATCATGCCGAAAGTCTCTTTATATTTCTTCTTGACGTCAGACAGAAGGAAATCTTCTGCAGTTGGATAGTTTTTGTTCAGAAATGTCAACATATCCATTTTATCTTCTGCTGGCTTTTCTGCTTCTTTCTTTAAGTCTGCATAGTCGTTTCGCATTCTTTCTATCTCTTTGACTGAGTAGTTATATTTTCTTATTGCTGCTTTACATTTTGAACATTGCGGATTCATTTTTGCGTTATACATTGAAATAAAACCAGCTAGAACAACTAAGGCGTCAATGGTTTTCTTTAACTCAAAAGCTGCTGGTTTTAACTGTTCATGCCATACCTTACCTCTTCTATCTTTATCTCTTATTTCCCAAACACATTTTGCAACTAATGAAACAAAGTTATCGTATGTCTTAAACTCCACCGATTTATATATGTCAGAAATATTTTTATAAACCATGTCGCAATCTTTGTCCATAACTTTATGGTTGCAATGATATCCTAGAAACTCATAATTTACTTTACGTATGAATTTCTTTATTTCTACTGAGTCAGTTGGTTTCACTTCTATTTCGTCGAATTCAGGAATAGTTAGTTTTTGCTGTTGGATTTCAGGCAATTTGGGTAAATGGTCAATAATGTCCTGCATTTCATAAAGATACTGTTCATTTGTTTCATCTTTCGCACTACAGTCTAAATTACTTGTTAAAAGTTCTTGCTTTATCTTCTGGATTTTCTGTTTCAAAAGTATATGAAGAAGGAATAAAGCTTTTCATCTCTACCAACATTGACGTAGGATTCATGACTAGCGAGTTTGGTGCTGTAGTTGTTTGAATTGCTGTTGTGCCGATTGTTGAAATCATATCTTTTATACAAAATAAAAAAATAAATAAAAATAAAACTAACTTTATTTTTCTATCTTAAGGAAATTCATGAAAATTCACGAGAAAGCTAAAGCAATCTGAGCCGCTAAGCGGTGAGGGTGAAAAAAGAGGTGAAAAAAGAGGTGAAAAAACGGGTGAGATCTCACCTCTTCACCTAAAATATATTTTTGGTGTAAATTTATGACAAAAATAAATGGTACCATTAATAATACATGACTGTTCTCATTCATGTCTGATTTACATCTAATGAAAAAGTTTAGAAGAATTTTCTTATTCTTTCTGGCTTATTTTTGTCTTTCCAGTACTCCCGCTCTAATGGTCCCAGATGTGTTGCTTTGACTCTCTCAAGTTCTTAGATGGTATAACATCTTCAACGCCTCCTTCATATCTTACTTTATAAGTGTCATCGTTTATGTTATAGCCAAGTATTTCAATAACCACTCCTCGCTTTGCTTCGTCAATGGTTTCAGCAAGTTTGCCATTACTACTTTCAACTAATTTATGTCGAGGGTAAAATGCTATGGAGTCGTCAGCAGCTTTTATAAGATATCCATTACCTTGCGTAGAGTCTACGATATAATAGTTTCTACTTAACCTTAAACGTTTCTTTGTCAACGGTTTGTCGTCAAGAACTACACGAACTTTTGTCCAGGAATGAGGGTAAATTGTGTTGAATTTCTGATATTTTGTGTTTGACTTCGTTTCTTTTGTATATACTTTTCTTCTTGTTGTTGTGTCATTGAATTTGGTGTATGTCCTGTTGTAGAATGTGTTGAGGAATTATATACTTCGAGAAAATGTTTCATTGTTTCTTCGGTAAAGTCTCGCTCTTGGTTTAAATCTCTGAGCGTTCTTATGAAGCGGTTTATGATGCCGAGTATGTTATGGTTATGGTCTTCAGTAGTGTAGTGAGTTATGTTATGCTTAATGAGAAATCTGTGATTTCATTGCTGAGGTATGCACTGTCTTGGTCTGATGTTAAAGTACTTGGGCTATGTTCTGCTACAAACTTTTGTAAAACTCTTAACACTTCACGAGTTCCTTTATTTTTCATTGGATATGCATATGCTTTACGAGTGTTAACATTAATGAAGATGAGGAATGGTTTATGTCCTCCTTTTCTGCTTTGAATGAGAGTGTCAAATTGGTATGCGTCAGGAGTGTTGGAGTAAATTGGTAAAAAGTAGTCGTAAGGGTTTATTTTTGTTTGATGTACAACATTTTTGTCAAAGAACCTTTTCACTTCAGCTCTGTTAGTAAATCCCCAACTCTTTGCAGCTTCATTGAACTTCTTAAATGACCTCCATGGATGTTGTTCGAATACTTCTTTCAAGCTCATTTATGTAAAGTTAAAGATTTTATTCTAGGCTCAAGCGCGTTCATTGAACGCGGTACCATGCGAATATAGTCACAAATGGTGCATATAATCTTCACCCGAGCCTGTTGGATTTGTTGTGAAAGTATGGACATGATTTCCTCCCGGTTCAGTTTGTCGAAAAATCTTTTTTGCTGCATTGTTATAAGATGGAGATAAAACGTCATGGCCAGCTTCATACTCTGAGTTGTATAATGGGTGGTCTCTTAATGAGTGGCTATGGTCGCCAGAAAGTTTGTAGTTCCTGTATGAGTGTGCGGTGGAAGGTTTGCTTCTTTAATTTTCTTCGAACCTCCTGTTTGCTTTGAAGAGTTAGCACAGTATAAGAATTTGTCTACAATCTGTTCCCACGCACCAAAACCTAAAACTGTTTCTGGATTTGTTGAGTTCATTGACGTATAAATAGAGCCTATAGGATATATGGTTTCAAGAATCTGAGTCTTCATTGTTGAAGTTCATGTTTAACATTTATAAATCCTTTGCCATCTACAATATTTATATTGTTTGTTATTAAACCATTAGGAAAAGTAGGAGGATAAATTCTTTGTTCTTGTACAGTTGCACCGTTTCTTCCTGTTTTTGTTACTATTTCGATGCATGCTTTAATTTCTTTAATCTTGATTGTTTGAAATTCTTCATGTGTATGGTTCTTGTCGGCTTTTCCATTAAGCGCAGCATTTACTTCCGACTTCTTTGCATAATTTTCATCTACATAAGTTTTGTCTGCTTTCTTATCTAACATTGCTGGTAGTTCGTATGTTTCAAAGTTTCTGGCATGACCTTCAATGTTCATACATCTGTTATCTAAATTGTTTAGTGTATCTTTTACGCTTGTACTCGGATTCTCTAAAGGTGCACTTGAACCAAGGGTATAGTTCAATATTACATCGTCTGCTCTAACAGTAGTGAAGGATTCATGTGTATGGTTCTTGTCAGCTTTACTATTTAATGTAGCTTGAAGTTCATTTATATCGGAGATGTTGTGTTTATGAGATTTCAAAACTTTGTTCATTGCTTCGAGTTCAACTTTGTCAGCTTTACTTTTAATAGCATCTTCAAACGTTATTTTTGACTTAACTCTCAAAGTAAATCTTGGTTCAACTAATACACCGTTAACATTGAAAGTAGAGGCATAAATTTCATCGTTATAACAAATGCTTCTGGTGCTTTACCGTGTCATACTGTACAGTACAGCTTATGTCATAACCTTTAGCACGAATGTATTTATATCTTCTTTCATTAACATCTTCAGTGCTTATTTGTTCATCCTGTGTTAAATATCCATGGTAGTCCGTTATAATCTGTTCGTCTGAAGTTATATAATGAACGTGGTTCTTGACTTTATCACTCAGAGCTAAAAGCTCATTTTTGTCTGCTTTTTCGGCTAATTTCTCATTCACTTCTAATTCAACTCTTCCGCCAGAACTCTTATTATCATTAATCTTTTTCATTAATTCGGTAATTACGTCATAAAGACTATATTCTGTTTTCGGTTTTGTAAATAATGAGTCAAAATTTCTTTTCATCATTACATCGCTGACATTAATGATATCACCAATTCCTTTTTCATTTATTCTCTTCATTAATTCTGCAATAATGACGAATATATAATCTGTCAATTTATTCTCTTCATCGAAGGTTATAGAATGTTTTGAAATTGAAACATTAACTCCTCTAAATAAATCAATAACTTCAGGATACACGTTTTTAATGTCTCGAATAACCCGACCAGTATCCTGTTGTTCATGTTCTTCGTTCCCGTCGTTACGTGGTTTTATATCTCTAACCATCATCAACGCAGCCATAACCGGAGGGTTTGTTGCTATCTGTTCGAAAATCCGTCCGTTATGTACAGTATATCTAAATAATTTCTTTGTGTTTGTTAAAACATTTGAAACAAGTCTTTTAAAACCATCTACAAAATTTCCTGTTTCACCTAATGTTCTTGCAGCATTTACAAGCTCACCCATTCCCGCTTTTGACCCCAAAAACGTCCATATTGCATTTATTTCACTCTGTATAGTTGTCCATTCAGCGAAACTAACACCCGCATTTGCTAAGCTGAAAATGAAATTCAGTGGATCGAACTTAATTCCATCTTCTTTTTCAATTTCAACGAACTCACTAATATGAGATTTTAAGTATTCTTTCGTTAAAATTGTTTTCCCCGATGTTATGTCATTAACGAAACTATCACCATCAAAAGTTAACGAATTCAATTTCGTCGTTGATGCTTTTATTTCATACACCGCTTTATCAATAGTTTTTGGCTCACCTTCTTTAGAAGCATATGAAACATTAATGAATGAATTATATGTATTCGTGAATGAATTAAAATCAATGATTTTCATTAATGACGCCTTTAATGATTCATTTACTGTCGAATCCCTTAAAGTAATTAATGAACTGTCATGGGCTTCGCCCTGGTCGCTTTGCGACTTTATGAAAGGTACACTGCAAACCGTCGAGTTTGGATCAAATGCTGTAGTTGGTGCAGGAATATTAATGATATAAGTCATTAAATCATTAAGTGACGTAAATAATGTTGTCGTTTTTGATTTAATTTCTTTAGCATCTGTTATATATGGTAATTTTATTTCTGTAGTTTCTGAATTAAAGATATTCGCTAAAATGTTTTGTAAACTGTTTTGAACAGCTGTGTAAACCGTTGAATCCGGAACTCTTACGATTTCACCGTCCTTAATAAAAGGCATTGCACATGGTGTAGTGCTTGGGTCAAATCTTTTTGGGTTATGATTCAACATATATTCTAATGCTTCATAAACAGACCTATATACGGTTGTATTATCTTTTTCATAATTTCACCGTCCTTTATAAACGGCATAGTACATGGAGTTAAAATAGGGTCAAACTTTTCATAGTCCTTCCATGTTATGTATTTCTCAGTATTTCCATCAGTGATAACAATATATTTGTCAGTAAGTGTGAGAGAGTATTGACCAAAATATAAACGTTTAGCTCTGTCAGCTTCATACGCATATGCAGCTATACTCATATTTTAATGAGAATAAAATGTTGTTCTATTTGCAAAGTACAGACCCAAACGAATACGGGACAGTAAAGCTACAAACAAACTTAGGTCTACAGAATGAGGCGCTTGCATTCAGAATGGTTGACTTCAATACTATCGCTTTTCGTTATAACAGATGAAACAGATTTCATGGAGATTGAAATAGATGGAAAGAAGCACGAAATAAGATTTCACAATAATGTAGAATATAAGATGGAAACATTAGCTGGAGTGTTAAATGCTCTCATAAATACTACAATAAACAAGGATAACGAAGAAAACTTAATGAATGTTAAACTTATTGCAGGAGTTTTGAAGTTCAGTTATGCGAAGGAGTTTAAGATACCAAGAATGAGTCATAGAGTACAACTTCTTTTGGGTGCATACCATATGACATTTCCTTTGAAAAGTGTTGACAAAACGATTGAGATGAAATCTGTTCCATACGTATGTTATGGTAATTGTTTATACATTGAGTCTAAAATAGCTAATGTCACAGGCATTTCAGGAGTTAATAGTAAAGGTTCAGTAGAATATAAATCCTTCTGTTATGCAGTCAATTCAATGTTCATTCCAAACGTTCCTGTCATAGCAACTCATTTAGGTAAATGGGTTCGCATTAGTCCTCATAATTTGAAAGACATGCAATTCAGACTTGTTGACTTTCAAGGAGAGCCTGTAGAACTGAAGGCACCAGTGCGAATGACTGTTGAAGTTGACTTTTTAGAAAATATTAAATGCAACAGCTTACAAGAGAACTCAGAGCTAAAAATATAAAGTATGAATGTTATGTATTAGGTCATGAACTTTGGTTGTTGCTGTTTGATGAAACAAATGAGTTAGTTATGTCAGTCAAGAGAACAGAAAAATATTGTGTTAGTGAAAACTGCACCAAGTCAATAAGATTAGGTTTGCATTATGAAGATGAGTTCGATACTGTTGAAGAAGTTTTGGATAGATATTACAAATTGCTAACTTGAAATTTTTTTTGACTGACGGCGCAAAGCGCCAAGATGGGCTCAAAGAGCCCTCCTGACTGCTTTAATTTACTAAAACATATTTCAAACAAAGCTTATATTCAGTAGATAGTTTTGTATACTCGTTCGAATATTTATACTTAAACTCAACTCCTGTAGTTCCTGGTGTTTCAATGATGCGGATGTTACCTATTTTCATGAATAGTGGAGTTTGACCACAGCATTCGATTTCAGGGTCGAGATAGTCAATGACACATTGTTTCCCTGTTATTCGTGATATAACATTTTCAAGGTCCTCCTTTGTTAGAATTATTTGGTTCTTGCTTATAAGATTTACCAAAAGCTTCTTATCGTCTTTGAGTAAAATTGTTTGATATAACTGAAGAAGGTAATGGTCTACGTTATCTGAAGGATTTGTTTGAACATTTGTGTAAGGGTTGTCGTTGGCTTCTCTTGAAAGAATTTGGTCCAGTGGTGGATACTCTAACTTAACATCTGACGTAGCGTTAGCGTTTGAAGCTGAGTTTAAATTCACGGATTTCAGCTCTGGTTCTGGTTCTTTCAAACACTCTGAACTATAGTTCTTTATGACAATATTGTTTGTCGTTCGTGAGTCAACATTTGATGTTGGTTCAATTGGAACATTAACGGCACCAGCTAAGATGGATTTGCTTCTCATTTCATATAGAATAAAAACCTTTTATATGTATGAAATGAACAATATACTCGACAAGGGTTTGAATGTAAAGCTAACGAATGAAAATATTGTTGAATTCACTGAGACAGGTGCTGTGTATAAAGATGTAGAACTACTGAACAAAAGAGCTAAGGGAAGAAGCAGGAACATGAACAAAGGGTGGAAGCCTATAAAAATTTATGTCAATGATGGCTCAGGAGGTTCAAACATAAAGTATGCAGAAAGTTATAGAGTTTATGCTCTCAAAGGTGAAAAGCCTTCATTTAAGAACAGCTATTCTAACGCATATCCTCAAAAAGCTAACGGATGGGGAAGTGGATGATATGAATGACAGCAAAAATATTAACAGAAATGGCGACAGAGATGCATGGAATTTGTTTACCATCAGTCAATTGAAGGTTAAACTTTAAAACAATGTTGGTCGTTCCCATGGAATATTTTTGACTTTAATGGTATTAGTCATGATATGAATCTCAAGGTATGAACGAGGAGAGATGAGAGACTTATATGCTTCCCAAATTTCTTCAAAAGGTAATGTTATACCTGACTGTTTCCAAATGTGTTCAATATCATAACGTGAGAAACCTTGAAAGATAACGAAGTCAGTTATGAGACGTTTTATGTTTAAAGCAAGAAAACGCCATGTTTGCATAAGTATTGCTACAGTTAAGTGGTAATGTCTGACTTTAGTTATGATGTTAGCTAATGGTGAGTCTGGTTTTGACACTAAACCTTTTCCGGCGAAGTCGTCACAAACGAGCAGAGTGTTTGAAGGATACTTTTTGAAGGGGTATTTTGAAAGTTTTGACAGAATGTAGTTTGTAAGTCGTTTCATATCGTAAACTCCTGAGTATTGACGTAAGTGGTGTTTGTCAATAATTCTTTCCATCTCCTCAGAAGTCTTTTGCATTCCTGACTGTATAAATTCAACGATGGCATAATATTTCCTCTTACGTCGAATGTAACGTTGAAGAAATTCAATGAGTTCACTGTCTGGAACTTTAACGACAGAGGCTTGAACTTTTGACATAAATGTTTTCGCTGTTGAGTCCATAGAGTCTGAAGTTGCTGATATAATGATTTGGTCATAATATGAGTCATTTCCTAAACGTTCTGTTATAAGAATATGACGAATGAGGTTAAATGTCTTTCCTGACCCCATCTTTCCACAATAGAAATAAACACCATTTGAACAGAACTCATAGTCCTTACTGAAAGGAAGAATAAGAGAAGAGTTGAGCTTTTCACTGCTTTCATTCATGTCTTCATCTACGTCATGTATTAAATGCTTCATTTTATCTCCATTAAAAATGCAAGTCAGAAATATTCAGAACATAGCACCGAGTCTAACTGACAAGAGTATAAAGATATACTATGAACATGTTATGATGAAACCAACCAAAATTCAAGAAAGTCAGTATACTTATGAATATCCAAGACACTGGGTAGAGTATGTAGGAGGTGAGAAAGCTATTGAAATCAGACAGGTTCGAAGTATTCCAGCAGGAAGAACAATATTATTGAAGAACTTTAATGTTTTGAGATATAATGATGAAACAAAGAAGCAAGATAGTTTCCCTGTTGCTGTGTATGTGAACTTAGATACAGGAGATGACATGAAAGTTTTTAATACAAAGCTTCAAACGGTAGTGAGAGAACAACTGACTGCGGAAGGACATCCATTACCTTCAGAAGTTACCATAGCATATAATTTTGAAACAAACTCAATAGATTTTAAAGTCATCTCTGCAAAGAAGTCAGGTTTTACATTTAATGAAGCAGATGTATATTCGAATGAAAACTTCAAAGCTATTGCATGGTTAGATAATGACGATTGCTTTAAGAAAATCTTTAAATTCAGTGACTCAACGATGTCAATAGATGACCTTCGTGGAATGTTACCATCGACGTTTACAGTAGAAGGTTCAGCAGGATTGCTTACAAGATTGTCAATTGGTGGTATTTGGTCTCGTGAGAACATTGTTATAAAATCCAGTATAAGTGAATTTGCTGAAGAATCTATATTATGTCTTTCAAACTATATGTATTCGCCGCCGAAGCATTATAGTATAACAAACTTTGTCAGTAAGTTTAACATAAGACTTGTCGAACCTTCTTCAATGAAAGATGTTGTGCTACCAAAAGATGGAAAGGATGGACTCATTATTGAGATGATTTTAATAGCATATTAAATGAGCTTGTTATTGAAGGTCATTCATGATGAAATAACTGTTGTAGAAGATGTTAGCAATTGTTCAGACATTTTGAAGCGTATAGATGAGATAAGAAAGAAGTTAGATAGACCGCAAAGTGGTGAGGGCGAAGCCCGTGAGAACGCTTATGTTTCATTGACTTTCTCCAGTAACGAGAACTTTTATGAGATAATATTGAAGAGAGATGATTTTAATATGGTGTAAATGGTAGCTTGGGCAGCTTTAGGCGCAATGGGAACAAAAGCATTAGCATTTGGAGCAAAAGCACTTGGAGCTTATGACGCAGTAAATAAAATGAGTGGAGGAAGGGTTTCGAATACATTAGATGCAAATAAAGGGAAGATTGGAGGCTGGGTTGCAAAGAAGTTAAGATTAAATAAAATAGGGCTCATAAATAAAGCATCCAATTTGATTGCGACTGAGTCAGAAAATGCTTTAGGAAAGGACGATGAGTTTGCAAAACACGCAAAAGACTTTAATGACCAGATGAAAGGTGAAACAATGCATTTAAATAGAGTCGATGGAACTAAAGAAAATGTTTCTTCTCCACCAGCGGTTTATCCATACGGACCTTATGGAATGTATGGAAACCCTTATGAACGACCATTTGACCCATTGACTGGTGGAAGTAATTGGTATCATTATGGACGAAGAAGAAAGACAGTCAAGTTGGAGACAGACGTGAAGAAAGCAACTAAAAAGAAACCAAGGAAGAGAGTTATAAAGCAATGAATTCAACAGGGTGAAAAAAGAGGTGAGATCTCACCACTTCACCTAAATTTATTTTTGTGCTATGTTTTCATACGTGTGAGGGTGGTGATATCATTAATTTTTAAGTTTATTTTTTATTTTATTTTTATTTGGATGTAAATGACAGAACAAAAGCAACTCATTCGAATTCCACAGTATAACAAACATACATTTAAACATTTATTCTTCCTTCCTGAGCATAACATGTTCTTTCAAATACATCCGAGACCAGTTGACTTTTCATTGACTGTGTATAAAGATAGAAATAGTTATATCATTAAACCATATGATGACGAAGGTAAGTTATGTAAATTGTACGTTAAGAAGTTAGAGAAAGTTTATGGCTTCAAGTATGACTACAATAGGGTTAACACTGATGATGAAGATATTGAGGAAAATTTATGAGAACATTAGTGAAGTCGTTAGTGAGAATGATAGTGAGAACGTTTATTTTTACATTAGTGAGTTCGTTAGTGAAGTGAAGTGGGTGGTGGTTTTGTAAATATTTAAGGTTAAGTTAGTGTTGTCGTTTGTGTTGTAAAATATACGTTAACGGTTTTGTAAAGTGTCAAACCATTATCTTGGGTGAAGGTGGAAACGCAGTGCCACCATAACCAAGATAACCATACTAACTGCAGAATTGCTTATTAAAAATGGTGCAATTGTCAATATAAGAAATCTTGAAGGAAATACACCATTACAACTTGCAGCAGAAAATAATTCTAAGGAAATGATTGAATTTTTGATGATGAACGGAGCAAATATTTCCGATCGAAATAATGCCGATAAATCTGCTGTTTATTTGGCAGCAGAAAATGATGCTAGTGATGCTGCAGAAGCCCTTATATTACATGGTGCAAATGTTAATGAAACATATAATTACGGAGAAACAGTTCTTCATATTGCAGCAGAATTAAATCAAGAGAATGTAGCATCTGTTTTGGTTTCTCATGGTGCAATCATCAACGCTAAAGAGTATGAAAATGGCTCAACCGCGCTTCATAAAGCTGCAATGAAAGGCAACACTAATATTGTGGAAATTCTTCTTTCACATGGGGCTGATGTTAATTCAAAAGATTCTTCTCGGAAAACAGCTCTTGATTATGCAAAAGAAAATGGCAATGAGAAAATTGCAGAACTTTTAATATCGAATGGTGCAATTCCCAATTCAATGGATAATTAAAATTATTCAAATAATGATTTATTTTTCTATAATAAACAATATTTATTCTAAAAAAAAATAATAATGTTTTATGATCAGCATTGTTGATAAAGATATATTGATATAGGGTGTCCAAAGGTGTGTTTAGCACAAACCTGAATACTGCGAATAGAAATAAACAAGTTACATATATATAAAGTTTATTTAAATATAATCACCATTGGATTCAATCACGCGTTCGCAGCGATCGATCCAGGCTTGAAAGACACGCTTTAAATCATCATGAGAAAATTGCTCAAATTGCTCTCTTACAAAATTTTCAAGATCATCTGGACTCGCGAATTCGCGTCCTTCAGCTCTCTTTTTTAGCGTGCCGAATAAATAAAAGTCAGAGGGTGCAATATCAGGTGAATAAATTGGGTTTGGAACAACTTTGACATTGTTTTCCACCAAGTAATTCATTACCTTATGACTTTTGTGAACTCTTGAATTATCAAAATGAATTGCAAACTTTTGTTTTTGTTGTTTGGATTTCTCAAACTCATCAGAATTGATAATTTGAGTAAGAACATTGTCAATTAGATACTGAGCATTCATCGTATTAGGTTTTTGAAGAATATCAATTGCGATGATGCCATTCACGCCCCAAAAAACCGACAACATCATCATTGGTGTGTCAATTTTTTTCTTCGGGAATGTTTGCGGATTTTCATCCTTCGGGATCCACATGATTTTGGCTTCTGTTGCATATTGAAACCAAGACTCGTCCCCTGTTACTAAAAAGCGAAACTTCTTGGATTGATACGCACCCAATATAGAGAGGAGCTCTTTCGAAGATTGGACTCTAGATTTTTTTTGAACTGAATTAAGGTTGTGCGGAACCCAACGTGTATACGCTAGTTTGTAGTTCAAATAATTGTGCAGATAATAACTGACTGTTGTACGTGGTATCTTTGTCATCTCCTCTATCCTTCTGAGTGATGCTCTTGGGTCTTCATCTAGCGCTTGAAGAATTGCTTTGATTTTTCTTTGATCCGGCGATTTTTTGTCAATTTTTATGATGGGCGCCTTTTTGTTCATGAAGTGATACATCCTAACATGATACGTTACAGTGGAATAGCTAGGAGCATCCATACCGAAGCATTTTACCAATGTCTCGTAGATTTTTTTACAGTCTTTGCATTTTTTTGCAAGAGCGAGGATGTTTTCTTTATGATTCATTAAAAAAATGAAAAAAATCCCGCCAAAATTTCCCGCGAAACCGCCTCTTGTCTCAAAATTCATTTTATATCCCGGCATGGCGCCAAAATACAACATACTCATCATATACATATATTCATATTTTTTATTATATATTTATAATCAGCATATATCTCCTTTAATAGTCTCATATAGAGCGCTGTGCTAAACGCACCTTTGGACACCCTATATTATGCAAGGATGTCAGAAAGTTGTAAGTGCACCCTTAAAGCCATTTTTGTCGACCTTATATATCTTATTTCAAACTATAATACAGCCAAATTCGAAAATCATGAAAACAGATATTATTTAACTTTCTTGAATTAATCTTTTGGTATATTTTTACTCCTTAGTAGCTACTTGTCCTAACTGTAGTCTTAATTAACTTAAAATATTAAATCAATGACGATGTGGGAATTTGAAATGGAAATATTCAATGGATTTTGTTTTATCTATTGATTTGAGATATAAACATTCAACGGATTCTGTTTTATTGATAATTGCAAATTCTGCTTGACAATTACCAGTTGAAAGATGAATCAAATTGTTAGTAAATAGTCCTCTTGTTGTGTATTTATCTGATTTAGCTGAATAATATCCAACAGCATCCTGTAGAACTTTTCATTTGTTGATGAAACTACGACATTATCATACAATGTAAAAAAAAATAGAATATTCATTTTCAGTTCCTGCATCGAAAATGGAACTTTCAATTAAAAAGTTTAAGTTATCTGTATCAACTTTTGTATATGAAAATTGGCCATTAACTTTGCCTTTAATTCAGCAAAAATAATGGATTATTATGATGATTTCAATAAAAATGTCAAAAAACGCCGCTTCATTTTAGGGGAAAATACTCAACTGTCTGAATCGATCCGGATCCCATATTTATGATTCACTACTTTTTTTTCGCCAAAATTTAACTTAAGTTTATTTAAATAAAGATGATTCTCGGATATAAATGATTCATCTTTGGTTTGAATTATGTTTGTCTTCGAAATCGTTTACTATTCATTAATAAATAGAAAAATTTCACATTTATATTTTAATGAATCAGGGATATCAATATTCAAAAGAGGACAGTCATTTTCAAATGAAAACAGATATTGTTTAACTTTTAGAATTAATCTTTTGGTTATTTATTTACTCATTAGTAGCTACTCGTCTTAACTGTATGCAGAAATCATGTAGGACTTGAGCTTAATTAACTTAAAATATTTAATCATCGCCGACGTGGGAATTTGTGAGAGAAAAATTCAATGGATTTAGTTTTATCTATTGATCTGATAATTGCAAATTCTGCTTGGCAAATATCAGTTGAAAAATGAATCAATTTGTTAATAAATAGTCCTCTTTGATTAGTAGGTTCTACAGTTCAATAAAATGTTGATGAAATCGAATTGTCAATGTAACAACTATCAACTGTTAATTGATCATAATAGTTACATATCAAACATGAACGTTCAGGAGCAGTGTTGTTAATAAAAGAACAACTTTTTACAGTAAGAGAATTTTGTTCATGGTAAATAATTCCATATGGTGATTGTCTATTAGTATTATTTATAATATTACATGAATCAATCAAAGCGTTATAACGAAAATTTAATATATCACTATCTGTTCCTAAATTATTAACAACAGTTGAATAGTTAAATGTTGTTGTGTATTTATCTGATTTAGCTCTATAATTGTCCTGCAGGTTGCCATTTAGCTTTATTTGATGAGAAATTTGTTGATGAAACTACAATACTATCATACAATGTTTCAAAAATAGAATATTCACTTTCATTTCCTGCATTGAAAATGGAACTTTCAATAATAAAGTTTATGTTATCTGTGTCAACTTTTGTATATGAAATTTGGCCTTCTCCTTGACCTTTGCATTTTGTACAACAGAATTTGCGTTGAACAATTGAACTATTCTTGTCAATTTGGTAGTAAACGCAACTTCCACTTGATGTTGAAGTGCAATTAATAAAAGAACAGCGGTTATGTAGGAATAAAGTGTTGGAAATAGAATTAAAATAGATAACTCGGTCATGGTCATCAAAGAAGTTGCATTCATCTAAGAAATATTGCTTTTTCCCTCCTGAGATATTGCAATTTTGACATTTTATGGTATTTTCTCCTGAAAATTTAGTATTGAAGTAGGATTCCCAAATGTCAACATCTTCAGCAAATAACTTTCTCTTTAATTCAGCAAAAATAATGGATTATTGTGACGATTTCAATAAAAATGTCAAAAAACGCCGCTTCATTTTAGTGGTAAATACTCAACTGTCTGAATCGATCCGGATCCCATATTTATGATTCACTACTTTTTTTTTCACCAATCTTTAACTTGAGTTCATTTAAATCCCCAGATCCAGTAAAATAATGGTAATGAGTATAAAGATGATTCCAACTTCATTTGGATTTCCCATATGTAATGATCCAAAGAAATTTATGGATGTCTTATGCTATATTAAATCGCATAGTGTATTTTAGTTTTCTCTTTAAAAAAAAAAAAAAAAAAAAAAAAAAAGGTATTGGGGCTTCCAGGCGCGTTGCGCCCTCTAGCCCCGAAGATGTTTAGTATAAAAGCCGCTTTTTAACTTCACTTAAAATGCCACGTAAGCTACGTAAGAATATACGTAAGAGGAAGAGAGCATTGAAACATCCAATAGTAAGACTGACACCACAACAACAGTTGCAACAACAAATGCTGAATGACCCCACTATGTTGCAACAAATGTCAAGCAATCCTATGCTTTTAAACCGAGTTGTTGGTGCACAGAGTGGAGGTTTAAGAGCGGCACTTTTAGCGAAAATGGCAGGCTATGGTGGAGCTGCAGACGGAACAGCATATAACCCTCAAAGTCAAATGAATTTGAGTTCACTCAAAAATCAAATAACAGATGTCAAAAAGTCAAACATAGACATACAGAAGCAAATAAGTGAAAACGAAAAGAAACTAGAATATGACAGACACACAAAGAAACTCAATGAGTTAAACGTAGAGAAAAAAAGAAAGAAGAACAACTGAAAGAACTAAGTACAGAGGAATATGCGAAAAAAGTGTCAGAAAAAGCAGCAGAAGTAGCAAAAATGGAACAAGATGTCATAAATTTGAAAAACCATACTACTCAATATAAAATACTGAAAGATGAAGAGATAAAACAAAAAGCCCTGAAGACATATATGGATAGCGATGAGTATAAAAAAGAAGTTGAAGCAAATGTAAAGGCAGAAAAACTTTTACAGTTGCAAAACCAAACCGTACAGTATGAAAACTTAGCACAAGAAAGTAAAAATAACGACGCGGCTATGCAAAAGGCAATGAAAAGCGCAGAATATATAAAAGCCAACAATGACTGGTTAGATGCCCAAGCCAACGCTAAAGCAGCCCAACTCATAGGGTCAATAAGGACAAAAATACAAGCGGATGAAGACAGTTCAAATGAAGCTTTAACAAATGCTGACTTTAAGAACGCCTTCGAAGCTCTTCATAGTAAGGTGAAACAAGTGAACGACTTCTCATCTGGAAAGAAACTGAAGTCTGAAGGTTTCGACAAAGAGTTAAAAGAAGTAGCACAAAATATGACGAAAATAACAGATGCAGCAACGAGACAGGCAGTTCAAAGTGCCTATGACGCCGTTAGAGCAACTGTTGTGAAAAGTCAAGAAAAAGAGTTACAACAGACCAAAACAGACCTAGTAAATGCTTTCTTAAAAACGAAAAGTCAGGTAGGACATTACGCTGCAGATGGAACATATGTGCCAGCTGGTGGAACTTATATACCACCAAACCCTCCAAGAGAAGCACCTGCACCAGGACTACCTAAAACATTTACATCGTCACATGGACACAGACACAGGCATGCACCAAAACCAACAGTTCAAAATCCAGCACAACAACCAACACAACCAGCACAACAACCAACACAACAACCAGCACAGCAACCAACAGTTCAAAACCCTGCACAACAACAACCACAAACAGAGCAAGGACATAAAAGAAGTAGAGAACAAGGAAACCAAGAATTCTTAAAAATGCTTAAAGAAGAGTGTGGTTTCCCAGATAGTATTGACTTTAGTGACAGATATAAAGAAGCTATTGGAAAGTTCAAGGATGGAAATACTGACCCGAACCTATTTAGCTTTATGGCTCAGCACCAAAACGGATATAATCTCAAACCTGGAAAATACAAGCTCGCTAAGGGATATGATTTAATAGCATATCATCCAAATTGACATGGATGAATTTACTCCGAGATATTTGATGTCAGAGCTAAATGACAATTCAACTTTCGTCATGAAACGCGTAAAAAAATAGAGACGGAACGAAAGAACAAAAGCTTATGAATGCGGATGACGTAGATAGGGAAATTGTTGAAAACGGTCTCGGAATATATGAAATGCCAGCAGATGAGGTACAAGAAAACTCCACAGGAAGAACTAGTTCAGATACAACCAGACATGGAAGAAATAGTTTCAGCAACAACAGCTAGAAGAGCCTGAAGGAAACGAAAACAAGTCCCTCCTTTGGAAACTAACCTCACAGAACTAGATGAAGATTTGGAACAGCCGAAAAATCTTGACCCTCAACAAGAGTATGCGGAGAATATGGAATATTTCCAAGAGTCTAAAAAAAATTCGGCTGACATAGTAGAAAGAATATCGAAAATGTTTGCCGACATACAAAAGACTCCAACACAGATGAAAATATTCAGCATAGAATGGAAGCACTGAAAGAAAATGTACACAAATACAACAACCCTTTTTACTTACGAGCATTTAACGTTCAATCTTCGGATGAACTCGGTGAAAATAAAAGGTTAAATTTCAAGAAAACATATAGAAATGAAACATTGTTTAAAGTTCATTCAGAACCTAACCAAGATGGAAACAAACCTACTTTTGTTTCTGCAGACGATGGAACTACAATGAGATGGGGTCATAAAGCTAACCCGGATAGGTGGTTCATAAACTTACAACCTCAATTCCAAGAAGTTGTAGACGCAATGGAAGTCAATGGTGAACCAGATATAGCTGGTATTTTAAGCGCGGCTTTAATGCCATTGAAAGATATGAAACATGCAGATATTTTGGACCAGTATGAAATGAACATGGCTGATGGAAATATAACACCTGACGTTCTAGAACATTTATCTCAAAGAACTACACAGAACCATAAAGATGGTATATTTGGTGAAGAGTTTAGAAAGAAAGTTAGGGAGACAGAAGAAGAGAACCTATTGTACATGACCTTGCAAATGAAAGTTTGCAAAATGTCATAAAAACTTACTTTGCAGACAATGAAATGAGAAGGGATGAATATTTAAGAAAAACTCAAATGGACAGTACCAAATGAAATGTTAGTATTGAAAAACATGTTCCTTGACAAAATAAAACCAACTACAGAAATAAACGACGCAAGACTGAAAGATTGGGTATAAAGCTTTCCCATTCACAAAAGATATAGTTGGTAACATGGAAAGAAAACCAGAATGGCTACAAAAACATATATTTGGAAACGAGCATATTCCATATGGACAGGCACTGTTTGAAGAGCTTGAACCGGAAACTCAGGAAAGAGTCATGCAAACAATACGCGAAGACTCAAATACAAACTATGACAAAACTCTTTCTAGGATATAGGTTACCTGAGATGGGCGACCAGAGCCCAAAGGCAAAAAGGACATGGGAAATTTACAACATACTAGGTGAACATGAGGCAAAGATGCAACAACTTGAAGCAGAGGGCAAGTTACCAAAAGCGACACCAAAGAAGAAGAGAAGAGTAGAACAAAGTGAAAGTAGTGAAGAACAAAGTGAAAGTAGTGGCAATGAAGGAAAAAGAAGAGTTAAAAACTCAGTCAGGAAGAAAGTAAAGCTTGGTCCACGTGGGTTCTATTATGACACATAAAACCAACTATTCTATATTTTTACCATATGAAATGTACGCCGCTCAGAATATAACGCCAACAGTTTTGGATGCTATGAATGGAAATGTTTCCGAATGGTATAACGAATGCGACAATGCCATTAGAAGGTCAGAAATAGTTCCTGGAACTTACGAATATACAACTGCTGTTTCTTATGGAAACGTAGGTGAGTTTGGAGAAGGTTCTTCAACAACAGTAGATATTGCTTGCGACAGGTTTCATATAATTTCTATTGACAACCTTTCTTATACGTGGAACAAGACATTGAAATAAAACCTTCTGCCAAGTTGTCTGACAAGAAAGGTTGCAATGGAATTTTCTATGTCGGATACCAATATGCTCCAGAAGTTTTCATGGGATATAAGATATATTCTAACTCTGACTTAGTTCAAACAGTAACATGGGCAAACTATGAATGGTTCGCTTTGAGAAACTCAGTACAACCACAAGCTAGAGAACAAACAGACCAGTATGCAACTATTGAGAAAATAAGAAGACTTGACCCTAACGTTCCAGGAGTTTTATGTTAACCTTTCTGGACAAACTGCAGCAGCAGTAACCAAAGTAAAATGAAACTTAGAGTTCCTTTGTCATCTTTCCTCATCTTCAGGTTTTTAAGATACTTGCCAAACTGGGCAGGAAAAATTTCTATCGAACTTACTCCAAGCAAAAATAACTTAGTCATTGCACCAACACAAGACCCATTCACTCTTACAGAAGTAGTGGAACAAATAAATGTCATTCGCCGACTTTTGCAAAAACAAAGTTGACTTAGACTTTGGTTTCTCAAACCTCAACACTGAAGTAAACTATTATTTCAATGCTGCTGGATGCTTGGGACCCAGTTAAGTTCACATGCGAAAAATTTGAATGCAAGAGAATAGAAAGCAGACTTGCAGTCTATATGTTGGACCCAGATATTTCAAATGCTTTAGCTGCCAAATATATTGCAGTTCCACTTATGTTCCCTATACACCAAATATCTGTCAAAGACTTTGCAGGTGAAGTTGGAAACCAAAGTGCTGACCCAGGTGCAAGAACAGATATTGCTTAACAACTGCAATGAAACATGCAGATACTATGTTTGTACTGTTCAGACGAACTATAAATGACTATTCTTGCTTCTACAACCCTGGTATTAAATATCATATAAACATAGATGGCAAATACTATCCAAGAGAAGAATATTCTACAGTTGAGGATATGAGGTCATACAACTTGACATTAGATGCTATGAACTTTAACAACAACTTCACAACAACCATTAACCCTGAAATGCAAAGTTCTATTATGCCATATGTGAAAGTATGGACTCATACAGGAGGTCAAAAAACTCAATATACAAATGGAGACCGTTCAAACTTTTGGCTTGGCATTCCATTTGCTGACTCAGAAGACTTTATGGGTGGTATTTCAACTGTTGGTACAGTTCAAATACAATATACTGGTGACAGAGACGGTCCAGATGAATTGAAAGCAAAGAAGTTTACAAAACCAATAGCACTTTTCACGGAAGATGCTCTTTTGAAGATTCGTTCGATGAAACCTGCTGGGGCTCCTCAGATTGGCATAACGACAGCTTCCATCGAGCAGATTTTGGCAGCAGGTCAGTAAGTTGTTCTTGAACTGACTTCTCTCCGTCAAATATTGACAGTACGCCAGTTTTGACATAGTATTGTATTAAAACTTTCCTTTAGAAATATCGGTCAGTTTTGTTGTTATATTTTTGTCTGCTTCAAGAACTTTCACCATCTCGGTTATACCAACTTTCTTTGCTTTATGAAAATATTTTGGTTCAGCAAAGACTGCTATTCTATAACATTTTCCATTGTTTGTATAAAGAACTATTCTGTCAATGAACTTGTATTGTTTGTGTGTGTAAACTTTGTTTTGCTTCAATTCGAAGAGATACTCAAATACGTCCATCTTTTTATTCTAAGTAAAATGTCATTTCCGAAAAATAGAAGCGTAAGTGTTTCAAAAGGTTTAATGGCGATGGCAGATGTGAAGTTAAATTCACCAACTCAAACAAACAGTCAAAGTGTTGTTGTCAATGTCAAAGAAAGAGATGTTGAAGTGGGGAAACCATACGAAGACGAAGATGGTATAACAATAGTTCCTGTAAAAGAACAACCAACATACCCTGAAGTTAGCAGAGACTTAAGTTCTGTTGCAGATATTCGAAACGACTACCAACAACTTAAAGACAAACTTAAAACTCAGGAGAAGATTTGTCAAGCTTTGGGTATAATGTTAAACTTGGTCGAGCACAACCCTGTAAAAGTGAACTCATATGTCATCGCACCTCATGAAATTTTGAAAGAACTATTGAAACTTTTGACAGAGGCAGACGATATAAACATCAAAGAAATAGAACCCGACATTGCTTGCTGTGGTGTTTCATATAATGTCATTGACAAGATATACGTTATGAAAGGAGGTGAAACGTTGAACTTAAAATATAGTTTCCCAGACGTCATAAAAATATTTGACGACCACAACATTTCATTAAAATTTACTTGCTAAGTAAATGGCAGAAGACATAGTGGTTTATACTATTACGACTAAAAACCCTGAGTCATATAATTCTATAACAACAAACTTACAAAGTCCTCAAGGACGATATTGTAAACTGACCTTAAACACGATGACGACTAAAGCCTGTTTTGCTCTTTTGACACCAGAAGACTTTGTTGTTGTGAATGGTAAAAAATACTCCTTTGAAGATACTTACTCAGATATACCACCAACAGGTTTTGTTGACTTATTTAATACTTTAAGGACGGATGTAACATGTGCTGCAACTAGAGCAGGTTTCATTATGTTTGGATGTCCGACTGAGTTTAGTATAAACGATATGAGCTATAATACAAAACTTATATCTGGTTTTTACTACCAACAGTTTCCTATAACAGGAAAAGGTGTCATACAAGGAATGTCTGTTCCATTGACTTTAAGTACACCTATTTTATATATTGTTTCAAACTTAGGTTCAAAGTGCTATTCGAATGTCGACAGAAACTACTATGACCAAAAGATACTCATGCGTATAAACAACACTTTCTCTGCTGGTTTGCCTATTGTTCATTCGAATGCAGAGTTTTCAGCTTTAGTAAACTCAAACACTTTAGCAAACATAAACTTAACCTTAGTTGACGCAAACTTTGTTCCTGTAAAACTTTTATGTCCTATGTATTTGTCAATGACGGCAGAAAGTTTCGAATTGGAAGATGCAACTGGTGAAAGTATTGTACTACAAGAACAACTTCAACAACAAATAGCTCAAGAACAACAAATGCTCAAGAACAACAAATGCAACAAAAGTCAAGAATAAAAAAAATATTTTTTTTTATTTTTATAAAAATGTACAGAATAGACGTTTCAGATTTTTATGACTTCCAAGCGTTCAGAAATATGTGTCCATTTCGAGACTATAACAAAGCAGTCGAGAATTTGAAACGTTTAGTCATTTATGTTGACTCTGCCCCAGAATGTTATGTCATGAAAGAATGGGATGTAGTCTTTAACAAACCTAAAGCGACAATAGTTTCAGAACAAGAATGTAGACAGAAACTTAAGAAAATAAAAGTCGTACAAGTTGGCATGAAGATGTTAGATGCTTGGGATATCTTATTGTCAAAGTTAGAAGATTTTTCAGTTCGTGGTATAAAGTTCTATACACCATCTCCAAACTTCTATTCTATCTTCACTGGATATAAATATGAACAAGTAGAATGGAAAGAAAATGTTATAGAAGCTTGGTTAGACCATGTCAAAGAAATTATATGCAATGGAAACGAAAGAGTCTATGAGTATATCTTATGTTGGTTTGCAAACATCTTACAACATCCAAGTGCTAAAAATGAAACTGCTCTCATCATAATTGGAAAACAAGGAACAGGTAAGAACACTTTCTTTACAGATATCTTATGCAAACTGTTAGAAGGCTATTCGAACCCGAATATGACAAACTTAGAAAACATCTGCGGTAAATTTAACTCTTCAATAGAGAATATGAAACTTATAGTATGTAACGAACTTCAAAGTATAGATACAACAAAAGTTTTGAACTCAGATGCTTTGAAGAGTCTTATAACAGACAAAGTTGGAGTTGTTGAAAGAAAATATAAAGACCAAAGAGTTTGTGAAAATGTTGCAAATTTCATCATGGTTTCAAACAACGCCGTTCCGATGAAGTTAGAAAGTTCTGACAGAAGATATGTAGTTGTCAGAACGTCAGAAGCTCATATGCAAGATACAGAATATTTTGACGACTTAGCAGAAACTTTACACCTAACTTTTACAACCACTTGTTCTCATATTTCATGACATTAGATATTTCAAAGTTCAATCCAAGACAAATTCCACATACCGAAGAGAGACAAACATTGTTAGAAGCAAACAAGAGTGTATATGAACTGTTCATAGATGAAACTGACTTTGAGTGTTTAGATGAAAGGTCATTGTACGATTCGTATAAACAGTATTGTCAAGAGTATGGTTATATGACAGCGTCTAAACGAACATTCTTGGCAAATGTCAAAAGTCTTTTAGACGTACAGAATGGTGTATATACAAAGAAAAATTTTTCTGAGTAAATTTTAAAAAAATATTTTTTTATCCGATAGAAAAGATGACGAAATTCATCTCAGTCAACAAGTACATGTCAGGACTTAAAGAAGAACTAGACCCATTCACATATTTGAATGTTTACTTCTACCATTTTGAAAAGTCTACATTTGACAAAGTTTGGAACATCGAACCAGTTAAGTTTGCTATTGTGACTAAAAATGGTGCGAAATTTGAAGACTTAGACATAGAAGGTTTGTTAACAGTCAAAGAAAGTTTTGACAGAAGGTTTTCAAACCTTAAAGAAGGCAAAGCATACAAACTTGTTATACCTTATGAACCAAAGAAAGCAGACGACTATGAATATTATGAGTCTAAGATAGTTGAAGTTCAAGGTAAATTGGGTAAAAAGATTTTAGAGTCTAAGCCAGTGTTTGCTCCTAAAGAGGAAGAGAACATTGACATTGACCCAGAAATGTTCTAAAAATAAAATTTTATTTTTACATGTCAAATTTCTTTTTCTCTGGCTCTGGTTCTTTCTTCTCTTCTTCTACTTTCTTTTCTTTCTTTTCTCTCTTCTTCTTCTCTGGTGGAGTTATGTCAAACTTCTCAGAACCATATTTTTGTAAAAGTCTTTGTCCTTTAATAGCTCTTCTATTCTGTTTTCTATTTCATTTCAAGAACAGCGCATGTGTCTTCTTTGCATTCTAAGAAGTTTTGTTGGACTTCATCTCTCCAAGAGGCGTCATCTCTGTCAACAAGTCTGTCATTGACAAATTTTAAGACTTCTTGCTTAATGTTTTATGGTTCTTGTCATATTCCCAGAAACAGAACTTTAGAACAAATTCACCTTTCTTGTTTACACTATGTAAGATTTTATGGTCTACAGATGTTTTGCTGTCGAAAAGCTTGTCTTGAATATAGATAGCGAAATCGCTAGACATTTCCTAAAAGATAAAAATTTTAATTTTTCTAAAAATATGTTAGAAAAAAAGTTTGCTGACATTGACAAAAAATTTGAGAATGTTTTAAATAAGAACAAGAGGAAGTTGGAAAATGCTCAGATAAAACCCATACATGACAAGTTCCTATTTGCTCAGAATGGTATAACAGGTCTAATTGCACCGCCTGGGTCGGGTAAGACTTTCACTTATCTTAAAATGGCTGCACAACAACAAGAACTAGATGAGAAGAACCCATTCTATGAGTTAGTAGTCATTTGTAGTACTTCTGGTCAATTTGACCAAACCGTCAATTCGTTCAAAGATATTATAAAAAAGTCTAAGTTAGTATGTATAAAAGACTCTGAGTTGTTAGATTGGATAAAGAAGTACCAAAGAAGAGTTTTGAAGTACAATGCTATAAATGAGTATATAAACTCGAAGTTTAAAGACCCAAATGAGGAAATGCAGAGAATATTAGAGAAGAAACACTTCAGAAACAAACAGAAAGAGATAGAATACATTTCGAAGAAATTGCAATCTTACGATTGGAAGACTTACCCTCATAGATGTCTTCTTATCTTAGATGACTTTGCTTCTCATCCTTTGTTAAAGAATAGAGAACAAGACATGTGTCGAATTCTTAAGAAGCTCAGACACTTTAACATCTCAGTTGTCATTTGTGTACAGACAGCAAAGAGTTTAAGTAAGGATGTTAAAAGAATACTTACTGACATTGTACTTTTCCCCGGATTGTCCGAAGACGATTTCATGGAACTTATGAAAGAGTCCATGGCAGGTAAGTTTGACAGACATGAACTATGGGAGAAGTACAAAGTCATACAAGACCCTCATACTTCTTTCAGAATTCATATCTACGCGAACAAAGTTCAAATTGTAAAAAGTCAATAAAAATAAATGGTTCATTTACTCTGCTTGTTTGAAGTTGTCAAAATACTCTGTTATTTTTCACGATTTTCATGAGTTTTAGGCTAGACCGGTAAAAGTCGGTCTAGAGAAATTTCACGATTTTCATACGGAATCTCTTCTCTCGGTTTTCCGAGGGAAGCAATCTTATGCCATTTTACTCAGAATTTTGGTCATTTTTTTCAGCAAAAATATATTTTAGGGTAGAAGGTTAGATCTAACCTGTTTTCTAACCTCATTTCTACCCCATATGTCCTTACTGAAAAAAGTATGTGTTCCATATGTCATTTTACTCAGAATTTTGTTGCTGAATTCAATAAAAATATATTTTAGGGTAGAAGGTTAGATCTAACCTGTTTTCTAACCTCATTTCTACCCCAGTTATTTTAAGCGTTTTACATGGTAAACATTGTGAATTCGTGAAATTCTAAACAATTTCGTAGCTTCTATTTCTTCTGTCAGTACATCGAATGTTTTAACAATGCCGAAGGTTTCTTTATATTTCTTCTTGACATCTGAAAGAAGGAAATCGTCAGCTGTTGGATAGTTTTTGTTTAGAAATGTCAACATGTCCATTTTATCTTCTGCTGGTTTCTCTGCCTCCCTCTTTAAGTCAGCATAGTCGTTTCGCATACGTTCTATCTCTTTGACGGAGTAGTTATATTTCCTCATTGCTGCTTTACATTTAGAACATTGTGGGTTCATTTTTGCGTTATATTCTGAAACCTTACCTGCTAGTATGACTAAGGCGTCAATTGCTCTCTTTAACTCAAAAGTTGCGGGTTTTATCTGTTCATTCCATATCTTACCTCTTCTATCTTTATCTCTTATCTGCCATACACATTCAGCAACTAACGAAACAAAGTTGTCGTAGGTCTTAAACTCCCCAGATTTGTATATGTCAGAGATGTTCTTATATACCATATCGCAATCTTTGTCCATGACTTTGTGGTTGCAATGAAATCCAAGAAACTCATAGTTAACCTTTCGTATGAACTTCTTTATTTCTACTGAGTCAGTTGCTTTGACTTCTATTTCATCGAATTCTGGAATAGTAAGCTTTTGTTGTTGGATTTCAGGAAGTTTAGGTAGATGGTCAATAATATCCTGCATTTCATAAAGATATTCTTCATCTGTTTCATCTTTTGCAGTGCAATCTAAATCTCCTTGGAGAAGTTCTTGCTTTATCTTCTGGATTTCTGTTTCGAAAGTATATGAAGAAGGAATGAAGCTTTTCATCTCTACTAACATTGAAGTTGGGTTCATGACTAACGAGTTTGGTGCTGTTGTTGCTAACATGTTCTTACACAATAAAAATAAAAAAATATTTTTTTAAAAACTAACTTTATTTTTTATTTCGGGAAAATTCATGAAAATTCAAGAGGGTAGAAAACAGGTTAGAAAACAGGTTAGATCTAACCTTCTACCCTAAATTATATTTTTGCTGAATTCATGAGTTTTGGTTGAAAGAATACGGTGGAGCCAAAAGTGGCTCGACCTCAAAACAAGCATTTTCTGTATAAAATTCATGAAAATTCAAGAGGGTAGAAAAGAGGTTAGAAAAGAGGTGAAATCTCACCTCTTCACCTAAACATTATTTTTGGTGTAAATTTATGACAAAATTCAAATTGTAAAAAGTCAAGCTTGAAAAATCTAAGTGTTTAGTCTTAGTAAGATGGTAGCTTCTTAAAGCAAATACCATTGCTGAGTTTTATGTACGTGAAGAGAAGTACAATGAATTCAATTACGAGTACAATTGCAATGACAACTAAGGCAACTATTTTTGTCTTTTGCCAGCAAGGGTACTTCTTCTCTTCCAATGGTTCGGCAGAACTATACTCACTCATGAGAAATGCCAAAACGGTTTAATAGAAAAAGTGTCATTTTTTCATGTCCGAAGACTCGAAGGTGCAACACTTCCAAAATACCGACGAACTCAGAAGAGCAGCATGGCAGTATCTTCTTGACAACTTCTTTGAGTTCTCCAGGTACACCTTGGAAAATGCTGAAGAACTCCGACACAGAGAATTTGGAGAAATTGCACTCCAATACTACCTTGACAAACAAAGGGTAAACAAAGGGTAAAATAAGACTAAAAACTTAACGTTTAAAAAGTGACATTTTTAATGAGCTCCGAGTCACCGAGAAAACTTGGTCAGATGTTAGCAGCTTACTTCCCTGAGGAGGATGGAAGCGTTACATACATCAGGTTCAAAAACAACGAACCTGGAATTGCGTACAAAATTCGCAATTACATGACCATGGAAGAGTACGAAAGGTTCCTACAAGAGAAACCAGCTCTAAACAACTCAGAAAAGAAAGAATAAAAAGTTTAACTCGTAATTGTTTATTTTTTTACTTGTATGGGCAAGCTGCAAGAATGAAGTCGACTATCTCAGTCTTTGTCTTGACCAGTTGGACGGCTCTTGCGAGTACGTCTGTTTTGCGGTCTCCAGCTGGTGTCTGACCTTCGTAATTGCGCATGTTCTTGAGAGCTCCAACTGTAAATGATTGTAGGATGAAGAGTCTCTCAGACTGCTTGAGGTAGTCTTCACGGTCACGAACCGAATCTGTGGTACGAGTCGAATCGGTCGATTTGAGGGAAGAGACTGAAAGCCTGTCGTCTTCCATAGGGGCTGTGGCATACTCTTTGCGTAAACGGTTCAGACCTTCTTCGAACTCTTGGTCTCTCTTGGATTGAGATTGGAATTGCTGGGGTGGAGCTTGCTGGAACATCCAAGGGTTGGGGAAGTAAGGCATAGGCTGAGGAGGGTAGTTCGGGAAGCCTTGTGGTGGGTAGTAACCTTGAGGTGGAAATTGGTAGTAACCTTGAGATGGAAATTGGTAGTAATTTGGTGGAGGGACTTGCTGGAACTGAGGTTGCTGAGGAGACTGTTGTGGTTCTTTAGGTTCCTCTGGTTTGGGAATGGACTCAGTTGGTGGGACGTCGGACATTCGTTTGTGGCTTAACCGTCGGACCACAACGATAAAAATCTCTGCTCCTAGCAGTACTGCTACTGACAGTAGCAGTACTTTTACTGACAGTAGCAGTACTTTTTCTGACAGTAGCAGTACTTTTACTGACAGTAGCAGTACTTTTTCTGACAGTAGCAGTACTTTATCGTCGAAAACCCTCTCAAATTTTCCTTTTTACTGCTCGTAGCAGTACTTTTACTGCTCGTAGCAGTACTTTTACTGACAGTAGCAGTACTTTTACTGACAGTAGCAGTACTTTTTCTGACAGTAGCAGTACTTTTTCTGACAGTAGCAGTACTTTTACTGACAGTAGCAATGGTCGAGGTCGAACCTACCGACGAGGCAATTTACCTAATTGAAATTAACGAGCTTGTTAAAGACTTCCTCAGGCAGAATGTAAAAGGCAAGCTTGTTAACTGTTGGATAACGGGAAGGGCTGCCTTGAATCTCGAGACTTCGACTGGAATTCCAATTCAAATACCAGACGGGACAGCCTACGACGACATAAAGCAAGCAAAGAAAGAAGCTCTTCTCAAGTTCTTTGCCAAGCGTCCTTGGATACTACTTCCAAACAGAGAGAACCCTTTCCCAAGAATGAGCCAAATTCTCAAGGGTCTCCTTCACTTCTCGGGTCAGCCGTTCTACATAACCTGTGAAGGCGACATCCAACCAGTTCAGTAAACCTTAACGTTTAACTTCACTTTTTTTATGTTTTTACTCACACTCGTACTCAACAGGTTTGTGTACAACTATTTCAACTGTGAACCTTGTATTGACCGGTCTTCCTGCAAATGCAAGTTCGGTCAATATACAATTTATGGTGGCAAGAAGGACAGTGGGGAATGTTATTCTGACATCTGTTGTTGCGCTCGAGAGAGATTTGAAATTTCAGAGCCACCTCCCCCAAGAACTCCAACACCAACACTCAAGTTGCCAAAGACTCATGTGAAGAAGAAGCCTTCTGGTAAGTTTCTTATAGCCATTTACATGGCACGCTTTGAGTAAAAACATTTTTTTCATTTTTTGAATGAAGCAAGTTAAATTCGTCCCACACCAATCTCAATGGACCGATGAAGAGTTTCAAGCCATGGTTGAAGACGTTGAGAACGACATAGACGGCGAACTTGAAGGAGCTCAAATCACAATTGCAACCAAAATTGCACAAGTCAAGGAACAGATAGCTCCACTTAAAGCTACCAAAGCTACTCTTGACCTCATGGATAGTTACCGTTTAGATGTCAAGAGTGGAATAAGACATTTAAAATTAAAACTTCTAAACTACGAAGCTATACTCCAAAAGTTAGCAGAAATGAGAAGACTTTACCAGAGCTACTTACATGTAAGGGACTTACCTTCAAGCAGTCCGACCAAAGATGAATTTTCTGACATTGTCCCAATTTTGTCCGAAAGTCAGCTCAGATGTTTTGAACTGCTCCCAACATATCCAGAATATGAACGTTTGCCTGAACTCTTCCGCAATCTCAAAAAACGTTTTTTGGTTCTCATGTTCGAAACTTTTATCGGAAGAGACAACAAACGTTCAGAAGAAGAACAAGATATTATTTTAAACTTGTTGTATGACATAACTGTCATAACAAGCTTTTTGAAGTAAAACCGTCATTCTCAAACCACTTCATTTTTCGATGTCCGAACAAGCACCGAAGCCAAACTCAATGGCAGATGTCCTTTCAAGGTTGCCAGACAAGCGCCCAGTTCAAATTCAAATTGCCCAATTGAAAGCTCATCTGACAAACACCATAAAGACTCTCCAAAGTAGTCTTATGACAGAGATGACCAATCTCAAAGCCGATGTCCTCATGAACCAAGCTTCCAATGAGAAATGCCTGAACGATTTCACGGAAACCTTGCGCAATTACGAGAGAGAAAACCGAGACCTTGCCAGACTCATCTACCGTTTCTTCGAAGAGATAGACGCCATCTGGAAGGTACTCGGAAAGGACAGAACATGCAACACCGTACTTCGTGAGTACCAAATTGAAGAAGGAATTGTCGAGGAAGAAGAGGAAGAAAAGAAACACGAAGAAGAAGAGGAAGAAGATGAAGAAGAGAAACACGAAGAAGAGGAAGTTTGGGCAACCCTTGTTGCCGATGACGCTTACGAAATTTCCCAACCCTACCCATACAAAATCCGCAACAAGGAGACCGGCAAGGTTCTTACCCCAGTCCTCAACAACTTGGGACACTTGAACCTTACCCTTCGAAATTACGGTTCAATTTCCATGGGAAAGCTTGTCGGTATGCAATGGGTTCCAAATCCAAACAAGAAGACGAGGGTCAGACACATTGACGGTGACCAGCTCAACAACCGTAAGGAGAACCTCGAGTGGTTCTAAGAGTAAAAAAATTTTATTTTAGGGGGAAACCCCAAGTAAATTTAGGTGTTTATTTGGATAAGTATGTTAAATTAAGGGTAATTTGCAAAATTAGTTCCCGACCTCTGAATTGGACTCTTTCGTCATCCCAGTTGTATAGGAGGTCGTCCCAGAGGAGTTGGTAGAATTGCCAATCCAAGGACGATTTGTCCTCCCAAGCATTGAGGATGTACTGCTCGTAGAGTCTCATGACCTCTCCCTTGCACCAGACACCCTCTCCCTTGGAACGTAAGGCTTCTTCGAGGTGCTCGAATGCGATTGGCTGCTTGACCATCCGAAATGACACTTTTTGTCCGTTTGGTCAATGTTCGTGTCTCGTGCCATAGTCGACGAAAATACAGACAAACAGGTTATATATGAGTTTGAGACCAAGAATGGTGTAACTCGACCTGTCCGATTCAAAGACTCCGAGGGCGACCATGAAATTAAACGAAAATTAGCTAGGAAGGAATATAAAAATTTTTTATTTCATGCAATGTTTTATTTCTGTGCCGTCTTCAAGTATGCCCCAATACTTACGCTTGGAGAGGACATGAACTTCGGTGAAAATTTTGTCCAATTTGAATTGACCCATCTTCTCACCGACCATGCCCATTTCAATGAGTTTGTTGTACCCTTCTTCGTTCGTCATGAGTGCGTCAATGTTTTCATAGTAAACCTTCACTTTGGATTTGACTTCGGAGAAGAATTTGTTGTAGTTGTCAAGGACTGCCTTTGCGAACTGAGGGTAAGACCAATGTTCGACAATAGGTTTTAATGTGGTTACTAAGCCACTTTGACCTTGAGTGAATTCGTACTTCAAAACAAAAGGAGAAAACCTTTCAACAAAGTTGTCGACCTTCTCATAATGTTTACTCTTCATCTCTTGAGGTTTCTTAATGGAATATCCCCATGTCGAATTCATAAGCAATTTGAGTGTCATTGCAAGTTTGGGGTTTGAAGCTTTCCTAATATCATACAGTTGTTGTATGACTTTTCCAACTGTATAGTTCCTTCCCGGGAACTCACCATCTTCGTTTGGAATTCCAGTCGGGATATATTGGACGAACCTCATGTATGCAGCGTTAAGGTCGACATAGTATATCTTTTCATCTGAGTCGAACTTGTCGCAACCAATCGGACCAGTTCGTGGAAATTCAAGTGAGTCTCTTATCTTCTGAGAAACTTCTCCTGTTATCTCATAGACATCGTCAAAGCAACCTGTTTCATATAAAACCTTCTGAGCTAACTCTGATGCTCTCCAATACAATTTGACGTCGATTGGATTTCAATGGAAGTTTGTTTATAGCATCTTGAAGTTCTTGCAACCTCATTGGAAGTTCTTCTGGTTCAGGTTGGTATCCGAACAATCCAACTCCTTTTGGAGCTGTGTACTTCTTTTGTACTAGAACTTTGTCTGGAACAACTTTTGGTCTTGCTAACAGTGAAAAGTTTGTTTCGTCTTTTGGTACAAAAGTTTCTGTCAGCTTGTCATCTGGAATTGGTTCCAACAAACCTTTCTCGAAAAGAATGTTTACAGCTCTGACAATGTTGCACTTGCCTTTTCCGAACAATGGGTTTGTAAGACTTTCGTTCAACATGAAGTGGTTGTGGACAATTGCAATCTTCAACCATGGTAAATTGAACTCAACAACATAGTCGTCATGTGAAGAACCTTTAGCTGTAGGTATGTTGACTCGGATATTGACATTTGCCAACGGTGCAATTTTTGACAATTGACCTCTGAGAATGTACCTTGTCTTCACACATGACTCAAGATACTTCATTTTCTCATCTGTAACAAGACCAGAGTTCCTGAGACATGTAAGAATGCAAGGTTCATTGACAATTGTTTCAATTGAATTGTAAATTCCATACCTTGTCAAGTCAATGTCAGACTTATTTATGAACGGGAAGTATCCAGCATGTTGTCTGACTGCTTGAGGGTTAGGTTGGTACCATTCGAACTTGACACTTGCAATTCCTTCAATTGCATTCAAAATATCTGAGTCGGAGTCAAACATTTGTTCTCTCTTTGTAGTCTTGAAAGCGTCAAGAAGTTGTGCGGCTGTTGTGACATTGCCATGTGCATAGTAAATGTGACCGTCCAAATCTGTTATGGTTAGTCTGAGATTGTATCCTTTCTTATTTCCGTCTTGTATGGCAGCAAGTACACCCATGAAGCCTTCTTTGTTCTTTCCTTCGTCAAAGTTTACTGTAAAGGTTCGACCAGATGTAATTTGACTTCTAACTTCACGGTACTTTTCATATGCATATCTTGTTCTTTCCATGGGAGCATGTTTGTCTTCACCTTTTCCTTTTTTCCTTCTCAAAGGATGCAATTGTTCGTCATGTTTCCAATAGAATCTGGCAAAGCCGTCGTGTCCTTCAACTTGCGGTTCAGAAACATCGAAAGGCATGTCCATAAGACGTTCTTCTTCTAACCTCTCTAGTCTGTTTGGATAATTTGCGCGTGCTGTTTCCAATTCCATTTCGTAGCGAAGACCAGACAATTTGTCATAGACTTTTATGGGTCTTCCCTTCCTATATTTAAAATTCTTCGAAACTTTCCAACCATATCTTTCTAACTCTGCTTTTATTCTAGCAGATTTTCTATCCATTCTATACGGGGGCATTTTTATAAAAATAAAAAAATATTTTTTTCTTTACTTTACATAACCACCTGCTGCCATAAGTCTTTGACGCCAACCCATACCAGCTAATGAAGGTTGACTTGGTTTAGTTTCCAAACTAAACTTTGGTTTTGGTTTATCTTCAGTTTTTGGTTTCTCTTCTTCTATCGGTTTTTCGTCACTTTTCGGTTCCTCTGACTTTACCTCACCTGCAGGAACAGTTGTGTCGTCAACATCTTCATAAATATCATATGCCATTTGTTTTTGTTTTCCTTTCAACTTTTTGTGTTTGTTGTAAAGTTTAGAATATTTCGACTCTAAGTCAATGAGATGTTCTATAATGAACTGTTGGTCAGTGAAGTAAACTTTTCCATCTGTTGTCTCGAAAGCTCCTTCAGACTTCAATATTTTATTTGTGAGAGTCTGTTTCTTTTTTGAGATACTAGCCGTTCCATTTCTATGAAAAGTGACTTTATAGTTAGGGTTTGTATTTCCAGACCTGGCACTTTCTATTATTGAATTTTTCTCTTCATCTGTAAGTTCTTTGACAGGTTTTGACAATGGTTCTGAACTTTTTGTTTGTGGTGTCAAATCTACCGTTTCAACTTCTTCGGTCATTTCATCTCAGTAAAAAATTTTAGTTTGGTTTGTTTTCAACTGGTTGTTTAGGTTTTTTAAGTCGGTCTAAAACTTCCTGAGGTATAGGAAGAACTTGACAAACACGTGGTGTAACTGCTGGAAGCCGACAAATCCATCTTGAACCCATTTGTCTCAATGCTGTATTGTTCATTTCATCTCAGTAAAAAATTTACATTCCCCACGTTTGAGGCGGTTGAGGTTGGTTATTGTTTACCCATTGTTGTGCATGGTTATATCCTCTGTTAAAGAATCTTTCACCTTGGTCCATATAGTGTCCTGCTTGGTTATAGTAGTCATTTGCTTTGTTATAATAGTTTCCTGCTTGTCTTCCTACATTGTCCATCCATCCTTGAACTTTTCCTCTTGTTTCAGGATTTGGAATAAGATTTGTTGCATCTCGTGCTACATCCCAACCTTTCTGTACAGTTTGTATAATAGGTTGTGCTTTCTCTTTAAGTATACCTAATGTACTCAAAATCTTCCTTCCAACTCCAAATACACCTCTGGTTCCCACTGCGGGCAAAAATCTGGATGCAACTCCTGCTAATGCGCCAAATAAACCCATTTCTTATAGGGTAAAAAATGACGAATCCGAACAAGGACCCCTATGTTTCTAAAGCGACAAAGAAAGCACTCATGATAAAAATCTTTAGTTCAACACCAAATGCTTGGTTTATGGATATCTTGGAAAACATTCCGAGAGTTAGAACAGATGGACCACCATACTGGCTAATATTTGTCGGTCAAAACACAAGATACTGTGAAGCCATACCATTACAGTCCAAAAATATTTTAGATGTGAAAACTGCTTTGACAATATTCGTTGACAAATACCATCCAACAAAACTGACATCTGACTGTGAAAGTTCTTTCAAATCAGATGATGTAAAAAACTATCTGCGTTCAAAAAATGTAAACCAATATTTCATTGTCGACCAAAACCATTCTGCTCTTGGTGTCATTGACGGTTGTATAAAAATGTTAAGAGACTTAAACCAACCACAAGGTGGTGAAGCAAATGAAATGTCATATGACGACAAGTATAGACACTTCTCCATGGCAAAGATGAGACAAGTTTTAAATATTTACAATAGCCGTAAACAAAAAGGTTTGGGAAACCACTCCCCCGAAGAAATGAAAAACAACCCTGACTTAGAGAAAGACTATATATTTAATAATTTAGTCAAAAGAGACAAACAAGAAAGAATGCCGGGCTTCAAACTTCAGAAAGGTGACAAAGTAAAAATAGAAATACCTAAACGCGACCCATATGAAAATACTATTGACTATGACAACAATGGGAACCCGACAGGTACTCACATTCGTGTTCGTAAAAATAGAAGAAAGTATACAAGAGAATATTATGAAGTTTTAGGCAAACATGGCAAAATGTACAGACTGCAAGCAGAAGATAAAACTACTATTGTCAGACCTCGTTTCAAACTTGTCAAAGTTCAAGGTGGTATACTTTCAAAGACAGTTCCTAACAAATATAAGACAACTCCTGACGAATATGCTAAAGAAGTTGAAAATGACGACTAAGCATTTCTATACCATGCGTAAACTGTCATGTAAGGTGGCATGTATTCTTTACTTTGTCCCGTTGTTTGCGTATATCCTGAAACGCGATGTGTATGGTTTCCTCCTCCCTCAGTGTTACTCCAGTAACAATCTATAGCAAACTTAACGTTGTCTTTAACATCATATCCTTTACCTTTTTATCATTGCTGACCAATCCCAATATTTATGCTTATGCCAACCTGCTTGAGATGTACTTAAATCTATGTAGTGACTATGTGCAGGTAAATTTTCACCTGAAATCGTTTTACTTCCACCTGTTTCCTTTGAAGAGTTTGCACAATACAAAAACCTGTCGACTATTTGAGTCCAAGTTCCAAAACCCAGAACTGTTTCTGGTCTGGTAGAGTTCATTGACGTATAAATAGAGCCTATAGGATATAATGTTTGAAGCATTTCTGTCTTTAATGTTTGAAGCTCTGTTTTGTCTGCTTTCTTGTCATATAAATCTTGAGCAGTGAATTTAATATTATGTTCATCCTTCATGACATAAACATCTTTACATCTAATGTTTCTCATCGTCGTTATGTCGTCATCCGATGTTAAACCTTGTGGAAAGTTAGGAGGTTTACAATATAATGCATCCCCACCAGTTTCTTCAACCGTTCCTTCAATACTTTCTATAGCAACAGTTGTAAAACTTGTATGTGTATGAGTCTTATTTGCTTTCTTCTCTAACTCATCGTTAACATAAGTTTTATCTGCTTTAAGGTCTAAACATCCTGAAACCCATCCTGTATCGGCTTTAGTTTTTAAAATCTTCGATGTCCGTTCATGGTACCAGTCAACCCTTTCTATAATTTCTTTATCTTTTTCATCCACATATTCCTTATCCGCCTTCTTCACTAACACACTAGCCATAAGTCCCTTATCTACCTTATTTTCAAGGCTAACGTTTAAGTCTGTTATTTCAGATATAGAATGTGTATGAGTCTTTTTAGAATATTCGTTTTCAGCTCTTGTCACTTCACTTGACATTTTATTGTCAACATATGTTTTGTCTGCTAGTTCAGGATGAGTATGTTCTTTTGTTGCATAAGCATTGTTAGCTCTTTCTTCTTCTTTTGCTATTGCATCGTCTACATATTCTTTGTCAGCTTTGTTGTCAACATCTGCTTTCAAAAGAAGTTCATTTATAGGTTTCTCGTTTAAAGTTCCTTTTGTTGGATTTATACAGACAGTATGGTTCTTATTGTCTTGAAACAGAAACTCATCTGTCATTGGGTTTAATGTCAGTTTTAAGTTTCCTTCTTTCAATGACTCAGATATCTTAGAATAGTTTGAAAAGTTTGTTGTGTTCTTATTTAGAGCTTGCATAATGAGTTGTCGGTTGTGTTGTATTTCTCTCATGGAAGCAATATCTTTCGACATTTTTATTCTAGATAAAATATGCTTCCAATAGAAAAAGAAAATTCAAGAGTTGCTACAACTAAACCATTAGATGAACTTTTTACTAATGTCGGTCAAAAGTTTGAGACAGAGACCGTAAAGCATGAAGGCTATCGTTTTGACTACCCATTAAGATGGCTAAGAGACCCATCTGTCACAAAAGCTATTGGCTTTCGTAGAATGAAGTTTGTGTCTGTAGAAGATAAAAGTTTTCCATTTATTGTAAGGTTTCATATAGATTATATATCTGAAGGGAAACGAAAAATGTGGGAAGAAATTGAGCTAATACAAGTTGACCTTTCATCTTCTCTACAGACTGCGTTAAAAAATATAGAAGATAAAATAAATTCATGTTATGCAAAATATGCTGATGAATATGCAAATACCGAGAGCACACTTTATGTGAGAATTGTATATGACAAACAAAATTCACAAGTGTCATTTCAAATCTACGAAGACAATCCAAAGAAAGACGAACAAATATATACAGAATTCACTGCAATGTCATGGTCAAAGAATGTTAAATCAGAAAGTCAAACTTCCTTTAGCAAATATTTACAGTCGATATGCAAGAGATGAACCATATTTATTTAAAGATGTTTTCGACCCAGCTGCTATTATTGTTCATGCTTCATTTTCTGGCGCTCAAAACTCTTTCTTATGCTTGGCAAATGACTTTTACGAAAAACCTACAAAGTTATACGAACCACCAAGTGGAAGTATTTCAGACTTTCAAGTATGGTTTACAACAGATGGAAGAAAGAGAATAATTCCATTATACCATGCGTTTTACTTAGAACTTAGTTTCATATACAACTACTATCGAACGGTAAAAATATAATTTTTTTAATACGGTTGAGGTGTTGGATTTGGTTGCCAACTAGACTGTGGTGCAGGTTCAGGCTGTTGTATAACAGGAGCTTGTTCTTCTGGTTCAGGGTCTTTAGGTATAATACCAACGAACTGACCTACTCTTTTACCAATATTTTTGACTCCGTTCCAAATTCCTCTTCCTACGGTTTTTATTCCATTCCATATACCTCTTCCAACTCTTCTGAAGAAGTTTCCAATACTACTGAAGAAACCCATTTTACTATATGTAAAAATCTAATGTCCGCCTAGTCTTTTGCGTTTCCTGTTGAGTTCCATAGCATTCTTTAACTGGAGCTCATACATTCTGTTTCTCCTCTGGTAGAAAACATATTCTGGGTCAACTCCTGTGTTCGCGTCATCTGCATAAAGTTGTTTATATCCCACTTCAGGGTTTGTATAAAACTCTTTCCATCTCATATTTGCATACCATGGTGGCAAACCTAACGCAGCGTCATTTGACATGGCAGTTTGCATTTGTACATCTGTTGGCACTTGACCATAGTTTGCCATTGCAGTTTGTATTCTAACTTCATTTGGAATATTCTCTGGGTTTGGTTGTCCAGGTTGCTGTGCATTCGCTAAGTTCTGTGCGTCCATTTAATATTAGATAAAAATATCTCTTACGAGTACATATGCTGAACATTTGCAGGCATTGGTTCATCTTCATATTCTCTGTACTTTTCTGCCACGTCAAATAAATAAATGACACAATGGAAAAAACCTAAAACAAGTAGTCCTATTTCAAACCACATTTACTTACTAATAAAATTTCTTTGTTATGACACTTTCTCCAGTTTATAGGACCTCTCTCATATTCTATCTTGTCATATATAAACTCATAGTCATGTATGTCCTCTAACCATCTCATAACGGTTTCCAAACCACTTTTATCGGATGTAAAGTAAAAGCATGGATGGTTATGTAAAACGTCTAAAGTTTCTAAAGAGTCTCTCAAAGTCCAGTCTACTTGGTATTGAAAATCCCATGTGTTATAGAACGGCGGGTCCACTATAAAGAAAACATTTTCCTTGTCTTTATATTTTTCATACAACTCTGTCCAATGACATCTCACAAACTCTATACCCTCAATATATTTTTCTATGTCCTCTTTGAAAACATTTGTATAGTTAAGATATAAAACTTTTGACATAAGTGTTTCAATGTCATGAACTCTTATAGAACCACTATATAATAGTCTAGCAGATATACTATCCCAGTCTATATATTCTGCTTTTTTCAAAACCTCCCTCACAATATTTTTCTTATCTAATGGTATACGTTCCATCTTACCTATAGGTATCTTTTCTTTTAACTCTTTCAATATATTGTTTGTGTCTGGTATATGTTTGAGACGGTCCATATAGTTGTCGAAGTCATTGCATATAATCTTTGAGTCTGGGAATATTATATGGCACAAATGGGATATATAGAAACTTCCACCGAACAAATCTACAAATGTTAGACCATTCGGTAGTTTCTTAAGTTCTCTCAATATAATATCTTTACATTTACTCTTATTTCCAAAGAACGGTAACGGTGGTTTTGTAAAATTCATTTATATATAATAATAAAAATGTTTTTCCCTGAAAAGTGACAGAAAAGTGACAAAACATGAAAACATATATAATTTGTGAAAAGCGACACATTATATAATGTTTTCGACCCAGAAGAAGGCTTCTTCCCAGAAGCAATGGAGGAAGAAGAAGAGTCCTCCGAATAAAAACTTCATTTATACTAAACATCAACATCAGGGCTAGAGGGCACGAAGTGCCTGGAAGCCCCACTACCTTTTTTTTTTTTTTTTTTTTTTTTTCTTTCATTTTTCTATTATTCGTAAATTACAAGGGCAAGAAATTATTTTGTATGCTTCTTTCGATTTCTTGTGGGAATGGAATGGAATTATGATGTATATCATGTTAATAAGTTAAGTATTTTCTTGAATTATTTAATTTGAATATCAATCTTGAGGAATTTGAATCTCTATCTCAGGAGGGAGTTGAGAATATTCCATTATAGTAATTGTTCCCAGATCCTTTGAAACTAAATTTTCTTTTAAGCGAAGGATTGGGTTTGCATCAATAAGAATTTTGTAATTAGCTTCTCGTATCCTCCTTTGCACAGAAGGTTTCAATACCTTCCAATCAAACTGTTATAATTATTAAAGTGACTAAAGAGTTATCAGTCATTAATATGAAAGTGGTCTTCATCATAGCATGATCCTGGGAATACAAATTCCCAGGATATTGTTTATAAATATACCCGCCCAAATAATGGCGTTTCATTCCTTCCTAAATATCACCCATTGAATATTAAATTAAACTAAACCATTAGAGTAGTATTCCACGAATAAAACATTTATCTTATGCTTTATAAAACAAATAGGCAACAATATTATAAATGATTATACATAGAACTATGGAGGTAAAATATAGGGTGTCCAAAGGTGCGTTTAGCACAGCGCTCTATATGAGACTATTAAAGGAGATATATGCTGATTATAAATATATAATAAAAAATATGAATATATGTATATGATGAGTATGTTGTATTTTGGCGCCATGCCGGGATATAAAATGAATTTTGAGACAAGAGGCGGTTTCGCGGGAAATTTTGGCGGGATTTTTTTCATTTTTTTAATGAATCATAAAGAAAACATCCTCGCTCTTGCAAAAAAATGCAAAGACTGTAAAAAAATCTACGAGACATTGGTAAAATGCTTCGGTATGGATGCTCCTAGCTATTCCACTGTAACGTATCATGTTAGGATGTATCACTTCATGAACAAAAAGGCGCCCATCATAAAAATTGACAAAAAATCGCCGGATCAAAGAAAAATCAAAGCAATTCTTCAAGCGCTAGATGAAGACCCAAGAGCATCACTCAGAAGGATAGAGGAGATGACAAAGATACCACGTACAACAGTCAGTTATTATCTGCACAATTATTTGAACTACAAACTAGCGTATACACGTTGGGTTCCGCACAACCTTAATTCAGTTCAAAAAAAATCTAGAGTCCAATCTTCGAAAGAGCTCCTCTCTATATTGGGTGCGTATCAATCCAAGAAGTTTCGCTTTTTAGTAACAGGGGACGAGTCTTGGTTTCAATATGCAACAGAAGCCAAAATCATGTGGATCCCGAAGGATGAAAATCCGCAAACATTCCCGAAGAAAAAAATTGACACACCAATGATGATGTTGTCGGTTTTTTGGGGCGTGAATGGCATCATCGCAATTAATATTCTTCAAAAACCTAATACGATGAATGCTCAGTATCTAATTGACAATGTTCCTACTCAAATTATCAATTCTGATGAGTTTGAGAAATCCAAACAACAAAAACAAAAGTTTGCAATTCATTTTGATAATTCAAGAGTTCACAAAAGTCATAAGGTAATGAATTACTTGGTGGAAAACAATGTCAAAGTTGTTCCAAACCCAATTTATTCACCTGATATTGCACCCTCTGACTTTTATTTATTCGGCACGCTAAAAAAGAGAGCTGAAGGACGCGAATTCGCGAGTCCAGATGATCTTGAAAATTTTGTAAGAGAGCAATTTGAGCAATTTTCTCATGATGATTTAAAGCGTGTCTTTCAAGCCTGGATCGATCGCTGCGAACGCGTGATTGAATCCAATGGTGATTATATTTAAATAAACTTTATATATATGTAACTTGTTTATTTCTATTCGCAGTATTCAGGTTTGTGCTAAACACACCTTTGGACACCCTATAACATCTTATTTTTTGTCATTCACTTCACTTTCCGGCATCAGAAAGGGTGAACTTACCACAATCTGGCATGCTCTATAAAAATCAATATATCTTTATTTTAATAGCAGAAACGTATAACACCCATATTAGGCACTATATAATGATTAATAGTTACTTTCTCTTGACCAAAAATATTAACTTTTGATCTTAGAATATTGAGAGAGAAAGTTTATGTGTCAAAAAAAAATTTAATTTCGATCTTCTATAATCCATTCAAAAAGGCTTATCGAATGATGTAAAATTGTATACTTAGCCACTTTTTGTTCACTTACGAATCCATTATCAATTTTTAAAATATCATTATTTATGATATTTAATTTTTAGGAAATGGACAAACTTATATACAGAGAACGGTGGGCGCTAATTATTATGGTATATATAGGCGTGCAACAACCTTTGTATATAAGCATCTCTTTATTTTGCTACATAGATAAATAACTAACTACAGCATAGTATTAGATTTCATATGTTATGTATTAAATTACAGAGATTTAAAAAAAATTCTTCAACAGATCATTGTATACTAATGTTAAGGGTGAACTTACCACTTTCTGACAGCTTCTAATGAAATCAGTATATGGCATCGTTTAATAACAAAAAAAGCATAACAACCATATTAGGAACTATATAATTTTTATAATAGTTTTTTATCGACCAAAAATACTAATTCTTCTAAGAAATTTGGAAATAAAGATACGGATGTCAAAAAAGCAGTTCAATATTTCGAAGATTTATGAGTTTATTTCATATTTTATATATATTTAAGTTTATTATTATAAGTAGTTGTCAAAGAAGTATATTGATTTATGGATCCAAAAATTAATTAAATATATAGATTGAAATTAATCATAATTATACAAACAATTTATATTAAAACAAATATATAACATATATAAACATTAAACAGGAGTAGCCAATCTTGGTGTTGTTCTCTTCTTTACAACAGCTGTCATTGGTCTTACAGGTTGGCTTCTCATTACTCCAATCTGTGAATCTCTTCCGAATCTGGAATTTACTTCCTCTTCCTGTGCAACAATTCTCGCTCTGTAATCGAGAAGATCTCTTCCTATAGTGTACAAATGTGATGTTTTCTGGTAAAGGATTTCAGAAAGATTTATCAAAATTGTTTTTTCTTGGTCACGAATTGGTTTATTATCGAAAGCGAGTTTTGCAGCATCTCTCTTCTTGTAAGCCTCTTCAACAGCGTTATCCAATTCAGGATTAGTATGGTTCAAATGATCTTTGTATTCAAGTATTTCTTTCTTCATTTTCTCTTCTTCTTCCTTTAGTTTCTTCTTCAATTCAATTGAGTTATTTTGTTCTGATTCAGAATCATCAACAATTTGGTTGTTTAGTTCTTTATCAGAGTTTTCTATATTGTTCTGCATATCAGCCCTATTCTGCTCGAATTTGTCTTGTGACTCTTGTTTGTCCTGTTCATATTTCATCATCAAATTCGTTATGATTTCTTCAACTTCGATTTTTCTTCTCTTCTTCTTTTCTTGGTCAGTTTGAATTGTATCTTTGATCTGAGAAATGATGTATTCAAGTGATTCTTGGAGGTTCTTTATTGAATCATCGTTTAATCCTTCTTGTTTCTTGATCTCGTCAATCAATTCTTTGATATCTTTTTCACTTTCATTTCTTGCTTTCGTCAATTGTTCCTTTTGATTTTTCAGTGCTTCAGAGAGTTTGTTTCTTAGTTCTTGTATTTCAGGACAATCAACAGCTGCTTCTCCTGTTGCTGGCTTGAATTCCAACTGCAATTCCTTTAATTTCTCACTATATTCTTGTATTTGTGTATTGTATTTAGTGATTTTTACATTTTCTTTTTCTCGAATTCTTTGTAATTCTGGTCCAACATCGATTGTTTCATTCAGAGCTGAAATATAAGTTAATAACTTCGCTTCGTGACGAGATTGTTCATTTGCGAAGTCTGTTTTATATTTATCCAGCATTGTTTCTTTATCATTTTGCAATTTTATCTTGATTTCGTCTTTTTTCGCTTTGATTTCGTTTAAATTCTTTTCAGAATATTTATCCGAAATCGTCGGTTTTTCATTTATACTTTCGAATTCATCTGTTAGTTTCTGGTATTCTTTAACATATTCATCTCTTATTTCATCAACAGATTTCATGTTATTGAACTCTGTTTGTATCATCTCTGTTTGCAAATCAATATCTCTTTCCCTTTCATTTTTTATTCTTTCCATTTCTTCGTTGTATTGATTTTGCAAATCATTTATTGATTGCGAAGTAAATCTTGTCTTCGCGTTGTACTCGTTGTCAACAGTAGTTTGTGTTTCATTCTTGTTCTTCTCGTAGTTAAGCTCAAGTTGTCTGATTTCGTCCCTTTCAGAAACAACAATGTTTTCCATCGATGTCTTGAAAATTCTCATTAAAGTATCTAACATTGTTTTCTGTGTTTTTCTTTCTTGATCAGCTTTTCTGTAATTTGATTCCATAACTGATGATTCTTCTAGTTCTTTACCTTTCTGGGCTAATAGTTCTTCGTGATTTGATGTTAAGTATCTCTTCTGATTTTCAAATCTTTCTGTTTCTGAATCAATCGCTTTTTGCAAAATCATGTTTTCGTCATCGATTTCGTCTTTCGCTTTTAATATGTCTGCTTTCAAATCATCCATTGTTAGTTGTGTATCTCTTGTTAGTATTGTCATGTACTTCTCTTTGGCTTCTTGTTCCCTTGCAATGGCTTTTCTCCGCTCTTCTTCTTCCTTGAAATTCGATGCGGCCAAGTTTTTTATGACGTTTTCGATGTTTCCGTCTGTAGAATTTTTGTTTTTCTCCGCTTCGTCCATTTCTGCTTTGAAAGAGTTACGTAAAGAGGTCAGCTCGTTCTTGAGGAGTTCTATTTGCATTGCTTGGCTCTTTTGGACTTGGATTTGTTGTTCTTTTATTTTTTCAATTTCTTCTTGGAATTCTTTAGTTACCATTTCGTTGTGCTGCTCGTTCATAAGCAGATCTTGCTCGTATTCCTTCGAATAAGTGGCTATTTGCTTGGAATTCTGTATTACGTGTGGTTGAATATTCGACATAATTTCTAGATACTTTTTGATGAGATCTTGTACTTGAGTATTTGTTGTTACGAGGAATTCACGAGTATTTTGGAGTTTGAGCTTGCCATTACGAAGGGCTTTTACATCTAATGGAGTATTTGCAAGTTGCTTTTGTTCTTCGACAATATTTTGCATGTTGAGTCTATGGTCATCTTGCATAGCCTTAAGTTTGTCGGTATTTTCTTGTTTTAATTGTAAATATTTTTTCTCAGATTCGATATCACAAAGATCTATCTCTTTCTTGTGTTTTTTCTCCACGTCTTGGATAGTAGTAACTAATTTCGTATTATCTTCTGTGACTTTCTCTTTCAAATACTGAATTTGTTCTTTTAATTGGTCGTTTAATTGGCTGAGTGTTTCTTTTAATGGCGTAATTGATTTAGATAGAACTTCTTCTTCCTCTTTTGCCGCATTAACCTCATCTTTTTCCGCTTGTTTTAGGGCTGTCTCTAAAATATCGTGTTTTCGCTCTAGATTTTTCTGCGCACTTTCATATCTTGCGGTCGGATCGAGTTCTTCCATAAACTTCGAGGCATTTTTCTCATAAAGACTGATTACTTTATCGATTTCTGTGTAATATTGTGTTCGAACTGCTTCGATTTGGAAAGCTCTTTCTTCCAGGTGTGCAGATATATACTGTACGACTTTGTACAGCTGTGCAATCTTCTTGCACATGTTGTACAAAGTGACACCTGGATCCATATTTTGCTTAAGGGTGCACCCGTATGTACGTTTATTTGAGAGGAGGAGGATTACCCTCTCAATTTTGAGGGATTCGTTAGTTTATTTTCTCGATGAATATGCAATAAAATTTGATTTTTACCTTATCAATATACTTCATATAATATACACATGTTCATGTAAAAACTTTTTTCCAAAATCCTCAGGAATTAAGGGATTTTTGAATTTTAAAAATTTTTTTCGAATTTTTTCGAAAAAAAAATATTTTCAGAACAGCCTTAACGGCTAAGATTTAGGAACAATGTTAAGTATCAAAAAGAAAGGAGGTCTGATATAGACAACATATATCGTTGAAGGTTGAAAAAATCTCTAATATTTGAGCCCAAAATTTCAAATTTTAATTTTTTGAAAAAAGAGGCCACCCGTATGTACGTTTATTTGAGAGGAGGAGGATTATATTTTTGAAAGGGTGAAACATTATGAATATGTTAATTATATAATAATATGTATTATTATAAAAAAGAAAAAATAAAGCACGTTAAAATTTTTCTTTCTTGATTTTTTACAAAATCTACTTAGAATTATGCAAAATATGACTAAATAATTATAAATTTCAAGTTAAATTTTAATTTTGATAAATAATTTAAATTTCAAAATATCAAGTTCAGTTCGACTATGTATGTAGTAATTCCTCAATAAAGTGCCAAAACCCTATTAAAATATATGAACATTTTCAACATTTTAATGTTTTTATTTAAAAATTTGTTGGAATATGAGCTTCAAACAATTATTATGTAAATAAAAATAATTAAATATATGTATTTATTCGTATTACAACCGTAGTAAGTTGATTCTTCCTTTCTTCTACTGAGATTTGAATTTGATTTCGAATTGTAAAGAGATTCAAAGGGAAAATACTAGCGGATAAAAACTACCTCCATGAAAGGGTCATAATGGACTCAAGTTGTATTTTTTGATATTTTTTGCTTTTCGAGCCTAAATAGGTAGCCAAGATAATGCCTAAAAATAAGGTTCTAAATTCTGAAGTTTACATGATCCTCTCGTGTGCACCCTTAAATTAACGTTCAGCTAAAGAAAAAAAAATTTATCAAACCCACAGAAAATAAATCTAAAACTGAAAAATTAATAAACATAATAATTATCGATAAACAATAATATTCGCGTAATTTGGGAAATAAAGTAACATTTTTTTTAGAAATACAAACATTTATTTATGAGAAACATACTGTTTCATATAATATGGGATTGATTTCGTTCCGAATACAGTCTCGAGATTGCACCTACGAGGAAGGGTAGCAAATAATTTATCTCCATCTGACTGATTTTGATGAGTAACCGCGTATTTCAATGACTCTTTCTGTGCCCATTCTGGTATAAGTTTGCCTTCATACTCTTCACAGTCTGAATCAAAGTCTTCATCTTTCATTGCATCTTCATCTGCCCAATCGCTCATATCATAAGCATTAGAGTCAGATAACGTTTTAATTATCGACTTTAGTAGATCATTGCCGCTTTCAATCATTTTTGTCATATTAAACTGTTTCGATGGAGAAGAATTGTGTGTTTTTGTCTTTGGAGAGTTGATAAGTCTCTTCCTATGACTGCTTGTAATGTTCATGTACAACTTTTCGTCAAACAAAGAATGATCTTGAGATTTATCTGAAATCTTCTCGTCGTGGAAATTTGGTTTGATAAGTAATGAATCATGAGAGATTCTGCTCTCTGGATCAAGAATCAGTAAGTCTGATGAATCACTACTCATTAGATTCGTCTCTAAAGAGCGTTGATTCATCGATTTCTAAAAATTTTTATAAACGGTAAGATTTTGGAAATCTAAAACCGGTATTGGATCCTTCATCCAGTGATTATGTAATTTTTCCGTTTCGAATTGTTACTCATTCAATTTCAAAAGTGACAAAATATCAATTCCAAAAAGTGATAAAAATGTCGATTTTTTATTCTTCTCTCTTCCTGAATGCTGATAATGATCCAGAATTTTGGGATGATCAATTAAGGGAAATGGAACCTAATCAAGTTTTAGAGCGCGTTAACAATGAAATTCAATCTTCAGAAAGACACATCAAAAAACAAGAGCCCAAGTCCAAATCCAGCAAGAACGACATTCTCGCTAACTTCTTTAGGTGATATACTATTAACTTGCTATAGAAAAATTCCATTTTCTTTTACTATAACAAAAAAAAATATTTAATTTTCCTTTAATCAATGTTTTCGTATTAACTCTGACTTAACAATTTTTAGAAATGAAGAATTTTACATTCCCATTAATTGATTTTTTGAAAAAAATCGATTCCAAAATTTATTTATCCTTTTTAAGGATAGTTGCCTTGATTTTAATCTTTACTGGTTGAGTCTCATTCATTTTTATATTAGTTTGTCTTGTTTTGTATCAAAATATAAAAAATTTTATAAAAAAGTTTTTTAAAAAAAGGCCAATAATATAATAAACAGTAAAATATTTACATTACACGTATGTGCTATCATTCAATAACACTTCTTGAATACTATTTTCATTTGAAGCGATACCCAAGTCTTTCTTAGCCTGTTTCCTATGTTTGAAGTACATTGAATAAACATAAGCGACTACTATGAAGATAACCATCAAGAAAGAGATAACAATCATAATAATGAAAGGAGTAGGGTTTTTCGGACCCTTAGAGTGGTCAGGTACTACTCCATCTTCATAAGGAATGACGTAAGCGCATATATCTGCATCAGATTGAAGACCAACTTTTTTGAATACTGTTGCAACGTTTGAAGTCTCATTATCTACGTGGAAAACGAGTCCTTCTCTGAATATATTACCTTTGAACTCAGATGCGAGTATGCAAAGGTAAGGAATACCGAGAGAGAAAATATCTGAATTTTCTTTTATGTAATCATCATCATCTGAAGGGTATACATAGGTCTCTATTGTTGGTAGATACGATGTAATGTTCTCTGCCATGTAGTTATCGATCCTAAAGTACGGCATTTTGTTCAATGACCAATTAAAGTACAAAAGGAAGTCATCGTCGGGATTGGAAAATTCTGTGGCCCTCAAATAAGTGTCCGGATCCATGTAAAGTTGTCTTCTGATGGTTAATTTCGGAATATCGAGGACTCCTGCGACGTAGGCTTTGAACATTGCGATTTCCGTGGGTATTCCGATCTTGGCTTTCTTGTTACATAGCAAATTGTTCTGAGAGAAGATGATATTCTGGTCAGGAGCCAAATCAATATCAAGATAATTTGTACAGAAACGGGATGATGAGGTAATTTCAATGCCAAGGAAATTGGGATGTAAGTGGTACTTCGTATTTGGCCCGGAATCGTATAAATCTGCTGGAAGATTCGCTTTATAATAAATATCAGTTTCAATTGAGGAATAAATGATGAAACTGAGGTTGCCATAAGTGTTCGTGGTGAAGTGAATCTCTTTTTCAGGGACAACGATCACTTTCAGTTCAGATTTAAAGGCACCACTTCCAGATATGGTATTTACGCCTCTTATTTCGATTCTTGTACGTGCATTTATGTCCTGGTCAACTGGGAGATTCGGTTTGATGGTGTTGGCATCGAAAACAATGGTTGGAGAGTTGATATTTAATCTTTTCGGTTCCAAAGGATGTGAAAACAGGGAATAAGTGGTAGCATCAGTTGAGAAGGAATAGATGTTGTCAAATGACAACTTGGAAGCGATAAAATCATCAATTGTGCAGTTATAAAGTGAAATTGAGTTAATTTCGGGATTTTCCTTCTCATTATTGATGGAAACACTCAAATTGGTATATGAAGATGTTGAAATAACTGATGGTGTCTGGATATAAACGTTGGAATTCGGTTTAAGACCAAATACCGAAATTTCTTCGAAATTTGAAGGTGAAGCAACAGTAAATTTCGATTCAGTATCCAAGAATACCTTGATATTGGCCATAAAGAAGTAGTCAGAAGGTAATTCTGTCGAAGATATCATCTCATTCAAGTTATTTGACTTGGATTTGATGATTTCGGACTGGGAACATGTAGATTCGCCATCATCTGATACGCAGAACTGCGAAATTCTATGATTATTGAAGTTTGAAACCAAAAATCCGTAAGAATTGTCTTGGACAGAAGAAAGAATCGGGAAAACGGTTTCTTTGATGTAAGGAGCGATTGTCGCACCTGAAATGTCCGGTGAAGTGATGATCGGAATGAAATCTGTTGTAAAAGAGTTATTTTCACCGATATGGACCAATTCAACGATTGTCCTTGTATCTCCGCTTTCTACCTTCTTCGCTGTGATGCATGGAACGAAATCTTTGTAGTTAATTAAAAGATCTTCTGGTAATACGAAAGTTCCGCACGAAATAGAAGAAACTAAAGGGGAAATATTGTGTATAGTAATTCGGAAGTCATTAAATGATGTCGTTGAAAGGTTTTCAGCTGATAAAGTATTAATATTCAAATATTCCGCTTGAATATCAACGTGATCATCTCCTGTAACAGCTAAATCGTCAATATTGAGTATGGAAGCCTTGAAATTGATGTTGTTGAAGGATTTCGAGTTAAGACGTTTGAAAGAATAATTTCCAAGGATTTCGAACTGAGAAGACTCACTTCCGTCAAGTATAGTAACTTGTGCTTGTGTCTCATTCAAGACAATCGTTGAATTTATTGTTTGAATATTTATTCTTTCAAATCTGTTCCATTTGAAGCCACCGATGTTCACAGAGTTATCCTGTGTGTATAGGTATGCATCGGAAAGAACGGCTTCGCGATTCGAGAACCAGGAACCGATATATAAAGTGGATCCCGGAATATTATGGGAAATTTTGTAAGAAATATTTGCATCGGTTGTGGATCTGAAATTTGTTCTGAAAAAGCCATTCTTTTTCGAGACTGGTGTAATAATGAACTGATTTCCGTATTGGAACAAAGAAGCGCCATCCAAGAAGTCTCTGAACTCGACATTTGCTGTAAATACTGCAAAAGATATGTTTGTTTGGGGTGTAAATTTTTCAGTGTAATTTACGTGATAAATTACTGAATCAAACCTAAATGCACATGATCTAATGGAGAGGAGATCGGATTCCAGTATACCACCATAGAACATAGATGCTTTGTCAAATCTAGACCATTGAACTTCTGAAAGAGTCAAATTTTCCATGAAAAACTCCGTTGAAGAGTCTTTTACGCACATGCAGTGTTTGATTGTAAGATTTTCGAGTGTTGTAACATCTTTGACATTCAATTCAAATGATGGAGGTGGATTTACGATGCCTTGTAAGTAAATATGGTGAGCGTTCTTTAGAAGGAACAAATCAATATCCGATTTGCTTAAGTCTTCGGCAATGTTGATTTCTACTTTGTCGTAATTATCGAATTGACTTGTCTTTTTGGATAAACTTGATAAATTTTTGGAAAATGTAGAATCAGGATAGATTACATCTTCAGGAAATCCATCACAGTTGCTCTTGTGTTTAGTATAAACGCAAAACTGAGCAACTTCTGATTTACTAAAGACAAGAAAAAGCAAAAACATTGAAAAAAATTGGAAGATTCGGAAAAAATGAAATTTGGGAATAAAATACTATATAAACGATTGTAAATAAAAATAACTTGAAAATTTGATCAGATAAATGAAATTAATAATATTACTTTCGAAATTAAAGATTATCTAAATTTTTGATGATAATTCTATGAAAGTTCAATTTTAAAATATAATTACTTATTTATTTTTCTATTTTATTCATTAGATTCGGAGAAAATAATATATTAAAATTAAAAAACTCCAAAAAAATTTTAAAATATGAAATATGATATCGTTCTCATTACTGATGACATTGGAATTTTTCATTTTGGAATTATTTTGGAAATTAACATATCCTCTCTTCCGTATTGTCTGTATGAGTGCATCTCAAATGTCACAAAATAATCTCAAAACAATGAACTTCCTCGAGGAATGTAAAGTTCACAAATTAATTTTTAAACGTCACTTTTCCAAAACTTTATTGTCTCATGAAGAAAAGACTGTAGATAGTAAAATATTTCTTTTTACAGTATAACTACTGCAAGATTTTGACTGTTCTTAAAAAAATCCTTGTCTAAAAATGTTGCCTCAGAAGTCAATACTTCTGAAGCAAAGTCTATCTCTAAAAGACAGGAGCAGAATACAGAACCTCATATATGAAAAGTTACCGGGCTATAGGTCGACAAATGAAGATGCTCAAGATGTTATTCTTCATGTTGCCCCGTTTCTCGAGATATTAACAGGAAAGCAATTCGAAAAACTTACCATTACACCATTTGGTTTTGAACAGATGATAAAGCAGAATTTGCCGCTAATTTCTTCAAAATTAGAACACAAAAATTACATCAATCTTTCGTTATTTCACAAAAAAGTATCAGTGGATGAATTAGAAGACAATAAGGCCTCCATTGCCTATCTTATAAAGTGCATGGGCGGAATAATTGTCAAAGACTCAGAAGCTGACATAATTGTTAAAACTAAGCCCGAAGATACACCAGATAGCATTGAGGTATCAACGGCGTACATCAATTATATCGCAAATGAGCCTATATACATAGATTTTGCTAAATTTAAACACTCACAGCAGAAAGACGACTACTCAAGTGATAAAAGCGTTAGCCTTCCAAAGAAAACTCGACGAAAACCAAAACTAGACAAATCTTCGGCAAATTCAAAATTTATCAACTCGAAATTTGAAAATACAAATGGCACCAACAACAATACAGAGGAAAAGAAGCCTCCAACAATTTTGGAGCTTTTTGAGCAAGAAAGACAATTATCTCAAAAAAATCCTTCCCTTAAGGAAGAGAACAAAATTTCATACTCCCATCTACCGCTCTCACAATTACCTCCAACTCTATCGCAGACAAAACCTTCCCACGATAAAAATAAAATAGATCATCAAAAAGAGAAAAAAGTACAAGAAAAACCACCACATAAAGAACCAATACCTGCTAAACCAACGCTTATACTTACAAACGACTACTTATCTCAAAAGAGTTCGACACCATCTCAAAAATCCGTGACTTCTTCAATGAGATCTGCCACTTCTTCGCAACGATCTGGGAATTTGTCGCAGAGATCAGCCAATTCATCGCAGAAATTACTGTCATCGTATTCAGTTTTTTCACAAATTGAAGAATCCAATGCGCAATCCAACGATAGAGTTAAGAAGACCCTTAGAGAGATGATAGATGGACCAAGCCAAGCCACAAAACAGAAAGAATTGTCACTTTCACAGACACAAAAGAAGAAACAGCCGAAAAAAGCGCAAAAAGACAAAAATCCAACGAAACAATTAACGCTAAACTTAGTCCCTCAGGAAGTCAAGAAGAAAGAACCTCCGAAAGTTGAATCTCCTAAAATTAGAAAAGAAATTAAAGAAAAGAAAGAAGATTCGGGTAGTTCGAGCTCTATACTAGCCATGATTGATGATCTGAAGAACTACAGGACGAATAGCAGCGATAGCAGTGATGATTCGAGTCATACGTCGATTCCTTACGATTTAGTTAGAAGATTTAGTCAAGTACCCGTAAAAGACGATTATAGTGATGACGATGATGGTAGTAGAACGCTCACGTACGATGAGGGCGTAATAAAGAACAGCCAAACGTATAATGAAGCAGGAGAAGATTTCCTACTCAAAAGTATATTTGGTAATTCGAATTAAATAAAAATTTGTTTGTTTATACAATTTGATAGATTTTACAAGAATAATAATTAAGTTATATGGATTCTAATGTGATTGAAATTTTTCCGAAAAGCTGCGAAGCAGTTTTGATGAAACCTCTGACTTGCTCTGTAGATTTATCAAGTATTTTTTCTATCCTTGGCGTTTCATTTGGAGCAGCATCCATCACTCCTTCGAGAGACATCGCGAATAATATGGCGGGATTCTGCTCTAACGGTGTGCCTGGATCAAATACACCCTTTGAACTAAGTATTAAGTCTCTTGTTCCAAGTTTGACTTGTTGTTTATATATGTTATTATCTGCCATAAAAATGAGAACGATAAATATCGTCCTATTCATTTATTATACTGGCGCTTCACGCCAATAACGAAATATAAAAATTTATTAATTATGCATTATAATATTAAAGTGATTAGGATAATAAATCTTGTTCACAAAGAATATTGAAATAATTTCCAATTTTCTCATAAATTTTTAAGCTAGACAATACAATTTGTCTTTATAATAAAACTATGATCTAGCGATCATTCAAAATGAATTGTAATCGCAATAGATTTGGATTACATCTTCCTTTTCCCAAATATATTTCTTTATTTCTCAATTTGATTCATTCAAAATAACGTTGTTCTCACCGTAAAGAGTAATAGTAATTGAATTGACTGTTCATGTTCCATAATCAACATTTTTACAGTCCTGTTCAGAAATACATATTAATAATATTTCCGTGTAATGATAGAAATATATTCAAATTTTGATAAATTTCGGAAATGTTTTTAATTTTTAATTAGCTTGTCCCTTTAGGACTTATTTAAGAAACTGAGCCACTATAACATATTTGCAATTAAAGGCTTTTAATTAGAAATGATAATAAAGCATGAATCGCCAAATAACGGCATTGTAAATTTCAATTCAACCCTAAATAAATATGAATTTTATTACCCATGTGAAAACTATTCTGTTTGCTCTCCATATAATATAACCCTTGGGCCCGGATATTATTATCTTGAAGCTTATGGAGCTTCACGAGGAGATCATATTAAAGAGGGGCGGACAGCTCGAGGAGGATATGGAGGCTATGCTGCCGGTGTTTATCGAGTATCGAGTTTAAAGAAAATATATTTACATATTGGCGGGCATGCTGATTTAGATACATCTCAGTCCATAATTTATCGAAATATTTACAATGGTGGTTCATACGGAGTAAATAATTTAGATGCTCCCGGTGGTGGCGCCACAGATTTTAGAGAAAAATCAGGAGTTTGGAATGAAACTAATTCGTTGTATTCAAGAATAGTAACGGCAGGTGCAGGGGGCGGTGGTAGAGTTGAATATAATATTTGCAATGGCGGTAATGGCGGCGGCTTAAATGGCCAACCCGGTCAAGGTATGATTTGCTCATCTCAATTTGGAACCCAAGATGGAAGCTCTCCAACCACATGCACTTCTGGAGTTTACTATAGTGCTGGAACGTTTGGTTGTGGAGGTCTGCCTGTTTGGACAGGTGCTGGTGGCGGCTGGTACGGCGGTGGCGCTGTTGAGAGAGGTGGGGGCGGTGGCGGTAGTGGCCATACGCAAAATGTCATAAGTTATGGTAGTTTTGAAATTAAAAATGAATTTTCGGATAATATCGGGTATGGTCGAGCGTCAATAACAGTAATTAAGCTGTTTGATGTATCGCAAAATATAAGGCTATGCTTCAACATCCAGATCCTTCATGCTTTTATGACTATTTTAATATCTTGATCTTTTATTATTGATTGTTAAACAGTTTCTGTTACCAAAATTGTATTTCTGCTTCTGATTAATGCTTTCTGTGTATCCAGTTTTTCGTAGCTAATCCAAAGGGTAGTGAGAATCTGAAAGAAATCGAAAATAAAAAGTGTACGTTTAAAAATGAGCAGGAATGTTATTGAGCTTAAAGCTGAGTTGAAAAAGAAAGAATTCGAAATATCCAATCAAATAGTATTGATAAATGACCTCCAAAACCAACTATCAGCTCTACAATCAGAAATAAAGCAACAACACTCCATTACATCTAATTATCAGACTGAATCAGCTACTATCTGCCAAGAAAACAATCAAATTTTAAACAATATAGAGTCAGCTCGGAAATTACTTGCAAGTGATCAAAAAATCTATGCAGAAAGAATGAAAAATAAAAATATTTTAGAAAAGAAACAGAAGAAGTATCAGCAATTTCTTGTTGAACTTAGGTCTAACATTAAAACATATAAATCAGAAACGAAAAAAACAAATAAGAATATTCAGAAATATAATGTAGAAACTCAACAATTAATAGACGAAATTCGATTGTTACAGATGGAAAATAACGAATTAGATAGAAAATATAACTTAGTTACAGAAATTGAAACAGAAAAATCAAAAATAACATCTAAGATGGATCTCATCGATAAAAAACAAATCGAAACATATAATATTATTGAAGCTTTATCTAAGAAATCAATGGAGAAGGAATATGAAAAACAACAATATGAATCAACCCTAATTGATCTTCAAAATCAAGAGCTAGAACTTAGAGCATTAATTGAGCAACAACATCAACAATATATTAATGACGTATAACAAAGACACTCATATTTCTAATAACATCATGAATTCATTTTTGAATTAACGTTGTTTTACAATTGCGAATATTACCCTTCTTATATTCTTGATAAGTTTATAAATCTCTAGATGTCGCACTATCCTTTTGATTGATCAAGCAATTTTATTGCGCAATATCTTTGAAATAGAAAATATCTTTAATTCATAATATTATTTCAAGCTTTATGAAGCTACATTATGAAATATGATACTTCTTGACTTAAGGCCTATGAGTACAGATTCATTGTCCGTATTTGTTTAGTAAATGTTCTTTTTTTATGTATAACATGTGAGGATCTTTTGTAAACACACTTTTAACGATTAGTTAACGATATCATATACACCAATTAATTACATTGAGATCAATAAAATATCTCTTAATTCTATATGTGCTTGTATTTCATGCAAAATCATAAATTCAAGCTTTGCATGATGAATATAAGATAATATTTGCTCATTACTAAATAAATAGGATTTCCTGAAAAGTGCCTAATTATTTTTATTGAAAATTTCTTGCTCTTGTGATGTCTTCGATTACAAATCCTTCTATTAGAGATTTGAAGACTAGCATGAGTATCTCAATTGATAAAAAGTCAATACATTCGTTTAATTCATCAGATTCTCCAACAATATCCATTTTTCCGAAGAAATTACTATTTCCTCAAATATATCCACACAGTATACAACAAAAGAAGCTCCTAATTCCCAATTCTGGAGTTGAAACGGCCGAATTTACGTTACGAATTGCAGATCCTTCGCCATTTTCTGTACCAATTTCAACAGTTTCTATCGCTCCAGGCGAAACATATGCATTATTAGTATCTTTTAATCCACAAGACGTTGGTTTATTCAATACATCGTTAATTTTCCAAGGATATTCTGAATTTTATGTACCTTTAACAGGAAAATGCGTACCATCACCATTAGAAATACCTAATTCTTCATCAAAAATATGGACATTTTCAAAAACTGAAACAGAACGTATTATAGAATTGAAAAACAAAGATTTATCAAAGCCATTAACGATTGTTACTGCATCAGATAGTCAAGCATTTACAGTCTATCCTATCCAATTTGAAATATCTTCAGCATCTTCTGCAAAATTAACAATAACTTATCATCCAGAGAAAGAAAGCTCAGAGAACCCAACACTTACAATACAATGCTCAGAATCAGGCGATTCATTCAGAATTCCACTCCATATCGTTCCACCACGCGCAAAAATTCCAGTAGATTTTGGAATTTGTTGTGTTGGAGAAACAATCACACATAACTTACAAATATCAGCTTCTGATGTATCTCCAAGTAATATTCCACCTCCTTTTTCATTAAAATCCTTCGATCCAGATACAAATTCAATGATTATTTCATTTTCACCGACAAATCCAGGAAAATTCTCAGCACAGATTGAGTTATCTGATGTAGATATCAATCTCAAAGCAGCTGCAATAGAAAGACCTTTTTCTGTTCAGATTTCTTCTTCATTTCCAAAAGGACCGTTGTTTCTTGAGAATACATCAGATGCAGACATGATTGCAGCAATCAAAGCTGATGGATACAATTTATCACAGTCAAATGTTGTTCTAAAACCAGGAAAATCCGTTGAAATCCACGCATCAAGAAATGAAAAGGAAAAACCATCAGGAAACATTGTTGTTTCATGGCAAACGAAGAATGGGCCAATGAGTAGCACAATAAACCTGTTAGATGCAATAGAAGAAACAGAAAATCAAGGATATTTATCTTATGAACCAAAAATTCTTTTGTTTAATGAAGAAAATACGAAGGAACAAGTTGTTGTTAGTTCTTCATCCAATTTCGTTGCCAAAGCTAAGAAATCTCTTGTAATTCAGAACCAAACAAAAGATAATTTCGAAATTGTCTGTAAAAAGAAGACAGAAACTATAGAACAAATTATTATAGCTAATTCTACAAAGAGATTATCAATTCCTGCAATAATTTCAACTCTTCCTTTAAATTTGGAAATTCCTCAAACAGTTGAGTTGATTGGCTTAGTTGAGAACCAAAAAGAAGCTTTTAAAGGTTCATTTACTGTTACTAATCTTAGTCAGACTTCTGTTTTCGTTGCTTTTAGTGCAAATTCAGTTTCAACAATTTTTATTGATCCTTTTACAGAAATTATCAAGCCAAATGAGAAGAAATCATTTAATATTGCAGCTGATTCTCCTGGATCTGTGAATGTCTATTACGGTTCCGAATTTTTGAGATCAATTTTGGCAATTGTCAACGAAAAGAACTTTTTCTCAAAGATTGCCGAGTCCTCATTAAGTAAAAGCGTCATAAAGCTTGTTTCCGATCTTCCAAAGGCAAAATTTACGAAGTTTTTCAAATCATCTTTGAAATCTTCAGTAATTAAGCTTGAAACAAAGCAACAGAAAAGTGATAGCATTACTATGTCTCCAAAAGTTATCACTTTTGATAGCGATAACCACCAGGAAACAAAAATTTCGAATTTAATAAATATGAGTTCATCACAATTTGAGTTTTCCGTGATTGCATCATCTCCTTTCATCCTTGTTCAGCCACTATCAGGTGTAATCAAGCCTTATTCGTCCGTAAACCTGAGTGTTTCCATTTTAAAGAACGTAAATGGATATATTTCAGTAAAATGCGGAGATTTCGTGACAAAAACCAAAGTGGAGACAACAAATAATGCTACAGAAATAGCTCTTTCTAATGATAGTCCAAGACAATCGCAATCATTTGTTGATAATCTTTCTATGTCACTAGAAACAGAAAACATGTCTGTAAACTCAGCAAAATTGCACTTCAACAAATGCAATGCGGGAACAATGAGAAGAGCAATGCTTAAAGTGATGAACAAGTCAAGGAGTGAGTGTTCAATCACTGCTTATTGTGATAATCCTTTCTCTTTACCTGTTTCTCAGTTTGTTGTTGAACCAAGAAGTTTTGTTTTACTTCCTGTTCATTTCTTACCTCAAAATCAAGGAAAATACTCCTCAAAACTGGAATTAGTTGCAGAGGATGGAAAGAAACTTGTTGTAAGTTTAAGTGGAAAATGTGTATGTTAGTAAAATATTATGTTATTTGAATATTTTATTGAAATTATTTTTGGTTTATCATTAAATCTCATTATATGTTAGTTAACTACTGAAAATATTCATCATGATACTCGAGCATAGTAATTATATATAAAATTATTTCACAAATTGCCTAAGAGAATAAGATGATTGTAAATTTTTAAAAAGTTATATGGATTATATAAGACAACAAAAGTGTAAGATATTAAGAAATAGTGAAAATCGAAAATAATCATATTGTAATGGAAACATTTTCAAAAATGAAATGAATTTTTACATTATTTCGTCGAAAGATGTCAAATTTCAAAATCAATACTCAACTCATTCCTTTCTAGAAATACATAGTGTAATGGAAAAATATGAACCGATAAATATAAAGCCTTGAAATTCAACTCAATTGATTTTGTTTGATCGAGAATTCTTCATCCAATTTGGTCATTCCATAGCAAAGATTCGATATTATAGATGCAATTAATAATAGACGAATATCTAGTTATTAATCATCTATTCAATCTACAAATGTATACTCTATTGAAGATGTATTTCAAATATCTTTGTCCATTAAGATTTGTAAAAAAATTACATAAATTAATAAAAAGATACAAACAAACAATTTATGATTTCAAAGATAGAGTATTCGAAGTGATGACAGATCCGAGCACCTCCAACTTCCTTTCCAGTATCTCCCAGACCCTGTCATCGACACTTCCAGGAGCGTGCAAGTAGTAGATATCGACTGGTTGTGTCTGTCCAATTCTGTGGACTCTGTCTTCTGCTTGCAAATGAGTTGCTGGGACGTACATCAGCTCAGCAAACACAACAACGGAAGCTTCAACTAGAGTAACACCAGCAGATATAGTTTCTATACCTAGAACAGCAATTTTGCATTCAGGTTCGCTTTTGAATTTATCCAACAAAATTTTTCGATTTTTCATCGATGTTTCTCCATTAATTAGTATGTGGTCAATGTTTCTAAACGTGAGCCACTCCGAAATCCCCTTCAACATTACAGTGTGATGTGCGAAAAATAAAATTTTTCGGTTTTGACAAAACAAAATATCCCTAAATTTTTGGGAAGTCATCCAATGAAGGACTGGCTCGACTTTCTCTTCGGATGTCAGGGTGAAGCACTCCCAAACTAAGCCTCTCTGCGCGGACCTAAATGTTTGGAGTCCTTTTTTGATACCGATCTTCTGTTTTCTGATTAATTCGACCATTTCTGTCATTTTATTGCTCGGAGTGTACAAAAGCATGATATGTTCCCTATTCTTAGGTGGAAGATCCGAAAGAACATCTTCTTTTTGCCTTCTTATCATCAGCAAAGTCTCCATCAAAATTTTCAACTCATCAGTATGGGAAGAACCATTCGCCTGATAATTACCAGCTTCGTTGTAGCCTCCGTGACAATATCTCTCTGAGTATTCGTAGAAACTACGAAAGACATCCGGTCGAAGCAAATTTAATGCGGTAAACAGCTCCGATGGACGGTTCATCGATGGTGTACCACTGAGAAGAAGTGCTGCCTTGGCTTGTGATATCAATGGCGTCACTTGTTTGTGTAATTTTGTGCCTTGATTTGAGAATTCGTGGCATTCGTCTGCAATTACCATATCGAAATTCCTGTTTTGGAATATTCCATCTGATTTCTGTACAACAGGATATGTCGCTATCGTAAGTGGATTATCGGGGAAGTTGGCACTTTTTGTCATGATATTGATTCTTGAAGGGGAAATATTTGTCCACTCGGAAAAGGTGTCTGTCCAGGCTTCTACGAGGTTGATTGGACACATGACAAGAATCCTTTTACTCGGGAACCCGAATAAGCTCGCAATTGCAACTGCTTGAAGAGTTTTGCCTAATCCCATTTCATCTGCTATCAATGCTCGATAATTTCGGGATGCAACATACTGTATTGACTCTTTTTGATGCGGTAGAAGCTTCTCTGAGAGTCGTTTAGGCAGATTTTGAAACAAATTCATTGGTATTTTTGTGGGTCTGAAATTACTTAAGGCTTTGATCACGAAATCGGGTATTCCGTCTAATACAGCAGTGAAAGTATTGTATGCGCTGGTCAAAGCGCTCTTTACTGTTAAGTAATTCCGAATATTTATTTTCCAGTACGGTCTGTTCTTCGAATTCACTTCCATTACGCCTCCATTCCTCTTATATATGTCGAGAATGTCTTTGCAATGGGTATGAGTGTACGAAACATTCTCGCTGTCGATTAATTCCGTCCAAATTTTATACATCGTCTTTTTATGGGGCTGCTGAGGGCTGGCAGTGATGTTCTTGATGTTATCTATAGATGTACTCCTTACTTCCGCTAGAGGCGTCGTGTTTTTCGGGATATTATTTTTGATATTTATATTTACAGTAGGAGCAGTGATTTTTTCACCTTGTGATTGACTGTATCCGCATCTACTATCTTGAGATGATGATCTGGACGTTAGATAAGTCTGTTCTTGGGAATTTTCATTTTGAGAAAAATTATTTTTCGAAAAATCTTCAGAATTTTGAGAACTGTTCGTAATTTCAATTGGTTTGAATTCTGTTTGAAATTTGACTTGATCCCAAAAAAAATTTGGATCATTTCTTTGATATTCTTGTAAAAAGTAGAGGAACTGATCGCATTTGATTGTTTCTGCAAATCTGAAGCAGTTTTTGATCTCTTTTCGCATGTCTTTTTCGATATAAATGAAATAATTAAAAATTTCGATATTTGAGGACAATAAAAGAAAATCTGGATCGGTATTGTACGTCCAGTTGTATACTTTGAATAAAAATTCAAGAATATCGTTATGATGCGTGATGATTGCATTATGATGCGTATTTTCGAGTAATGATTGATTATAATGAAAGATAGTGGTGACAATATCAATGTTGCCACCTTTCACAGCAGAGTTTGCTGTTTCTTTCGTAATTGGAAGCTGATTAAGTTTTAAAAAAGTAAAAATATTGACAGCACCTGCTTCAGCGGCTCTGTTTATGTGGTTATCTGCTATGCTATTCGTATTTTTGTATTGTTCGATATCGTCATCGATGAAAATATCAGTAAAAGCATCAGCTTGAGAATTTGTTTGGATATTGATCTTGAATAGCTCTCGCATCGAATGAAACATCGATCTTAATCTAAATTTGAAGAATATTCTGTTGAAAAAAGCGTTTTCTAATGTAAGTTTGATGTAATTTTTGTATTCTTGGAGTTTATTAAGCTTTTCAAGAGATTCTTGTATATTAGACTGGTTTAATGACCATACAGTAGTATCTATTTGATGGAATGGTTGCAAAAAATTCAGAATAGGTGTATCATAAATACTTTGTATTGACATATAAAAATTTAGAAATTTCAAATATGAAAATCAGCTTTACTAACTGGTTCCTTATAATATTTAAATGTATTGAGTTCACAATCGATGTTCTTGAAAAAATACCAAAAGGATAATTTCGATTTTATTGATGTTTCAGCGTTCAAATGATGCATTTGAATTGTCTAAAGTAAAATCTAACATGATTTACTAATTCAAATATTTAAAATTTCATCCGAAATCTATTGAATTTTTCTGATAAAACCAATATTTATACGGAAAGATTATTGTAAAATATTTTTTAAACGTCCGATGAAATCATATCATGGTATATAAAATTCAGCAATTAATCACATGAATCCAAATAAGACACTATTGCAACCAAAAGATTTTTCCTATTTTCAAGCAAAATGGATTCCATTATAAAATCTAAAATTAGACAGTGAATATGCAGATATTCCTTCTTTTCAGTCAATCAAAATATGACTGACTCAGAATGTATTCCACTTTAAAGATTATTTATATCTTAACTTGGGCAAAATCCATGGAAAACATAGGAAAATTTTATTTAACATGTATATTTTTATTATTACAAACAAACAAAACTCTATAATAAATCTATATTTTCTTTTTTCTTTTCTTTTGCTTCAGTTCTAAAAAAGAGTGAAATATCGCAAATAACTAAAGCAGTTGATGAATGATTGAAAACAACTAATATCTAATATCTTATTATATCTATTATATTATTTCTATTATATATAATATCAAATGATGAATGAATTAAACAATTACTTGGAATGCACTAAGAGATGTGAATTTCTTAAGAGATTCAATTAAACTATATGCAAGTGATGGAAATCGACCACATCGCAAATCACTGACTTCCATACGATATACATTAATACCGGCATAATCATCATATTCATAATTATTTTGAACATTAACTATATTTAAATTAAACTTACTCAACTCAATTCGACTTTGGTCTGGACAAATATTGATTAATCCAAGATAAAAAACAGAAGGAGTAATGGAGTTAAAGGAACTATGGTGGAGAGTGACATATTCGGACAAGAAAATCTTAGTTATATTTGGACAGAGGGCAAATGCATCAGGCATAACAACTGAATAATCAAATAATGCAACACTTGTAAGGTTGGAACAGTTACAGAAGGCATTTCCGTATATAGTAGTCTTTGCTCTGAATCTGACTGCTTCTAATGGAGTATGTGCAAATGTATACTGTAATATTAGTGACACTGTATCAGGAATGTTGACATGCTTAAGGGAATTACAACCATAAAAACAGAAATCACCAATGGAAGTTACTTTGTAGGGGAGATCTATATATTTCAATGAGGTACAATTTAAAAAACATTGACTACCAATTGAGGTAAGAGATGGCGGCAAATAGATAAATTCAAGTGAAGAACAATCTTTGAATGTATTGGTAGGTAAAGATGTTAAATCTAAACAGTGAGAAATATTCATTATTTTCATATTACAACGCTCGAATGCATTAGAACCAATTTCTCTGATAGTTTCTGGTATTGTTATTTCTTCTATACAACTTTGACCACTAAATGCATTATTTTCAATGGAAACAACAGTGTGGCTTTCGAAAGTTGAATTAATATTAAGATTTTTGAGACAATTACGACCATAACCTTCAATACTTACTTCATTTTCGTGCTGATTATAAATCAAATCTACAAAAATTATAGTAATTCGGGCATATCCATTTCCTGAATGCCCGATTGTTCTGGATCCATCTGGTTCTGTTATGGAGTAACATCCTTCAGTTGTAGATGTATTTGTCAAGTAGTATTTCGGTGTTAGCATACATCCATTTGGATAGTTTTTTGCTGATGATTCTGTGTAAAAATAACTGCTACCTCCAGCACCATGAGCATAAGTAGTAGAACCAGATGTTGGCTTTGATTGAGAGCCTCCCCCTGCACCTCCACCGTACCAACCTCCCCCTGCACCACCTCCACATCTACCTGTGTGCGCTGCTTGAAAGAAAGCACCTCCGCCTGATGATGAAGTTTGAGCACCACCGTAAGAATAAAAATATTCACCTCCTTTTAGACCGCCTCCATATAGTCCTGTTTCGTCTTTTTCTCCAGCACCTCCACCGCCTCCTGCAACAATTACACGTGCATATATGTTATCTTCGTTGATTCTGATGTCTGTTCCACCTCCTCCACCATTTCCAGGATAGTTTGAACTAGTTCCCCAAGCACACCCACCTCCATTGTATCCACCTTCTGCCAATCCAGTTTCATTTCTTTTTCCAGCACCCCCAACTTGGATATAGACTGTTGTGGCCTCAGTTAATGTTAAATAGCCAACCGCATAACCTCCTTTTCCTCCTCTACTAGGATCATAGTATGGAGATCCAGCACCCTGTGCACCCCAAACTTCTAATCTATAGTATCCAGGCTCAAGTGTTTTTGTCTGGGAACTCCCAGTATATGAAAAATCAATAAATACTTCAAATACTAGAAATACTAGATAAACAAACATATCATAAACTTATGAAAAAATTTGGCTTATAAGACAGATGAATCACATAATTAGCAGACTTTAAATATTTTTTTGTTAGTAAAGACGTGAAATTAGTACTTTAGAGTTGCAAAGTTCTCATATATCAGACTAATATTATTAGATTAATTTGTAACGCGAGTTAGTGATGACTTTCATTCAAAATGGATAAAAACTCAGGCATATCAATAATACAAAACTTTAATACATCCTTTAGGGAGCTCTGAACCCCATTTTTATAAGGGGGTATATCTTTGTAACGTATATAAAATTTACACTTTTCCGACGTTTTGTCAGGGGCGCGAAGCGACCCAAAAATATCGGAAAAGTGTAATTCTCAGGTATATGATTATTTTTGCTTTTAATGCCGAACGGCATTTGAATCAAAAATAATCGTATGTCTGAGAATTGTAAATTTGATAATCTGCATTTGAATTATATCAAATATCAACCATCTAAAAATGCTAACGCTATTCGGCATTATGACTATGTGGCAATAAAAGAATGCCAATATAACTGAATACTATAGGGTGTCCAAAGGTGCGTTTAGCACAGCGCTCTATATGAGATTATTAAAGGAGATATATGCTGATTATAAATATATAATAAAAAATATGAATATATGTATATGATGAGTATGTTGTATTTTGGCGCCATGCCGGAATATAAAATGAATTTTGAGACAAGAGGCGGTTTCGCGGGAAATTTTGGCGGGATTTTTTTCATTTTTTTAATGAATCATAAAGAAAACATCTTCGCTCTTGCAAAAAAATGCAAAGACTGTAAAAAAATCTACGAGACATTGGTAAAATGCTTCGGTATGGATGCTCCTAGCTATTCCACTGTAACGTATCATGTTAGGATGTATCACTTCATGAACAAAAAGGCGCCCATCATAAAAATTGACAAAAAATCGCCGGATCAAAGAAAAATCAAAGCAATTCTTCAAGCGCTAGATGAAGACCCAAGAGCATCACTCAGAAGGATAGAGGAGATGACAAAGATACCACGTACAACAGTCAGTTATTATCTGCACAATTATTTGAACTACAAACTAGTGTATACACGTTGGGTTCCGCACAACCTTAATTCAGTTCAAAAAAAATCTAGAGTCCAATCTTCGAAAGAGCTCCTCTCTATATTGGGTGCGTATCAATCCAAGAAGTTTCGCTTTTTAGTAACAGGGGACGAGTCTTGGTTTCAATATGCAACAGAAGCCAAAATCATGTGGATCCCGAAGGATGAAAATCCGCAAACATTCCCGAAGAAAAAAATTGACACACCAATGATGATGTTGTCGGTTTTTTGGGGCGTGAATGGCATCATCGCAATTGATATTCTTCAAAAACCTAATACGATGAATGCTCAGTATCTAATTGACAATGTTCTTACTCAAATTATCAATTCTGATGAGTTTGAGAAATCCAAACAACAAAAACAAAAGTTTGCAATTCATTTTGATAATTCAAGAGTTCACAAAAGTCATAAGGTAATGAATTACTTGGTGGAAAACAATGTCAAAGTTGTTCCAAACCCAATTTATTCACCTGATATTGCACCCTCTGACTTTTATTTATTCGGCACGCTAAAAAAGAGAGCTGAAGGACGCGAATTCGCGAGTCCAGATGATCTTGAAAATTTTGTAAGAGAGCAATTTGAGCAATTTTCTCATGATGATTTAAAGCGTGTCTTTCAAGCCTGGATCGATCGCTGCGAACGCGTGATTGAATCCAATGGTGATTATATTTAAATAAACTTTATATATATGTAACTTGTTTATTTCTATTCGCAGTATTCAGGTTTGTGCTAAACACACCTTTGGACACCCTATAGTTTCACAATAGCTTAAATATAAGTAAATTTGAAATCATATTTTTCGTCTATATCTCAAAATTTGAGGGAACTAAATAATTACAAGCTAAGAATATGATTTTAAGATTAATGCAATAAGATATTCTTCCCAAATCATTGATAATTTCCATCACACAAGCTCTCAAAATTAGAGTGATTGTTACAAAAGCATAACAAAAATTACTTCGCATGAATAATTTTATTACAAACAAACAAAACTCTATAATAAATCTATATTTTTTTTGCTTCAGTTCTCAAATAGAAAAAAGATAAAAGAGTTAAATCTCAAACAGTTCTTTAAAGTTGCTTTATAATCTATATTCTATTGCATTATATATCTCATATCTCATATCTGATATCTTATTATATCTATTATATTATTTCTATTATATATAATATCAAATGATGAATGAATTAAACAATTACTTGGAATGCACTAAGAGATGTGAATTTCTTAAGAGATTCAATTAAACTATATGCAAGTGATGGAAATCGACCACATCGCAAATCACTGACTTCCATACGATAAACATTAATACCGGCATAATCATCATACTCATAATTATTTTGAACATTAACTATATTTAAATTAAACTTACTCAATTCATATTTGCTTTCGTCAGGACAAAAATGGATTAATCCGAGATAAAAAACAGAAGGAGTGATGGAAATCGACCACATCGTAAATCACTGACTTACATACGATATACATTAATACCGGCATAATCATCATATTCATAATTATTTTGAACATTAACTATATTTAAATTAAACTTACTCAACTCAATTCGACTTTGGTCTGGACAAATATTGATTAATCCAAGATAAAAAACAGAAGGAGTGATAGAACTAAATGAATTTTCGTGTAATGTAACAAGTTCGGACAAGAAAATCTTAGTTATATTTGGATAGAGAGAGAATGCATCAGGCATAATTTCGGAACTATCAGATAATGTAACACTTGTAAGGTTGGAACAGTTATAGAAAGCATTTCCGTATATTGTAGTCTTTGCTCTGAATCGGACTACTTCTAATGGAGTATGAGCAAATGTATACTGTAATACTGCAGAAACTGTGGGAGGAATGTTGACATATCTAAGGGAATAACAACTCAGAAAACACGAATCACCAATTGACCGAATTTTGTATGGGAGATCTATGTACTTCAATGAAATACAATTTTCAAAACAAGAACTACCAATTGTTTTAAGAGATGGTGGAAAGTAAATGTACTGGAGATTATAACAATCTTTGAACACACAATCATCAAATGAAATCAAATTTAAACAATGCGAAATATTCATAATTTGAATTTTGCCGTGTTCGAATGCCGAATTTCCAATTGAAATGAGCGATGATGGATAAGGGAATGAGACAGTCACAAGATTTACACAGCTTTCAAATGCGTTTGAACCAATTTCTCTGATAGTTTCTGAAATTGTCACTTTTTCTATACAATTTTGACCTCTAAATACATTTTCTCCAATGGAAATAACATTACTTCCAAACACAGTTGACTTGATTTCGACATTATTGATGCAATTATTGCTAAAACCTGAAACAATCCATTCATTTTCATTTTGAGAGTAAACAAAGCCATCAAATAAAGTAATTCTTGCAAATCCATTTCCTGAATGTCCGGTTGATTTTGTTCCGCTTGGTTCTGTGATTTGTTGATTTCCACCAGTTGTAGATGCATTTGTCAAGCAGTATTTCGATGTTAGTTTGCATTCACTTGGATAGTCTTTTGCTGTTGATTCTGTGTAAACATAACCGCTACCTCCACTACCTCCATTAGTATCACCTTCATTATTTCCTGTTGGTTTTGTTTGAGAGCCAGCAACAGTACCTCCACCGCCACCACCTCCATCACGTGCAGTATGTGCTCCTTGAAAGAAATCACCTCCATATGATGATGAAGTTTGAGTACCAGGATAACTTCCACTTCCAGTTAGACCACCTCCAAAACCTCCTGTTTGGGCATCTTGTCCACCACCTCCTGCAACAATTACACGCGAATAAATGCTATCTTCCTTGATTCTGATGTCTGTGCCACCTCCACCACCATGTGCTGGATCATTTGAATCAGTTCCCCAAGCACATCCACCTCCATTGTATCCACCTTCTGCCAATCCAGATGCTACTCCTTTTCCAACACCTCCAACTTGTATATAGACTGTTGTGGCCTCAGATAGCGTTAAATAACCAACAGAATAACCTCCTTTTCCTCCTACACCAGATTGAGAGTTTAAAGATCCACCACCCTGTGCACCCCAAACTTCTAATTTATAGTATCCAATTTCAAGAGATTTAGTCTGGGAACTACCAGTATATGAAAAATCAAATATCGCTTCAATTACAAGAAATTCTAGATAAACAAACATATCATAAACCCCTTAAATAAATAAGGAAATCTTTATTCCAAGAAATTGTATGCTTAATGGAAAATAGTTTGAATGTATAGACGAATTATAAGAATTTTCAAGTCGTTTTGTTGCAAAACATCTGAATGTTAAAGAATTTCTCAATATTTTAGATAAAATCACAACAAAGGTATATTTAGTATTAGTCCGAACTGAAAACCAGATGCCAGTTCAAAAATAAAACATTTAGTAGGATGCGTTGGACAGTTCCTCCCCTGAGGGAAGGAAAATTAATTTTACAGCTCTCAAAGGATTCATCAATCAATTAATCAATAATTGTTTGTTCACGAGTATACTTGAATTATTTTTAAACAACAATAAATATTATTAAAATACGTTTATTAATATCAAAAGAATGGAAGAAGATAATTCTGTTGACTTAGATCTCGATTTGTCAAATAAAAACATATCTCTTCATAACATTGGTCTTTCAGATTCATATGAATTTAACGAAGAAGAACCTGACAACGAAAACTCCAAAATTAACCATACAAATGATCAATTAACGAAGATTGAAGATATAAGTATTCAAAAATATGATCAGTTATTGCATGAACTTACTAATAATAGTAAAAACGAAGAAGATTCTACAAAAATATATCCAAAAGAAGACGATTTAATGGAAATCTGTCTTACAATATCTAAAATAGCTTCAAGCACAATAAAAACTACAGAAATACCTTCAGATAAATTAGATCAGAAAAATTTCATCGTTAATATTGTTCAACAACTTGTTAATCTTGTACAAAATCCAACACAAAGTCCGCAATATCTTGAGCTTCTTGCAAAAAACAAAAATAAAAAGATTCAACTCGCAAAATTACAACAAAAGTACGATTTCCTATACGAAGAAGTTAATCGATATAAGAACGAGGTTCGCAAGATATCAGAATCAGTTGATTCCAAGAAAGAAACTCAAATCGATCAAAAAATACAACAAATTGCAGATTTAGTTGAATTACAAAAGAAAACTCAAAAGAAACTACTCAGAGAAACGAAACATCTCCATTATACAGAATCCATTCAGCCAGAAGTCTATGAACCAAAAACAAAATCGATTCAAATTCAAAATCAAATTTCAGAAAGCGAATCATCATCAGAAGCAATCAATATCTCGAGACCTGTAGATAAATCAACAAAACATACTAAATCATTTAAATCTTCCCATGAAAAACAAAGAACAGAAGCAGAATTTGATGAACTCATGGAAAAACGTTCAAAATATCATACAAATAATACAAGTAAAACAGACATTAAAAGAACAAAGAGAATTCCATATCCTGAATCATCCAGCACTGAGTCTTCAAGTGATTTGATTATTCTTACCACAAAACCACAAAAGATCACAAATATATCAAAGGTTCATCATCGATCATATAAATATGAGAATAATTCCGACTCATTATCACAAACAGACGAAAATTTTGAAAAATCAGATCAATATTCTAAATTAGGCAAGAAAGTCAATAAACTGATAGGAATTACTAATCACATCCAAGGAGATTTTGAAACTACACACGGAAATCTTTCTCTTTCACAGTTATCTATGCTTCATGAGAGTTTACTTGACGAAGAGAGGAAATTACGCAAATAAAATTTCATATCTTGTTTGGTTTATAAATATTTTGTTTATTTTATTCATATTTAGAATAATTTTTGGATTTTCATTAAAATGTGCGAGAATTCTTGAAAATTATAATTCAGCAGTAGTATTTTGCAATTTTAATCATGACATTAATCATCTAGCTTCCTGAGAGTAACTTGTACACAAATCAACTGATTAAAGAATCAAGAACATAGAATTTTCTTATTTCAATCAATAAAAATATAGCAAATTCTATGAGCCAGCAATTTATTGAAGGGCGCAAGACATTTCCTTCGTCGCCTCAATATAAATGTTCTTTTCCTTAATGAATAGAAACTTGGTTAACATTGGTTCAGATTCAAGATAATAATTCAAATTTGTTCAGATGATTAGAGTGATTGCTAGGAAAAAACATAGTAAAAATTACTTAGCATGTATATTTTATTATTACAAACAAACAAAACTCTATAACAAATCTATAATTTCTTTTTTGATTTCTATCTTTTTGCTTCAGTTCTAAAATAGAAAAAAGATAAAAGAGCAAAATATCACAAATAACTAAAGCAGTTGATGATTGATTGAAAACAACTCATATCTGCTATATTATATATCTTATGTATCTTATCTCATATCTTATTATATCTATTATATCTTATTAAATTATTTCTTATATATAATATCAAATGATGAATGAATTAAACAATAACTTGGAATGCACTGAGAGATGTAAATTTCTTAAGAGATTCAATTAAACTATATGCAAGTGATGGAAATCGACCACAGTGTAAATCTTCAACTTCCATCCTATATACTTTAATACCTGCATAATCATCATACTCATACCTTTTTCGAACATTAACTGAATTTAAATTAAACTTTCTCAATTCAAATTTGCTTTGTTCAGGACAAACGTGGATTAACCCGAGATAAAAAACAGAAGGGGAAATATTATCAAAAGAGTTATTATGAAGGGTGACGAGTTCAGACAAGAATATCTTGGAGATATTTGGACAAAGGGCAAATGCTTGAGGCTTTATAACGGAATTCTCAAATAAAGTAACACTGGTTAAGTTGGAACAGTTACAAAACGCATTTCCGTTTATTGTAATTGTGGCTCTAAATCTTACAGATTCAATTCCAGAGTTGGAAAACGTATATGGATTGATAGAAGGAACAGTTCCAGGAATGTTTACAAAGACAAGGGAGCGACAATAGCTAAAGGAATGCTCGCCAAGGGAAGTGATTTTAAAGGGGAGGTCAACGTATTTCAATGAGATACAGTAATAAAAACAGTGAGGAGCAATTGACGTGAGATACATGGGCAAAAACACTGATTGAAGGTTGAAACATTCTCTGAATATATCTGATGAAAAAGATGTTAATTGTAAACAATGAGAGAGATTGATTGTTTCAATGCCGGAACTCTTAAATGCAGATTTGCCAATTGTTTGTAAATCTAGGAATCTATCTCCGATTTGATTCAAAGTTCCAGCTCCTTGGAAACAATAATCACCAATAGAAGAAACTTTAGATAGATCACCAAATGAATTCAGTGAAGTACATCCTTGGAAACAAAATGTACCAATCGATGCCAAATTGGTTAAATCGCCTATTGATTGCAAAGATGTGCACCCTTGGAAACAATAATCTCCAATTGTTGTAACTTTAGATAAATTACCAAATGAATTTAGTGAAGTACATCCTTGAAAACAATAATTTCCGATTGTTGTAGCTTTTGACAAATCACCAAATGAATTAAGTTTAGAGCAGCCTTTAAATGCTGAATCTCCAATTGATATAAGTGAGGAAGATGTAATAAATGAAACATTAACAAGAGTTATGCAATTCTCAAATGCACTCGAACCAATTTCTCTAATCGTATCTGGCAATTTTACTTCTGTGATACAACTTTGATCTTTGAATGCATTATTTGCAATAGAAACAACATTCTGTTCAAAGATTGTGGATTCTGGTTCAATAATACTTAAACAGTTGTCGAGAAATCCAACAACTGCCCATTCATTTTGGAATAAATAATAACTTAAACCAAGATAAACTAAAGTAATTCTTGCAGTCCCGTTTCCTGAATGTCCGGTTGATATTGTTCCATCTGGTTCTGTAATTTGTTGATTTCCACCAATTGTAGATGCATTTGTCAAGTAGTATTTCGATGTTAGTTTGCATCCACTTGGATAGCTTTTTGCTGTTGATTCTGTGTAAACATAACCGCTACCTCCACTACCTCCATTAGTATCTTCTCCGGAATTTGACGTTGGAATTGATTGAGAGCCATCGAGAGTACCTCCACCGTACCAACCTCCCCCTCCACCGCCTCCATCATTTCTGGTGTGTGCCCCTTGAAAGAAAGCACCTCCATATGATGATGAAGTTTGACCACCTGGATGGTAATCTCCATGTGCATTTCCGCCTCCAGTTAGGCCACCACCAAAACCTCCATATTCACTATCTTCGCCACCAGCTCCACCGCCTCCTGCCACAATTACACGCGCATAAATGTTATCTTCGTTGATTCTGATGTCTGTTCCACCTCCACCACCATGTGCTGGATCATCCCAACTACTTGCCCAAGCATATCCACCTCCATTGTATCCACCTTCTGCTCTTCCAGAGGATACAGATTTTCCAACACCGCCAACTTGAATATAGACTGTTGTAGTCTCAGTTAATGTTATATAACCGACAGAATAGCCTCCTTTACTTCCTGGACCAGAGTTAGAGTTGCCAGGCATAGATCCACCACCCTGAGCACCCCAAACTTCGAATTTATAGAATCCAGGTTCGAGAGTTTTTGTCTGGGAACTCCCAGTAAATGAAAAATCATATATTACTTCAAATACAAGAAATACTAGATAAACAAACATATCATATACTCATACGAATAAGGAGAATTCTTATATCCTCGAGAAAACGCTATCTAATAACAAATCTGAATGCACATGGTGATATCATGGATGCTTGAAAGTAGCATAAATTATAAATTCAAGTTAAATAATTAATAATATTATATTCATAAATTATTCTTCACGTGATATATTGTTAATTTTGAAGAATTAAATGTGATGATGTTTTGTATGAATAAAAGACAGACGTTCTAAGTTCGCTCCAACATAAAAATAAAGATATCTTTGAACTTATCTTCTTTGCATGATGAAGAACTATCACATCAATATCTGCACAAAAATATAGTGATTTCAATCTAACAAATACCAAGTTAAGATAAAAAAAGCAATTGAAACGCACGATCATTTTCCATTCAAATGATGTCAAAAGAATAAACTTCTGATCAAAATTTTGAATTCGATGATAAATAATACTGGAGAAACTAATGGCGGAATTGGCAACTTTTCGCACATCTGGTTTCCTCTCATACAAAAAATGATGATTTCCTTTCCAAACATTCCATGTTCAAAAGTTACTCAAATTATCTCAAATAACATCAGATAATTTGAACACTCCAATTTGGGGACATTTGTCTTCCTCAATATTGGATTCATATTCAAGATTATGATTGAAGAAATTTTGGGTTTGAACATATATATATATGGTCGATGAAAAATTGAGCATTTTTAAAAAACCGCCGTTTGTGAGAAAATTGAGAGTTTCGATGTATACTTTTTGACGATGCAAAATACTTTGAAAGGACCAAAAATTTTTTATTGTCAGAAAGTTTACAAATGTATACTTTCTGACGAACAGACTCTGAGAAAGTACTCAAACGCGGTTTTTAATTTCCGCACATTAATACAATTTGGCGACCTTATATACATATTTTATTATTACAAACAAACGAACAAAACTCTATAATCAATCTATCATTTCTTTTTTCTTTTCTGTTTCTTTCTTTCGTTTTGCTTCAGTTCTAAAATAGAAAAAAAGATAAAAGAGTGAAATATCACAAATAACTAAAGCAGTTGATGAATGATTGATAACCATTCATATTGAATATCATCTTATATAATATCTTATTATATCTATTATATCTTATTAAATTATTTCTTATATATAATATCAAATGATGAATGAATTAAACAATAACTTGGAATGCACTAAGAGATGTGAATTTCTTAAGAGATTCAATTAAACTATATGCAAGTGATGGAAATCGACCACATCGCAAATCACTGACTTCCATACGATAAACATTAATACCGGCATAATCATCATACTCATAATTATTTTGTACATTTACAATATTTAAATTAAACTTACTCAATTCATATTTGCTTTCGTCAGGACAAAAATGGATTAATCCGAGATAAAAAACAGAAGGAGTGATGGAACCAAAGGAATTTTCGTGTAATGTAACAAACTCAAACAAGAAAATCTTAGTTATATTTGGACAGAGTGCAAATGCATCAGGCATAACAACAGAACTATCAGATAATGTAACACTTGTAAGGTTGGAACAGTTATAGAAGGCATTTCCACTGATAGTAACTGTTCTTCTGAATTTTACTGCTTCCATTCCAGAATCAGAAAATGTATATGGTTTAATAGAAGAAACAGTTTTGGGAATGTTGGCGTAAAGAAGTGAAGAACAATGGCTGAAGGAATACTCATCAATGGAATCCAAATGAAAGGGGAGGTCTACATACTTTAATGAGGTACACATATAAAAACAATGAGATCCAATAGAAGTTAAATAAGTTGGGAAATAAACAGATCTTAGCGAGAAACATTCTTTGAAAGCATTTGAAGGAAAAGAAGTTATTTTTGTACAGTGCGTTAGATTTATTGTTTCAATTTGAGAGCGCTCAAAAGCAGATTTTCCAATTGCTTGTAAATCTAGAAATTTATCTCCAATTTGATTTCAAACTCCACATCCTTGAAAACAACAATCACCAACGGAAGTAACTTTTGATAAATCACCTAATGAATTTAAAGATGAACACCATTGAAAACAATAGTCGCGAATAGATGTAATATGAGATAAATTACATAAAGAGCTCAAAGCTAGGCACCATTGGAAAGAATATTCACCGATTGTTGTAACTTTAGATAAATCACCAAATGAATTAAGTTTAGAACATCTTTTAAATGCCGAACTTCCTATTGTAGTAAGTGATGAAGAAGTAATAAATGAAACTTTAACAAGATTGATGCAATTCTCAAATGCATTAGAACCAATTTCTCTGATTGTTTCTGGTAATTTTACTTCTTCGATACAACTTTGATTTTTAAATGCATTATTTGCAATGGAAACAACATTCTTTCCATCTGCTACTGATTTTATTTCAACAACATTGACACATCTATTACTAAATCCCGAAACAATATAATCATTTCCAGATGATAATAAATTAAGATCTGTATCAATTAAAGTAATTCTTGCAAATCCATTTCCTGAATGTCCTGTTGATTTTGTTCCATCTGGTTCTAGAATAGATTGATCTCCACCAGTTGTAGATGCATCCTTCAAGTAGTATTTCGATGTTAGTTTGCATCCATTTGGATAGTTTTTTGCTGTTGATTCTGTGTAAACATAACCGCTACCTCCACTACCTCCATTAGAATCACCTTCAGAACCTGACGTTGGTTTCATTTGAGAGCCATCAGCAGTACCTCCACCGTACCAACCTCCACCTCCACAACCTCCATCCCATGCAGTATGTGCTCCTTGAAAGAAAGCACCTCCATTTGATGATGAAGTTTGAGTACCTGGATCATAATTTCCAGCTGAATTTCCACCTCCAGTTAGACCACCTCCAAAACCTCCTGTTTCTCGATCTTCTCCACCACCTCCACCGCCTCCTGCAACAATTACACGTGAATAAATATTATCTTCGTTGATTCTGATGTCTGTTCCACCTCCACCACCATGTGCTGGATAACTTGAACCACCTGCCCACGCACATCCACCTCCATTGTATCCACCTTCTGCCAATCCATTTTCTTTTCTTTTTCCAACACCTCCAACTTGGATATAGACTGTTGTTACTTCATTTAAGTTTAAATACCCAACAGAATAACCTCCTTTTCCTCCTATGCCAGAGTGAGAGTTTAAAGATCCACCACCCTGCGCACCCCAAACTTCAAATTTATAGAATCCAGGATCAAGTGCTTTTGTTTGGGCACTCCCAGTATATGAAAAATTGTATGATGCTTCAAATACAAGAAATACTAGATAAATAAACATATCATAAACTTATAATTTATAGAGGAATCCAAATTTTCTCCATGGAATTTCTCAGAAGGAGTTTTTTAACCAATGTGGTTGTAATGCAAATATTTGGTAGGCAGATAGGTATATAATATTTGGACTTTGCAAAATTTTTGTTCGAGATATAAGATTGGTTAACCATTGAAGCAAGATTTTGCAAAATATGCAATAGAATGTCGAATATCATGCAATGCAAACACAAATTAATGCTCAAATAGAGCAACCAACGAAGATGAAATTTACCTAAGATTCATCACGCCATAAAATTCTTAATCATAAGGATTACTGTTCTCAAATTTCGAGAATGATTTAAGGAGAGTATAAATGTGCAGCTATACAAGCCAACTACCCAATAAGCGCAAAATAGATATAAGGAATTTATTGATTAATCAACTTAGTCCATATGAACTGTTATGTGTTTTGATCGAAAAACATATTTATTATTATAATTTTTATTCGTTAAAAGTCTTCGAGCATAGCAGCTTGCTTTTCATCCAACTCTGCATGACCTGCTACAAATATAGCGTTGCTTCCGTCCTTTTTGAATTTCTTGATAAGCCAGAATACGAAGACACCAGCTAAAGCCATGACAATTGCAATAACAGATATAGTTATAATAATCTTCTGAATCTTACCGAGTGAAATGCTTGTCTTTTTGCTCTTCAAAACTAAAGGATCCGTTTCGAAATTAGAATCATGAAGTTCCATACTTCTGCAGAAGCGAGCTGCGTATGGGCAAATAAATGATACTGAAATTATTGACTTATATGATTGATCATAGTAATTATATGTGACTTTTTCATATATGTTTGATTTATTGCACTCCAAAACCAACTCTTTATCACTGTTTTCATCTTTTCCTGCAAGGATGAATTCAACCTTTTCGTAGTCTGTGCATTTGTATGGATAGCAATGTTGACGAGATCCATTAAGAGCAGCAGTACCGCGAGGGCATATTTTCTCTGGGAGAATGAGAGGCATGTAATCGAAAACTTGGTGTCCAATTTTTGTCTCATTCATTGGATTGTAGAAATCTTTATGCTTGCAATAATCTTCTTCTGTTTCGGAAGGACATTTTGGAGCTTCTTCTGTTAATGTTGTTCCATAGTATTTGTAGTCAAAGCTTGGATAGATAGAATATCCATCTTTGGCAAGATATCCTTCTGGGAATGTCTTCAAAGGCGATCCTAAAGCGAAATCTGGTATTGAAACACCATCAATTGACTTTGGATTACCCCATAATAATGGTTTACCCTTTCTATAATTGACCTCATAAAATCCAGAATCTGCCAAAATGGATAATGTAACTTCAGTAAGGCGAAGTACTGATCCAATGTTCCTAAATAAAGAATTTGTCATGATTTCTGTGAAATAAACCCTGTGACTGACATATTCTAATTCGGCATCATTATAAAATACGTTATTCTCTAATTCTATGCCTGATACGCATTTTGATCCATCATCACCTGAGAATGAATCAACTCCATACATGTTCTTTGCAAAGATATGTGCAAATGGAGTTGATAAGAAAGTCCTCTTCATTCCTCCAACAGTTAAGTTGCAAAGAATTGTTTTATGAGTGGTAAGAGAATTGATCGGATGATAATCTTTATACGAATCCACTGAAATGCCTAAAATATGAAGCATATCATGGAGTAAGGAAATAAAGAACTCTTGCTTATCTGTTTGATCAGATTGTATTTGATCTGGAATATAATATGGGTTAATATATATAATTCCTTGGAGTGGTCTAAGATATTTATCTTTTTGAAGAGAAACAGAGGTACTGATTTGATTTGTTGTAGGGTATGGCCTTGCAACAACAGTTATATGGAGATCCGTGCTGTAGATACTTGTCTTTGTATTCAAAGATGTGAATTTGTTCTGAAGTGTAAATGGATCCTCAACTGGACGTACTTTAACTAGGTCTTCAACAAAACCGAGAACATGAGCAAAGGTTCCGCGTATTACTTCTTCCTTCACTTCTGTAATGATATCATGCTCTTGGCAAGCTTGTTCATACTTCCATTTTATTGTCTGGTTGGTACCTCTGCATGTATATCCGTCATTTTCTTTTGTTAAGAATGAGTAGTCAGTTTGAATTCTGATTTTTTGAAATGATATTGAAGATAAATCTTCTTCTAAAGATTGTCTCTTCAAGCTATAATCTGCTTGATTCGATATTGATTTAAAATTTCCTGATGAAGCAAAGGATATTAATGAAATTAGCATTATATAATTAAAATTATATTGAATACTTTCAAATTTCAAATAAAATTATTTTGAGATAAAGTGATCTGCAAATATGTTATATGGGATTTTCTTTAAAATAATAAAATAAAATGTGACACCTCATAAAATTTCAATGGAATAAATTTATTTTATATTTCCGATATGTTAAGGGTGCACCCGTATGTACGTTTATTTGAGAGGAGGAGGATTACCCTCTCAATTTTGAGGGATTCATTAGTTTATTTTCTCGATGAATATGCAATAAAATTTGATTTTTACCTTATCAATATACTTCATATAATATACACATGTTCATGTAAAAACTTTTTTCCAAAATCCTCAGGAATTAAGGGATTTTTGAATTTTAAGAATTTTTTTCGAATTTTTTCGAAAAAAAAAATATTTTCAGAACAGCCTTAACGGCTAAGATTTAGGAACAATGTTAAGTATCAAAAAGAAAGGAGGTCTGATATAGACAACATATATCGTTGAAGGTTGAAAAAATCTCTAATATTTGAGCCCAAAATTTCAAATTTTAATTTTTTGAAAAAAGAGGCCACCCGTATGTACGTTTATTTGAGAGGAGGAGGATTATATTTTTGAAAGGGTGAAACATTATGAATATGTTAATTATATAATAATATGTATTATTATAAAAAAGGAAAAATAAAGCACGTGAAAATTTTTCTTTCTTGATTTTTTACAAAATCTACTTAGAATTATGCAAAATATGACTAAATAATTATAAATTTCAAGTTAAATTTTAATTTTGATAAATAATTTAAATTTCAAAATATCAAGTTCAGTTCAACTATGTATGTAGTAATTCCTCAATAAAGTGCCAAAACCCTATTAAAATATATGAACATTTTCAAAATTTTAATGTTTTTATTTAAAAATTTGTTGGAATATGAGCTTCAAACAATTATTATGTAAATAAAAATAATTAAATATATGTATTTATTCGTATTACAACCGTAGTAAGTCGATTCTTCCTTTCTTCTACTGAGTTTTGAATTTGATTTCGAATTGTAAAGAGATTCAAAGGGAAAATACTAGCGGATAAAAACTACCTCCATGAAAGGGTCATAATGGACTCAAGTTGTATTTTTTGATATTTTTTGCTTTTCGAGCCTAAATAGGTAGCCAAGATAATGCCTAAAAATAAGGTTCTAAATTCTGAAGTTTACATGATCCTCTCGTGTGCACCCTTAATGGCAATTCTTTGCAGAACGACCTTGTGTTTTGATTGTTATCAATAAAAACTAATGCTTATTAGTTGAAGTATCTATTTTATCATTTAATTATTTGAATCATGAAATGAGGAGTGTATAATTAAATCATCCCATTCCAATATATGCCTATTCATCTTAGGTTTGCCTATAAAATATTCAATTTTTCATGAATCTTCAATTATTCATGAATTGCTTCATATTATAAATACAAATCATGGGTAATACACTGTATTATGAATGCATATTGACTGTTACTCTAATATGTTGTATGATTTATCAAAAAATTATAGTTATCAACTTACATCACTTAATAGAATAAATCATTGTTCAACAAAAAAGGTAATGGTGTTGAATATATAAGTTATCGCATGTTTATTAACAAACAGATAATAATTACATGGAATTCAATAAAATTGACTGGATTCCTGAGCTATAATTCATTGATAAACGCTCACCTTTTGTAGGAGTACATATTAATCTTGGAAGAGAAGACTGTGGTGTAATAGATTTGCGATTTTCGGATTTTTGCATTTCATCAACTGTAGCCCTTCGCTTGCGAGCTTTTGGCTGAATAACAGAATTGAACTTGTTGCAGAAACAGAGAGGAGACCTTTCAACAGCTTCAATAATTCTGTAACTTGCATCAGATTTCTTAAACTGGTCTTGAGCATCATATATGTATGTGTTAACGTCTTGTCCAGTAATTTCTAATATACCACTTGTATTTTTGGCTTTCTTAGAATAATTACTTGTTGAAAATACAGTAATAACAGTATTTCCATGGGCCTTCTGGATTGCATTAACACACTGATGCGATCTGATGATACGCTTCAAGTTATTTGTACGTAGAAAAGATAATGCAGCCATTGGACCGAAAAGATATCCATAGCCACGGTAATTCTTAACGTACATGACGTTGGAATCGCCAGGATCACTCCAGAGCAAATCGGCGATAAACGACTTTTGAAGCATCTGCTCGTTAAGTGTGTAAATTGGACGCTGAACTACATCAAGTTCTTCAACATGGGAAAGAGATGGACTCAATCCTCCATGAACAAGGAAAAATGTCTCGTTTAAGACGCAGGCGAGAGGGATATATGCAAAACAATCATTGAATACTTTATACATGTAAGCATCATATTCGGCTAGAACCTGATCCTTGAATCCGTAAACTGAGTTGATCTCCATAAATTCATGGTTACCACGGATTAAATAGATATCATTTGGGAAAAGAATCTTCAAACTGAATAATAGAGTAATAACTTCGATACTAAACTCTCCTCGATCAACATAATCACCAAGGAAGATGTATTTTCTTTCAGGTGGAAGTCCATTGAAAGCGAAAATTCGAAGTAGATCTCTTAAATTTCCGTGCAAATCACCTACAATGATACAATTTACATTAAGGCGAAATAATATCGGTTCAGACTGGAAAAAATTCTGAGCAACATTTAATAAATTTTTAAGATCTTCAGCTTTGAGTTTTGGAATATCCATTGGAAGTTGATTAGGATCATTGTTTTTAGCTGCTGATATCAATGTCTGATAAGCATTAACAACATATTGAGCTATCATGAGATTTGTTAAAAAAAATGATTTGTGAGCAGATTGAATTTCCATCGCCCTCACAATTTCAATTTGTTATTTCAATGGTGATAATAAAATGGTTTTATGATTAAATCATAATACATTATAGTTATAGCACATTTCAAAAAGTTAATCCCCTATTGAAAATACTGTAATAAAATCATCCAATAAAATATTGTATTATATTCGTTTTGAGATATAATTACATCATTTTTGACTCAAAAAAATCTGGTCTGATTTTGTGAAGAAAGCTATAAATTCTGACACTAGCGGTTGTAAAATATACTAGAAATATCCTCTTAATCAAGAATTTTCAACTAAATAAAAGTAAAAAAATCACATTCAATTATATATATAATCTAACCTCCTGATTCACAAAAAAACTTATACTTTTCACCCACTTATTGACAAGCTAAATTAATATCAAAGTTTTTTACATGGGTAGTCAAATCGAATAATTCATTCAAATTCTCTTTTCTACCGAAAAGTATTACAGTACTGAGATTTACAGTCCATTGCTTATATCATTATGATATTTGCCAATATCGAGTATGAATTTTCAATTGATTTCATCATGACTTGATGCAGTATTGACCTGTATTTATAATATCTGCTTTCTGATTTAACATCTATTAACTCTATTAATTAAACATGCTTGTTCTTGTTATGAATCATATAACAAGTCCTTATTTATCGATAATCAATTTGAATTCATTGCAAATATATCAATGAAAAGCATTATAGTAGTTCAAATCGTCTTCAACATTGTATTTATATATTAAATTTATTTGATTAATTTCCAAAAGCAACAAAGGTAAAGATTTGAATCCACTCTAAACGGAGTTGTAAGGTTTATTACAATCAATAAAAAAAAAAAAAAAAAAAAAAAAAAAAAAAGGTAGTGGGGCTTCCAGGCACTTCGTGCCTTCTAGCCCTGAGGATGAATGAGTATAATGAAGTTTTTTTTCTTGGGGGATGGCTTCCAGGCACTTCGTGCCTTCTAGCCCCCGAAGATGTTTAGTATAAATGAAGTTTTTATTCGGAGGGCTTCCCGAAGATGTTTAGTATAAATGAAGTTTTTATTCGGAAAATTGTTAGTCTTCTGGGTCGAAAACATTATATAATGTGTCGCTTTTCACAAATTATATATGTTTTCATGTTTTGTCACTTTTCTGTCACTTTTCAGGAAAAAACATTTTTATTATTATATATAAATGAATTTTACAAAACCACCGTTACCCTTCTTTGGAAATAAGAGTAGATGTAAAGATATTCTATTGAGAGAACTTAAGAAACTACCGAATGGTCTAACATTTGTAGATTTGTTCGGTGGAAGTTTCTATATATCTCATTTGTGCCATACTGTATTTCCTGACTCAAAGATTATATGCAATGACTTCGACAACTATATGAACCGTCTCAAACATATACCAGACACAAACAAAATATTGAGTGAGTTGAAAGAAAAGATACCTATAGGTAAGATGGAACGTATACCATTAGATAAGAAAAATACTGTCAGAGAGGTTTTGAAAAAAGCAGAGTATATTGACTGGGATAGTATATCTTCTAGACTATTATATAGTGGTGCTATAAGAGTTCATGACATTGAAACACTTATGTCAAAAGTTTTATATCTTAACTATACAAATGTTTTCAAAGAGGACATAGAAAAATATATTGAGGGTATAGAGTTTGTGAGATGTCATTGGACAGAGTTGTATGAAAAATATAAAGACAAGGAAAATGTTTTCTTTATAGTGGACCCGCCGTTCTATAACACATGGGATTTTCAATACCAAGTAGACTGGACTTTGAGAGACTCTTTAGAAACTTTAGACGTTATACATAACCATCCATGCTTTTACTTTACATCCGATAAAAGTGGTTTGGAAACCGTTATGAGATGGTTAGAGGACATACATGACTATGAGTTTAGATATGACAAGATAGAATATGAGAGAGGTCCTATAAACCGGAGAAAGTGTCATAACAAAGAAATTTTATTAGTAAGTAAATGTGGTTTGAAATAGGACTACTTGTTTTAGGTTTTTTCCATTGTGTCATTTATTTATTTGACGTGGCAGAAAAGTACAGAGAATATGAAGATGAACCAATGCCTGCAAATGTTCAGTATATGTACTCGTAAGAGATATTTTTATCTAATATTAAATGGACGCACAGAACTTAGCGAATGCACAGCAACCTGGACAACCAAACCCAGAGAATATTCCAAATGAAGTCAGAATACAAACTGCAATGGCAAACTATGGTCAAGTGCCAACAGATGTACAAATGCAAACTGCCATGTCAAATGACGCTGCGTTAGGTTTGCCACCATGGTATGCAAATATGAGATGGAAAGAGTTTTATACAAACCCTGAAGTGGGATATAAACAACTTTATGCAGATGACGCGAACACAGGAGTTGACCCAGAATATGTTTTCTACCAGAGGAGAAATAGAATGTATGAGCTCCAGTTAAAAAATGCTATGGAACTCAACAGGAAACGTAAGAGACTAGGCGGACATTAGATTTTTACATATAGTAAAATGGGTTTCTTCAGTAGTATTGGAAACTTCTTTCGAAATGTTGGAAGAGGTATATGGAATGGAATAAAAACCGTAGGAAGAGGAATTTGGAACGGTGTCAAAAATATTGGTAAAAGGGTAGGTCAGTTTGTTGGTATTATACCTAAAGACCCTGAACCAGAAGAGCAAGCTCCTGTTATACAACAGCCTGAACCTGCACCACAGTCTAGTTGGCAACCAAATCCAACACCTCAACCGTATTAAAAAATTATATTTTTACCGTTCGATAGTAGTTGTATATGAAACTAAGTTCTAAGTAAAACGCATGGTATAATGGAATTATTCTTTTTCTTCCATCTGTAGTAAACCATACTTGAAAGTCTGAAATACTTCCACTTGGTGGTTCGTATAACTTTGTAGGTTTTTCGTAAAAGTCATTTGCCAAGCATAAGAAAGAGTTTTGGGCGCCAGAAAATGAAGCATGAACAATAATAGCAGCTGGGTCGAAAACATCTTTAAATAAATATGGTTCATCTCTTGCATATCGACTGTAAATATTTGCTAAAGGAAGTTCGACTTTCTGATTTAACATTCTTTGCAAATAATACCATGACATTGCAGTGAATTCTGTATATATTTGTTCGTCTTTCTTTGGATTGTCTTCGTAGATTTGAAATGACACTTGTGAATTTTGTTTGTCATATACAATTCTCACATAAAGTGTGCTCTCGGTATTTGCATATTCATCAGCATATTTTGCATAACATGAATTTATTTTATCTTCTATATTTTTTAACGCAGTCTGTAGAGAAGATGAAAGGTCAACTTGTATTAGCTCAATTTCTTCCCACATTTTTCGTTTCCCTTCAGATATATAATCTATATGAAACCTTACAATAAATGGAAAACTTTTATCTTCTACAGACACAAACTTCATTCTACGAAAGCCAATAGCTTTTGTGACAGATGGGTCTCTTAACCATCTTAATGGGTAGTCAAAACGATAGCCTTCATGCTTTACGGTCTCTGTCTCAAACTTTTGACCGACATTAGTAAAAAGTTCATCTAATGGTTTAGTTGTAGCAACTCTTGAATTTTCTTTTTCTATTGAAAGCATATTTTATCTAGAATAAAAATGTCAAATGAAACAGCGTCTATGAGAGAAATACAACACAACCGACAACTCATTATGCAAGCTCTAAATAAGAACACAACAAACTTTTCAAACTATTCTAAGATATCTGAGTCATTGAAAGAAGGAAACTTAAAACTGACATTAAACCCAATGACAGATGAGTTTCTGTTTCAAGACAATAAGAACCATACTGTCTGTATAAATCCAACAAAAGGAACTTTAAACGAGAAACCTATAAATGAACTTCTTTTGAAAGCAGATGTTGACAACAAAGCTGACAAAGAATATGTCATTGAAAAAGTTCAAGAAGAACATGACAGAGCAGATGCAACATATGCAACAAAAGAGGATGTTGAAAAGAAAGCTGACAAAGAGTATGTAGATGCAACAAAAGACTATATTTTCGCATGGACAGATAGAGCATACTCACAAAAACACCATACACATAACATCTATGACGTAGATGAACTTCAAGAAAAGTTAGATGACAAGGCGGATAAAACATATGTTGACAATAAAATGTCAAGTGAAGTGACAAGAGCTGACAAAGAATATTCTAAAAAGACTCATACACATACCATTGCAAATATTACAAACTTACAAGAAACCTTAAACAAGAAAAGTGACGTTGGACATACACACGATTTCTTCGCAACTGTTGGTATAGAAAATATTGAAGGAACGGTTGAAGAAACTGGTGGGGATGTATTAAATTGGAAACCTCCTAACTTTCCACAAGGTTTAACATCGGAGGATGACATAACGACGATGAAATACATTAGATGTAGAAATGTCTATGTCATGAAGGATGAAAACAATGTTAAATTCACTGCTCAAGATTTATATGACAACAAAGCTGACAAAACAGAGCTTCAAACGTTAAAGACAGAAATACTTCAAACACTATATCCTATAGGTTCTATTTACACGTCAATGAACTCTACCAAACCAGAAGTAGTACTTGGTTTTGGAACTTGGACTCAAATAGTCGACAGGTTTTTGTATTGTGCAAACTCTTCAAAGGAAACAGGCGGAAGTAAAACGATTTCAGGTGCAAATTTACCTGCGCACAGTCACTACATAAATTTAAGTACATCTGAAGCAGGTTTGCATAGTCATAGATTTTGGGATTGGTCAGGAATGACAAAAGGTAAAGGATATGATGTTAAAGAGGACGTTAAGTTTGCTATAAATTGTTACTGGAGTAACACTGAGGTAGGAGGAAGCCATACACATCGCGTTTCAGGATATACACAAACAACGGGACAAAGTAAAGACTACATGCCACCTTACATGACAGTTTACGCATGGTATAGAATTGCTTAGTCGTCATTTTCAACTTCTTTAGCATATTCGTCAGGAGTTGTCTTATATTTGTTAGGAACTGTCTTTGAAAGTATACCACCTTGAACTTTGACAAGTTTGAAACGAGGTCTGACAATAGTAGTTTTATCTTCTGCTTGCAGTCTGTACATTTTGCCATGTTTGCCTAAAACTTCATAATATTCTCTTGTATACTTTCTTCTATTTTTACGAACACGAATGCGAGTACCTGTCGGGTTCCCATTGTTGTCATAGTCAATAGTATTTTCATATGGGTCGCGTTTAGGTATTTCTATTTTTACTTTGTCACCTTTCTGAAGTTTGAAGCCCGGCATTCTTTCTTGTTTGTCTCTTTTGACTAAACTATTAAATATATAGTCTTTCTCTAAGTCGGGGTTGTTTTTCATTTCTTCGGGGAGTGGTTTCCCAAACCTTTTTGTTTACGGTTATTGTAAATATTTAAAACTTGTCTCATCTTTGCCATGGAGAAGTGTCTATACTTGTCGTCATATGACATTTCATTTGCTTCACCACCTTGTGGTTGGTTTAAGTCTCTTAACATTTTTATACAACCGTCAATGACACCAAGAGCAGAATGGTTTTGGTCGACAATGAAATATTGGTTTACATTTTTTGAACGCAGATAGTTTTTTACATCATCTGATTTGAAAGAACTTTCACAGTCAGATGTCAGTTTTGTTGGATGGTATTTGTCAACGAATATTGTCAAAGCAGTTTTCACATCTAAAATATTTTTGGACCATAATGGTATGGCTTCACAGTATCTTGTGTTTTGACCGACAAATATTAGCCAGTATGGTGGTCCATCTGTTCTAACTCTCGGAATGTTTTCCAAGATATCCATAAACCAAGCATTTGGTGTTGAACTAAAGATTTTTATCATGAGTGCTTTCTTTGTCGCTTTAGAAACATAGGGGTCCTTGTTCGGATTCGTCATTTTTTACCCTATAAGAAATGGGTTTATTTGGCGCATTAGCAGGAGTTGCATCTAGATTTTTACCCGCAGTGGGAACAATAGCCAGAGGTGCATTTGGAATTGGAAGGAAGATTTTGAGTACATTAGGTATACTGAAAGAGAAAGCACAACCTATTATACAAACTGTACAGAAAGGTTGGGATGTAGCACGAGATGCAGCAAATCTTATTCCAAATCCTGAAACAAGAGGAAAAGTTCAAGGATGGATGGACAATGTAGGAAGACAAGCAGGAAACTATTATAACAAAGCAAATGACTACTATAACCAAGCAGGACACTATATGGACCAAGGTGAAAGATTCTTTAACAGAGGATATAACCATGCACAACAGTGGGTAAACAATAACCAACCGCAACCGCCTCAAACGTGGGGAATGTAAAGTTTTTTTTGAGATGAAATGAACAATGCAGCATTGAGACAAATGGGTTCAAGATGGATTTGTCGACTTCCAGCAGTTACACAACGTGTTTGTCAAGTTCTTCCTATACCTCAGGAAGTTTTAGACCGACTTAAAAAACCTAAACAACCAGTTGAAAACAAACCAAACTAAATTTTTTTACTGAGATGAAATGACCGAAGAAGTTGAAACGGTAGATTTGACACCACAAACAAAAAGTTCAGAACCATTGTCAAAACCTGTCAAAGAACTTACAGATGAAGAGAAAAATTCAATAATAGAAAGTGCCAGGTCTGGAAATGCAAACCCTAACTATAAAGTCACTTTTCATAGAAATGGAACGGCTAGTATCTCAAAAAAGAAACAGACTCTCACAAATAAAATATTGAAGTCTGAAGGAGCTTTCGAGACAACAGATGGAAAAGTTTACTTCACTGACCAACAGTTCATTATAGAACATCTCATTGACTTAGAGTCGAAATATTCTAAACTTTACAACAAACACAAAAAGTTGAAAGGAAAACAAAAACAAATGGCATATGATATTTATGAAGATGTTGACAACACAACCATACCTGCAAGTGAGGTAAAGTCAGAGGAACCGAAAAGTGACGAAAAACAGATAGAAGAAGGTGAGCCAAAAACTGAAGATAAACCAAAACCAAAGTTTAGTTTGGAAAATAAACCAAGTCAACCTTCATTAGCTGGTATGGGTTGGCGTCAAAGACTTTTGGCAGCGGGTGGTTACGTAAAGTAAAGGAAAAACATTTTTTTATTTTTATTTGAAATGTACGCTGAGTTTGTTGGAGAAGACCGTTGGGAAACTTGTTTGTTAGATGAGAAATATGAAATGGCATACCATTTAAAACAAAATATTTTTAAAAAATATTTTTTTATTTTATTTGAAATGTACGCTGAGTTTGTTGGAGAAGACCGTTGGGAAACTTGTTTGTTAGATGAGAAATATGAAATTCACTGTTGTGAGTCATTTGAAGTCAGAAACAAAAAGACAAAAAGAGTTTTAAGCGGATGGGAGCGAAATGACGGATATGCTATTATGAAGATGAGTGGAAAAAACTATTTTAAACATGTTGTCATTGCAACTCATTTTATACCGAACCCTAACAATTTACCTTTTGTAGACCATATAAACCATATAAGAAACGACAATAGACTTGAAAACTTGCGTTGGGTCACTTGTTCTGAAAACAATAAGAACATAGGCAAATTTAGAGATATTGTATTCGAATTTGTCGACGAACTAGAAGATGAAACAATTGAAATTACAGACTATGGTAAGCATACGTTTGAGTTTTACTACTATAGCGAAGAACAAGACTCTTTCTACTTTTATACCGGCGTAAACTATAGGAAATTACAAGTATGTTTTACTAAGACGGGCTATGCTTATGTAAACACTAGAGATACAGATGGAAAATGCGTTCAAATACTTCTTAACAAATTCAAGAAGCTATATGGCATACCATTTTAAAACAGTATATTTTTTTATTTTTATAAAAATGCCCCCATATAGAATGGATAGAAGGTCTGCTAGAATAAAAGCAGAGTTAGAAAGATATGGTTGGAGAGTTTCAAAGAAGTTTAAATATAGGAAGGGAAGACCCATAAAAGTCTATGACAAACTGGCTGGTCTGACCTACGAAATGGATTTGGAAACAGCACGTGCAAATTATCCAAACAGACTAGAGAGGTTAGAAGAAGAACGTCTTATGGACATGCCTTTCGATGTTAGTGAACCTCAAGTTGAAGGACACGACGGCTTTGCCAGATTCTACTGGAAACATGACGAACAATTGCATCCTTTGAGAAGGAAAAAAGGAGGTGAAGATGCATGCTCCCATGGAAAGAACAAGATATGCATATGAGAAGTATCGTGAAGTTAGAAGTCAAATTACATCTGGTCGAACCTTTACAGTAAACTTTGACGAAGGAAAGAACAAAGAAGGCTTCATGGGTGTACTTGCTGCAATTCAAGACGGAAATAAGAAAGGATACAATCTCAGATACCATAACAGATTTGGATGGTCACATTTACTATGCACATGGCAATGTCACAACAGCTGCAATGCTTCTTGACGCTTTCAAGACTACAAAGAGAGAACAAATGGTTGACTCCGACTCAGACATTTTGAATGCAATTGAAGGAATTGCAAGTGTCAAGTTCGAATGGTACCAACCTAACCCTCAAGCAGTCAGACAACATGCTGGATACTTCCCGTTCATAAATAAGTCTGACATTGACTTGACAAGGTATGGAATTTACAATTCAATTGAAACAATTGTCAATGAACCTTGCATTCTTACATGTCTCAGGAACTCTGGTCTTGTTACAGAAGAGAAGATGAAGTATCTTGAGTCATGTGTGAAGACAAGGTACATTCTCAGAGGTCAATTGGCAAAAATTGCACCGTTGGCAAATGTCAATATCCGAGTCAACATACCTACAGCTAAAGGTTCTTCACATGACGACTATGTTGTTGACTTCAAATTGCCATGGTTGAAGATTGTAATTGTCCACAACCACTTCATGTTGAACGAAAGTCTTACAAACCCATTGTTCGGAAAAGGCAAGTGCAACATTGTCAGAGCTGTTAACATTCTTTTCGAGAAAGGTTTGTTGGAACCAATTCCAGATGACAAGCTGACAGAAACTTTTGTACCAAAAGACGAAACAAACTTTTCACTGTTAGCAAGACCAAAAGTTGTTCCAGACAAAGTTCTAGTACAAAAGAAGTACACAATTCCACAAGGAGTTGGATTGTTCGGATACCAACCTGAACCAGAAGAACTTCCAATGAGGTTGCAAGAACTTCAAGATGCTATAAACAAACTTCCATTGAGACATCCAATTGACGTCAAATTGTATTGGAGAGCATCTGAGTTAGGTCAGAAGGTTTTATATGAAACAGGTTGCTTCGACGATGTTTATGAGATAACAGGAGAAGTTTCTCAGAAGATAAGAGACTCACTTGAATTTCCACAAACTGGACCAATTGGTTGCGACAAGTTCGACTCAGATGAAAAGATATACTATGTCGACCTTAACGCTGCGTACATGAGGTTTGTCCAATATATCCCGACTGGAATTCCAAACGAAGATGGTGAGTTCCCGGGAAGGAACTATACAGTTGGAAAAGTCATACAACAACTGTATGATATTAGGAAAGCTTCAAACCCCAAACTTGCAATGACACTGAAATTGCTTATGAATTCGACATGGGGATATTCCATTAAAAAACCTCAAAAGATGAAGAGTAAACACTATGAGAAGGTCGACAACTTTGTTGAAAGGTTTTCTCCTTTTGTTTTGAAGTACGAGTTCACCGAAGGTCAAAGTGGCTTAGTAACCACATTAAAACCTATTGTCGAACATTGGTCCTATCCTCAGTTCGCAAAAGCAGTCCTTGACAACTACAACAAATTCTTCTCAGAGGTTAAATCCAAAGTGAAGGTTTACTACGAGAACATCGATGCACTCATGACGAACGAAGAAGGGTATAACAAACTCATTGAAATGGGTTTAGTCGGTGAGAAGATGGGCTGTTTTAAGCTAGATAAGGTATTTTCCGAAGTTCATGTCCTCTCCAAGCGTAAGTACTGGGGTGTTAAAGAAGATGGTGAAATAGTTAAACATTGCATGAAGTAAAAAATTTTTATTCGAATTTGAATCGGACAGGTCGAGTTACACCATTCTTGGTCTCAAACTCATATATAACCTGTTTGTCTGTATTTTCGTCGACTATGGCACGAGACACGAACATTGACTAAACGGACAAAAAGTGTCATTTCGGATGGTCACGCAGCCAATCGCATTCGAGCACTTCGAAGAAGCCTTACGTTCCAAGGAAGAGGGTGTCTGGTGCAAGGGAGAGGTCATGAGACTCTACGAGCAGTACATCCTCAATGCCTGGGAGGACAAATCGTCCTTGGATTGGCAAATCTACCAACTCCTCTGGGACGACCTCCTACGCAACTGGGATGACGAAAGAGTCCAATTCAAAGGTCGGGAACTAATTTTGCAAATTGACCTTAATTTCACATACTTATCCAAATAAACACCTAAATTTACTTGGGGTTTCCCCCTAAAATAAAATTTTTTTACTCTTAGAACCACTCGAGGTTCTCCTTACGATTGTTGAGCTTGTCACCGTCAATGTGTCTGACCTTCGTCTTCTTGTTTGGATTTGGAACCCATTGAATTGCGACAAGCTTGCCCATGGAGATTGAACCGCGATTCCGAAGGGTAAGGTTCAAGTGTCCCAAGTTGTTGAGGACTGGGGTAAGAACCTTGCCGGTCTCCTTGTTGCGGATTTTGTATGGGTAGGGTTGGGAAATTTCATAACTGTCATCGGCAACAAGGGTTGCCCAAACTTCCTTTTCTTCGTGTTTCTCTTCTTCTTCCTCTTCTTCTTCGTGTTCCTCTTCTTCCTCGAAAATTCCTTCTTCAATTTGGTGCTCACGAATTACGGTGTTGGAGGTTCTGTCCTTTCCGAGTACCTTCCAGATGGCATCTATCTCTTCGAAGAAACGGTAGATGAGTCTGGCAAGGTCTCGGTTCTCTCTCGCGTAAATGCGCAAGGTTTCCGTCAAATCATTCAGGACTTTCTCATTGGAAGCTTGGTTCATGAGGAACTCACCTTTAAGTCCCTTCATCTCTTCCATAAGACTACTTTGGAGAGTCTTAACGGTGTTTGTCAGATGAGCTTTCAAATTCAAAATTTGAATTTGAACTGGGCGCTTGTCTGGCAACATTGAAAGGACATCTGCCATTGTGTTCGGCTTCGGTGCTTGTTCGGACATCGAAAAAATGAAGTGGTTTGAGAATGGCGGTTTTACTTCAAAAAGCTTGTTATGACGGTTAAGTCATACAACAAGTTTAAAATAATATCTTGTTCTTCTTCTGAACGTTTGTTGTCTCTTCCGATAAAAGTTTGGAACATGAGAACCAAAAAACGTTTTTTGAGATTGCGGAAGAGTTCAGGCAAACGTTCATATTCTGGATATGTTGGGAGCAGTTCAAAACATCTGAGCTGACTTTCGGACAAAATTGGGACAATGTCAGAAAATTCATCTTTGGTCGGACTGCTTGAAGGTAAGTCTCTTACATGTAAGTAGCTCTGGTAAAGTCTTCTCATTTCTGCTAACTTTTGGAGTATAGCTTCGTAGTTTAGAAGTTTTAATTTTAATTGTCTTATTCCACTCTTGACATCTAAACGGTAACTATCCATGAGGTCAAGAGTAGCTTTGGTAGCTTTAAGTGGAGCTATCTGTTCCTTGACTTCTGCAATTTTGGTTGCAATTGTGATTTGAGCTCCTTCAAGTTCGCCGTCTATGTCGTTCTCAACACCTTCAACTATAGCTTGAAACTCTTCATCGGTCCATTGAGATTGGTGTGGGACGAATTTAACTTGCTTCATTCAAAAAATGAAAAAAATGTTTTTACTCAAAGCGTGCCATATAGATGTTTACTGTAAAGGTACGATGTCGCCTTCTGTGTTTATGAAGAACGCCTGACCCGAGAAGCGTAAGAGTCCTCTGAGAATTTGGGCAATTCGTACAGTTGGGTTCTCTCTGTTTGGAAGTTGTATCCACGGACGCTTTGCAAAGAACTTCAAGAGGGTTTCTTTCTTCATCTCTTTTATGTCGTCTACAGGAGTGTTTTTTGGTATTTGCAGGACAATTCCGGTGTCAATTTCAATTTTAAGCGCACTTCTTCCAGACACCCAGCCTGCAATGGTCTTGTTTGACTTCAGATGGCTCAGGTAGTTCCTAACTAGCTCATTTATCTCTATAAGGTAGATTGCCTCATCTGCTGGGTCTATGTCGGTCATTGTTTCAAGATCGGTCATTGTTTCAAGATCGGTCATTGTTTCAAGACAAGTCTTTTATTGTTTCAAGACAAGTCTTTTACTTTTTCAAGACAAGTCTTTTACTTTTTCAAGACAAGTCTTTTACTTTTTCAAGACAAGTCTTTTACTTTTTCAAGACAAGTCTTTTACTTTTTCAAGACAAGACCCGTTATTTTTCAAGAAATTTTTGGTGTAAAGTTCTCAAATTTGAGAACAGTGGTCTTGCTTGAAGACGATACCCGTACTTTTTCAAGACAAGTCTTTTACTTTTTCAAGACAAGTCTTTTACTTTTTCAAGACAAGTCTTTTACTTTTTCAAGACAAGTCTTTTACTTTTTCAAGACAAGTCTTTTACTTTTTCAAGACAAGTCTTTTATTGTTTCAAGACAAGTCTTTTATTATTTCAAGACAATGTCCGACGTACCACCAACCGAGCCCATTCCCAAGCCAGAAGAACCTAAAGCACCAGCCCCTGCACCTCAGCAACCTCAGTTCCAGCAAGTACCTCCACCAAATTACTACCAATTTCCACCTCAATGTTACTACCCACCACAAGGCTTCCCGAACTACCCTCCTCAGCCTATGCCTTACTGCCCTAACCCTTGGATGTTCATGTCAAACCCTCCACCCCAATTCCAATTCCAATCTCAATCCAAGAGAGACCAAGAGTTCGAGGAAGGTCTGAACCGTTTACGCAAAGAGTATGCCACAGCCCCTATGGAAGACGACAGGCTTTCAGTCTCTTCCCTCAAATCGACCGATTCGACTCGTACCACAGATTCGGTTCGTGACCGTGAAGACTACCTCAAGCAGTCTGAGAGACTCTTCATCCTACAATCATTTACAGTTGGAGCTCTCAAGAACATGCGCAATTACGAAGGTCAGACACCAGCTGGAGACCGCAAAACAGACGTACTCGCAAGAGCCGTCCAGCTCGTCAAAACAAAGACTGAGATAGTCGACTTCATTCTTGCAGCTTGCCCATACAAGTAAAAAAATAAACAATTACGAGTTAAACTTTTTATTCTTTCTTTTCTGAGTTGTTTAGAGCTGGTTTCTCTTGTAGGAACCTTTCGTACTCTTCCATGGTCATGTAATTGCGAATTTGGTACGCAATTCCAGGTTCGTTGTTTTTGAACCTTACGTATGTAACGCTTCCATCCTCCTCAGGGAAGTAAGCTGCTAACATCTGACCAAGTTTTCTCGGTGACTCGGAGCTCATAAAAATGTCACTTTTTAAACGTTAAGTTTTTAGTCTTATTTTACCCTTTGTTTACCCTTTGTTTGTCAATGTAGTATTGGAGTGCAATTTCTCCAAATTCTCTATGTCGGAGTTCTTCAGCATTTTCCAAGGTGTGCCTGGAGAACTCAAAGAAGTTGTCAAGAAGATACTGCCATGCTGCTCTTCTGAGTTCGTCGGTATTTTGGAAGTGTTGCACCTTCGAGTCTTCGGACATGAAAAAAATGACACTTTTTCTATTAAACCGTTTTGGCATTTCTCATGAGTGAGTATAGTTCTGCCGAACCATTGGAAGAGAAGAAGTACCCTTGCTGGCAAAAGACAAAAATAGTTGCCTTAGTTGTCATTGCAATTGTACTCGTAATTGAATTCATTGTACTTCTCTTCACGTACATAAAACTCAGCAATGGTATTTGCTTTAAGAAGCTACCATCTTACTAAGACTAAACACTTACATTTTTCAAGCTTGACTTTTTACAATTTGAATTTTGTTGCTGAATTCAGCAAAAATAATGTTTATGTTAGAATGTTAGATCTAACATGTTTTCTAACACGTTTTCTAACATGGTCTAAAACTCTTGACTTTTCATGAAATTTACACCAAAAATAATGTTTATGTTAGAATGTTAGATCTAACATGTTTTCTAACACGTTTTCTAACATGGTCTAAAACTCTTGAATTTTCATGAAATTTACACCAAAAATATAATTTATGTTAGAATGTTAGATCTAACATGTTTTCTAACACGTTTTCTAACATGGTCTAAAACTCTTGAATTTTCATGAATTTTCCCGAAATAAAAAATAAAATTAGTTTTATTTTTTATTTTATTTATTTTTTTTATTTTGTATAAAAGACATGATTTCAACAATCGGCACAACAACAGTTCAAACAACTACAGCACCAAACTCGTTAGTTATGAATCCAACATCTATGTTAGTAGAGATGAAAAACTTCATTCCTTCTTCATATACTTTCGAAACAAAAATCCAGAAGATAAAGCAGGAATTGTTAACAAGTAATTTAGACTGTACCGCACAGAATGAAACAAATGAACAGTATCTTTATGAAATGCAGGACATTATTGACCATTTACCCAAATTGCCTGAAATCCAACAACAAAAACTAACCATTCCCGAATTTGACGAAATAGAAGTCAAAGCAACTGACTCAGTAGAAATAAAGAAGTTCATACGAAAGGTAAATTATGAATTCCTTGGTTTTCATTGCAACCATAAGGTTATGGACAAAGATTGCGACATGGTATATAAGAACATCTCTGACCTTTACAAATCCGAAGAATTTAAGACCTACGACAACTTTGTTTCGTTAGTTGCAAAATGTGTTTGGGAAATAAGAGATAAAGATAGTAGGGGTAAGGTATGGAACGAACAAATAAAACCCGCTATGTTCGAGATGAAGAAAACCATTGACGCCTTGGTTGTTTTAGCAGGTAAGGTTTCAGAATATAACGCAAAAATGAACCCGCAATGTTCAAAATGTAAAGCAGCAATGAGGAAATATAACTACTCCGTCAAAGAGATAGAAAGAATGAGAAACGACTATGCAGACTTAAAGAAAGAAGCAGAAAAGCCAGCAGAAAATAAAATGGACATGTTAGAATTTCTGAACAAAAACTATCCAACTGCTGACGATTTCCTTCTATCTGACGTCAAGAAGAAGTATAAAGAAACTTTCGGTATCGTTAAAACATTCGATGTACTAAAAGAAGAAATAGAAGCTACGAAATTGTTTAGAGTCATGAACCATCGCAACATATACCATGTAAAACGCTTGTAAATAGTTATGTTAGAAAACATGTTAGAAAACATGTTAGATCTAACATTCTAACATAAACATTATTTTTATTGAATTCCGTATGAAATTTCATGAGTTTTGTATGTTTTAGACCATGTTAGAAAACATGTTAGAAAAACATGTTAGATCTAACATTCTAACATAAACATTATTTTTATTGAATTCCGTATGAAATTTCATGAATTTCCTCATATGCTTGCTTCCCTCGGAAAACCGAGAGAAGAACAGCGAGTAGTGAAAAAACCCTGGTCGCCAAAACTCTTTATTTTTCAAGCTTGACTTTTTACAATTTGAACTTTGTTTGCGTAGATATGAATTCTGAAAGAAGTATGAGGGTCTTGTATGACTTTGTACTTCTCCCATAGTTCATGTCTGTCAAACTTACCTGCCATGGACTCTTTCATAAGTTCCATGAAATCGTCTTCGGACAATCCGGGGAAAAGTATTATGTCAGTAAGTATTCTTTTAACATCCTTACTTAAACTCTTTGCTGTCTGTACACATATTACGACTGAGATGTTAAAGTGTCTGAGCTTCTTAAGAATTCGACACATATCTTGTTCTCTGTTCTTTAACAAAGGATGAGAAGCAAAGTCATCTAAGATAAGAAGACATCTATGAGGGTACGTTTTCCAATCGTAAGATTGCAATTTCTTCGAAATGTATTCTATCTCTTTCTGTTTGTTTCTGAAGTGTTTCTTCTCTAATATTCTCTGCATTTCCTCATTTGGGTCTTTAAACTTAGAATTTATATACTCATTTATAGCATTGTACTTCAAAACTCTTCTTTGGTACTTCTTTATCCAATCTAACAACTCAGTATCTTTTATACATACTAACTTAGACTTTTTTATAATATCTTTGAACGAATTTACGGTTTGGTCAAATTGACCAGAAGTACTACAAATGACTACTAACTCATAGAATGGGTTCTTCTCATCTAGTTCTTGTTGTTGTGCAGCCATTTTAAGATAAGTGAAAGTCTTACCCGACCCAGGCGGTGCAATTAGACCTGTTATACCATTCTGAGCAAATAAGAACTTGTCATGTATGGGTTTTATCTGAGCATTTTCCAACTTCCTCTTGTTCTTATTTAAAACATTCTCAAATTTTTTGTCAATGTCAGCAAACTTTTTTTCTAACATATTTTTAGAAAAATTAAAATTTTTATCTTTTAGAAAATGTCTAGTGATTTCGCTATCTATATTCGAGACAAGCTTTTTGACTCTAAAACATCTGTCGACCATAAAATCTTACATAGTGTAAACAAGAAAGGTGAATTTGTTCTAAAGTTCTGTTTCTGGGAATATGACAAGAACCATAAAACATTACAAAGAGCAGTCTTAAAATTTGTCAATGACAGACTTGTTGACAGAGATGACGCCGATTGGAAAGATGAAGTCCAACAAAAGTTCTTAGAATGCAAAGAAGACACATGCGCTGTTCTTGAAGATGAAATAGAAAACAGAATAGAAGAGCTATTAAAGGACAAAGAACTTTTACAGAAATATGGTTCGGAGAAATTTGACATAACTCCACCAGAGAAGAAGAAGAAGAAAGAAAAGAAAGAAAAGAAAGAAAAGAAAGAAAAGAAAGTAGAAGAAGAGAAGAAAGTAGAAGAGAAGAAAGAACCTGAACCAGTTCCAGAGAAAAAGAAATTTGACATGTAAAAATAAAATTTTATTTTTAGAACATTTCTGGGTCAATGTCAATGTTCTCTTCCTCTTTAGGAGCAAACACTGGCTTAGACTCTAAAATCTTTTTACCCAATTTACCTTGAACTTCAACTATCTTAGACTCATAATATTCATAGTCGTCTGCTTTCTTTGGTTCATAAGGTATAACAAGTTTGTATGCTTTACCTTCTTCGAGTTTTGAGAACTTTCTGTCAAAATTTTCTTTGACTGTCAACATACCGTCAATGTCTAAGTCTTCAAAAGTTGCACCACTTTTTCTAACAACAGCAAACTTAACTGGTGCAATGTTCCAAATTTTGTCAAATGTAGACTTTTCAAAATTGTAGAAGTAAACATTCAAATATGCGAATGGGTCTAGTTCTTCTTTGACTTCTGTCATGTACTTGTTGACTGAGATGAATTTTGCCATCTTTTCTATCGGATAAAAAAATATTTTTTTAAAAATTTACTCATAAAAATTTTTCTTTGTATATACACCATTCTGAACATCTAAAAGATTTTTGACATTTGCCAAGAATGTTCGTTTAGAAGCTGCCATATAACCATATTCTTGACAATATTGTTTATATTCATCATATAAAGACCTTTCATCTAATGACACAAAGTCAGTTTCATCTATGAACAGTTCATATACACTCTTGTTTGCTTCTAACAATGTTTGTCTCTCTTCGGTATGTGGAATTTGTCTTGGATTGAACTTAGAAATATCTAATGTCATGAAGTATGAGAACAAGTGGTTGTAAAAGTCAGATGTCAAAGTTTCTGCTAAGTCGTCAAAATATTCTGTATCTTGCATATGAGAATCTGACGTTCTGACAACTACATATCTTCTGTCAGAACTTTCTAACTTCATCGGAACAGTATTGTTTGAAACCATAATGAAGTTTGCAACATTTTCACAAACTCTTTGGTCTTTATACTTCCTTTCAACAACTCCAACTTTGTCTGTTATAAGACTCTTCAAAGCATCTGAGTTCAAAACTTTTGTTGTATCTATACTTTGAAGTTCATTGCAAACTATAAGTTTCATATTCTCTATTGAGGAGTTAAACTTGCCACAGATGTTTTCTAAGTTTGTCATATTCGGATTCGAATAACCTTCTAACAGTTTGCACAAGATATCTGTAAAGAAAGTATTCTTACCTGTTCCTTGTTTTCCAATTATAATGAGAGCAGTTTCATTTTTAGCACTTGGATGTTGTAAGATGTTTGCAAACCAACATAAGATACTCATAAACCTTTTCGTTTCCATTGCATATAATTTCTTTGACATGGTCTAACCAAGCTTCTATAATATTTTCTTTCCATTCTACTTGTTCGTATTTATATCCAGTGAAGATAGAATAGAAGTTTGGAGAAGGTGTATAGAACTTTATACCTCGAACTGAAAAATCTTCTAACTTTGACAATAAGATATCCCAAGCATCTAACATCTTCATACCAACTTGTACAACTTTTATTTTCTTAAGTTTCTGTCTACATTCTTGTTCAGACACTATTGTTGCTCTTGGTTTGTTAAAGACAACATCCCATTCTTTCATGACATAACATTCTGGGGCAGAGTCAACATAAATGACTAAACGTTTCAAATTCTCGACTGCTTTGTTATAGTCTCTAAATGGACACATATTTCTGAATGTTTGGAAGTCATAAAAATCTGAAACATCTATTCTGTACATTTTTATAAAAATAAAAAAAATA